TGATCTACCCGATTCCACGATTCCTGTGCTACCTTCATATGAACTTCGGTCTTTCCTCGTTCTGCGCACCCCGGCCCATGACAGGTGGTAGTATAGCACAGACATGAAGCAGGACTGGCCTCGATGGAGCTCGGCTCTTAAGAGGGGGGTAATGTCATAGGAGTGGGATGCGCAGGGAGCAGGAGAAGTTGAAGCCATATGAAGAGGAGTGCAGAAGTCGCAGGATCGGGCTAAACGAGAGCTTAAGGAAGAGTTCACTGAGATTGGTAGTAGAAACAAACCTATGGCATAACTTGCCAGGATCAGCAGGAATGAGTTTGTTACTACAGAGTTCAGTGGGAATAATAGTATCATACTCACTACAGAAGATCTCACAGGAATCAGTTTGAGAGAGGCCTCTATTGCTGATAGAACAGGGAGGACAACCAACAAGGGAGAAGTAGCCACCAGATGAAGTAGGGGCCCAGTGCAATGATGAAGTCAGTGCAAGCAGATGGGTGCTGACTACAGGAGGGGGATGAAGGGGTGCAAGTTGCCACCCAGATGAAGTGGGAATGGCTCCTGATTATGATGAAGTGACATGAGGGCTGACCACCCACAGGGCATGAGGGAAGAGGAGCCAGAGGGCAGCATCACACAGAGGATGGGAAGGATAGGAAGGACAGGTAGGAGGAGCAGAGTTGAGGAGACCCTTGATGAGGAGCAGTGTCAAAGAAGTCTCTCAGAGTAGGAGCAGCGTCGCAGGCGATGTTGCAGGAGTGGGTATATAACCATGCCCCTCGGCACAACAAGTGAGTGGATCCCCATCCACTCTACACCATATCAGACTAGTTATCACTGTCATGGGGCCAGATGCGCAGGAGGCGGGAAGAAGTGAAGTCATATGAAGGAGTGCAGAAATCACAGGATCGGGCTAAGCGAGAGCTTAAAGAAGAGTTTGCTTAGATCAGTAGTAGAAGCAACCCTAGGGCATAACTTGTCAGGATCAGTAGGAATGACATTGCTACTACAGGATTCAGTGGGAATCATGATATCATGCTGAGTACAACAGATCTCACGGGAATTGGTCAGAGAGGCACCCCATCGCTGATATGGCAAGAGGAGGTCACTGTCAGGGGTCTCGCGCCTGAAACCCAGGTCGGTCTGTCAAGATACTCGGTGACTATCAAACTGTGCAATAGCTATTGTCTCAGTATCTGTCTCGACGAGCTAGTTGTTCGGCAACTATCAAGTTGTGCAGTGACAGCAGGTGGCATTCGTTGTATATACTATCATAGGTTTCGGCTGACCTCTGTGGACACTCCATTCAGGGGTAGCTCAGCACGATCAATATCAATGTGTAGGTTATGATGACACCAAGGTCTGGTGTGAGTGTTGATGATGATGAGGTTGATGGCATTGGTGATAAGGTTGGTGGCATCAACACGAGTGTCCAGTGTGTTGACTGATGCTTGAGGTGATCCCTGGACCGCAGTGGACTACTGCCTTCGGTTCTATCTATATCCAGACCACTAACCTGCTATGGGGCGCCTTCGGACGTCAGGTAGTGGTGATACAACACACACACTACGATGAGGAGCAACCTTGATAGATTGCTGCTATGCTGACTGAAACTAATGTATACTTATGCTGAAGTGATAACTAGTTATGGTGTGTGTAGAGTGGATAAGGATCCACTCAACCTTTGATGATGAGAAAGCATGGTTATATACCTCTTCACAGCATCGCCAGCGATGCTGCTCCTGCTCTCTCTCCAGAGAGTACCTTCTTCATCGAGTACTGTTCAGGGGGCCCCTCCTGCTTGCTTGGCACCCCTGTGCCACTTGAGCTGTGTCAACTCCTTCGACACTGCTCCTCCTCCTTGCTATCCTGCTTGTTTGGCACCCTTGTGCCTCCTGAGTGGTGTCGACTCCTTCGACACTGCTCCTCCTCCTTGGGACCTGGTGTCAGTTCCTTTGACTCTTGTCTCTCGAGCCCCTGAGTGGTAACCATCTGCATGCTCCTTGAGCTTGGTCCTCTTTGTGGCTGTGCCTGCTCCTTGAGCTTGGTCCTCCTCGTGGCTGTGCCTGGCCCTCTTCGCATATGGGCTCAGTGCTCCTTTGCATGTGAGTCTGTAGGAGTCCATGGTCTCCATGGAGACTGCACTACGACCATGCTCTCTACTGGTATCGACTAGATCTTCGATACCTGTGCTCCTTCCATATGAACCAGTGACCCTCCTGCTTCTTGAGCATTCAGGCCCATGACAGTCACCAAACAAGGAGGGGACACCATCAGATGAGGCAGGGGCACCACGGTGATGAAGCTGGTGAAAGAAGGTGGGCGCCAAAGACAAAGAAAGGATGGCAGGGTGCAAGTCACCACCCAGATGAGGTGGGACTGGCCCCTGATGGAGATGAAGCAGCCAGAGGCCACCCATCCAGAGGAGACAAGGAGGTGGTGCCAACAAGTGGCATCACAAGGTGGATGGGGAGCATAGGAGGGACAAGGAGGGTGAGCAGTGTCATGGGCGACATTGCAAGAAAGGTATATAACCAAGTTGAAGAGTCACCGGGATAACCAACATGCGAGAAAAGCGAGCAACCGACAGACCGATCCTCTGCATGCATACTAAATTGAGTGGCGACCAATCAGGAGAAGCATATGAAAGGAAAATGCCAAGATACTACAAAATGGGCATGACTCGAAAGAGAACAACAAGCCATCTCATAAACAGGACAAAGGTATATATACACACAACCCTGTAGCAATAGTGCACAATGAATCTTAAGCATTACATCTATGACACACTAGTACGAAAGAGCTAGAACGTGGCTCAGACGAAGGAGGTGCATGGTATAGCTTCAACTAACCATGTTCTCTGTCCTAGCAAGAGAGTGGTTCACCATCCACTTGACACCATACATTACTAGTTATAGCTTTACACATAAGTATACATTAGTACTCAGTCAGCCAGTTGCAATCTCAATAGGTTGCTTCCATTGTAGCACATGTGTTGTATCACTGCTCACTGACATCTGAAGGCAGTTCATAGCAAACCAGCAGTCCAGATAAAGATAGAACCAAAGGCAGTCATCCACTGTGGTTTGGGGATCACCTCAAGCACTCAGTCAACACACTGGACACTTGTGTTGATGACATCAACTATCTCAATCACACCAGACCTTGGTGTCTTGCAATACATTCAATGTTATTGATTGTGCTGAGCTACCTCTGAATGGAGTGTCCACAGCAGTTAGTCAAAACCTGCAATAGCAAAATCATTACTGCATCTTTGGGCAAGAAAAGTGATAGAGACATCTCTACTACATATCTCACCAAGAATTGTAATACCTCTAGCATTGTCACATATCTCAACAGGATTTGTAATAGACACATTTCTATTACAGATATCAGGTTTTGGGTGCACAACCCCTGACATATAGTTATTGATTGTGCCGAGCTATCTCTGGACAGGGTGTCCACAGCAGTTAGTTGAAACCTGTAATAACAATCAAGATATCACATATTTGAGCAAGAAAAGTCATAGAAGGCTTCTAAGACAGATCTCTGCAAGAATAATAATAACAGCCCTTTATCACAGATCTCGATAGGATCAGTAGTAGTTGTAATTCTACTACAGATATCAGGTTTCAGGTGTGCGACCTCTTACAAGATCAGTCCTCCAAGCAGATGGAAGGTATGCTATCGGACAGTTGATTTATTGTCTATTGGACCCTGTCCCCAAACTTTGGGCAGGGACTGTACCAGTGACACCATCTCGAAAACCTTAAAATCACCATAGCTCAGCCATTTTTTAATAAGTCTTGTTTGAAAAAGTTGGAGGTTGTCCCTCGATCTTCTGCGTTCGTGGAGAACCACGAAAGGGCAAAAAGTTTCGGAAAATCATATCGAAATTCAGGTCGTACTGGGATTCGAACCCAGGGCAAGAGAAGTCGAATCGTATCGAAGAGCAAAGCTCGAACAATCAGAATCTCCTAAGTTAACCAACTACTCCATACAACCTTCGCTGTTTCATTATTCCCATACCTAAAATAAAATCGTTGAATTGTCAGATTCCTAATGGAGACGAGGAAGTGTGAGAAGGGACGACGCGCCTAGAAGGTGAATCATCACCATGTTCCTCTGCTCGTTGCCCGCGTATGCTTTTCATCACTGGCCAAGTCCATCGCACGCTGGTGTTGATCGCATCCCACAGGCGTACTTTCATCTTGGCATTGACAGAGGAAAAATTCTGGATGCGGGCTTCGTGGTTCAGAGTCTTACCCTGTCCAAGTGCGGAGATGCGCGTGCAAGCGCCCTCCTCGCATCCCTGTTTCTTGACGTTGTGATGCCCGCAAGCAGATCTCTCGATGCGGTTCGATGGTGCTTGATCTTCCGTAACGCCTGTTGTCGTCGAACAGTCATCTTTGTCCCGGTTCCCAGCCGTTCAACGCGCGAACCCTCTTCATGCCACGCTGTCAGGCTCGAAGAGGCTTGAGTGTTTCGATCTCCCGAGACCGGACCCTCGTCGACTGAACAAGCCAACAACATGCGTATCCAAGTTGGACCGCCTCCAAGCGCCTTTCTCGTGTCTTTGAAGACGCGAGCATCTGTCATCCCGCTGCAGCTGCATTTTACGGTCGAAAGGAACCGCGTAACGAGGCTCAAGGTAACCAAACGGAGGCGCGGCGCACACACGGTGAATGAATAGATGGCTGATGACATGCTATTGAAATTGTGCCTATGCGGCTTGCGAGAACGATTCTGAATGCAGATGTAGGTTTGATGTGCTAAAAATGTAGTAATGTGACGGAACAGTTGGACCATTGACGTGAGGTCGTCTTGTAGCAATGGCGGGGAAGGTGACAGACCGTGAAAAGTGATAAATAATAGTGTACAGTGGCTGAGCACGAGAGATGCGCAGACGAGAGAGCGAGACCGAAAAAAGGAGGTAGAGAGGTGTCGAATGCATCGTACAGTCGTAGCATTGATTCAGGCCCGACTCAAAGCGAAAGCGTTCAGTAGGCGCCTCCTGCTCGAGCGATGGGAGTTGAGCGCCCAGAGGCGGACGAGGGTGTGTGGGTGTTGAGACTAGTAGTGTCCGGGCTAGCTTGTGGCACCTGGTTGTCACCGTTCCAGCAGAAGCGGGCAACGAGCTCGTTGAAGCTGGTCAAGTTGGAAGGTCGCATAAACTCTTCATCAGGCGTCGCCAGCTCCGAAGAAGGCGAGAGCGTCGTGGACAAAGACAAGACAGAGGAAGAGTAGCCACGCTGTTCTGCATCGTCGCCTGCAGCAAACGAAGAGGGTCGGTTCCTGCCTTCAAGGTGATCAGCACGGAGGTAATGGTAGGACGATGAACCACTGATGCTGCCCAAACCATCCAAGCTGTCCGACATGCCCGGCTCGTTGCTAAAATCAATCATAGCTGTTGAGTCAGAATCAACCGATGTTGCCGAAAGAGCCGGCGAGAAGGGGTTTGGGGAGTTGTTCAAGGAGGTGGGAGAGGCTTGGCTGCCGTCGAGTGTGTAGTCTTCCAGCACTGTGCCGTCACCCTTGATCTCGATCCTCGTAGTCGAGAAGCCAATGGGCGAAGGAGGCGTGCCAGACCTTGAGCCGGACGCAGAACCCGATGCAGAGCCAGGGTTGCTGCCGTTGCGGGCTTCCTCATGCCAGATGCCAAACACGCTGCGAGGTTGGGCGTTGCGGTTCGGCGGTGGGAAGGAGTTGAAGCGAGTGGACGATGAAGGCGTTGGCGAGACGGGCGAGAGAGGGCTAGAGGCTCCGTTGGCACCTACTTGAGGCACTTGCAGTAGAGAGCCGGTGGGAGAGCTGGTGGTGGAGCTGTTGACAGCCGCATGCTCCACCACGTCATCACCGAGACCAGGGCTCAACATGCCAAGGCGACCGAACTTGGGAACAAGCTCTGCTGCGCTTCTGGGGGTGGAACCATCCGGAGAAGGCGTAGCAGCGCTGACGACGAAGGACGAGCGAACCGGGCTCGATGAGGCCGCCGGCGAAGGGCGAGCCGAAAAGTAGTCGAGAGCGGCGGCACGGCCCGCTTCGGTCTTTCGACTGCCGCTGGAAGGGTCGCGGAGTGATGCGCCAAAGTCGTACCTGGCACCCCACAGAGAAGGAGAGCTGGGCTTGCCAGCGCCTCCAGGAGAGACGGGTGGAGATCGACGTTTGGACATCTCGGTGATGAAGCTGCACGAAGGAGGTGCCTTTTCGGCCTCCTCGTCGTCAGAGCGAAGTCGCTCGAGCTCTTGCTTGAGCCTCTCCATGGCGTTGTCGCGCGTCGCCTTTTGGCCATAGACGCCGGTCCTGCGACCCATCTCGATGATGGACGAGGTCGAAGCTGGACCCATGGAGCTGAGCGTGTACCTGCGTGGCACCGTGTTGCCAAAGGAGGCAGCAGCGCCGCGGCTTTCGTTCGAGGTAGGTGGCATGCGTGGCACCTCGGCTGGCTGCGCAGGACGCTTGCGAAAGTCAAGCTGGTAGTTGCTTCCGTCGTTGTTGTCCCAGATCTCACGACCGCCAGTGGTGTAGCGGAGACACAAGAAGATGGTCTTGGTCTCGTTAAGGCCAGCTCCTCGAGGCCAGTTCAAGACCTCGTTGAGCTTGATGGAAAAGACAAAGCGATCTGCGGTGCCCTGCTTGATGCTTTCGGAATACTCTGCTGAGACCTCGTTGACGGTGACCCAGTGATCGAGTGTAAAGCGAACTGCGACCCATTTTTCGAAGCTCAGGTTCTTGACCTGCACCGTGCCACGAACGGATCGCAAGTCATCCGAGAGGTATATGCGCTCCAAGAAGATGTCCTTGTCGAGCGAGAGTTTGGCGGATGAGGGGAAGTTTGGCAGGCGCAACACGAGCTGCTCGTCGGCTTCAACAGCGTCGGGAGTGGTGGGATGGTTGGTGGGACTCCTGGAGCCAGCTGCTCGACCAGGACCTCCGCCCCTGCGGGAGCCGAACCATGGATAGTCGCGCTCCTCTTCGGTCTCGGTCTCGGTGTGCTCTGGACTGCCCTCACGCGAGACAGCCTGTGGACGGCCTTTGACCTTGAAAATCTTGATGTGTTCGAGCTGCTTGTCAAAGTGAACAAACTTGGGAGCACTAGGGGTGGTAGGTACAGACTTGGCGCCGTAGGCTGAGGTGGTAACGATAGCCTCGCTGGCGGAGCGTGGGTACATGTAGCTGCCCGAGTATGGCTTGAGCGAGGACTTGACGGGCTCGCCCGACTTTTTTCGAATGAGCTCCGAGTTGGTGGAAGAAATCGACGAACGATCGCCAGCTGGCGATGGAAGGCAGTGAAGATCGAGACTCAAACCACCGAGAACCTCTGGACCAGGGCTGTTGGCTTTGAGTGCCAGCGCCTTTCTGAAAGCAGGGTGGATGGGAGCTGCATTCTGTGATGTGGCCATGCTGATCGGCATCTTGGGGCTGGGGAAGGGGAGGCGATTGTCAGGAGGTGTGGCTAAGTCAGCTTCGCTCGCCGTGCGTGCCGAAAATGCCTCGCTGGAAGGAGGGCTAGGAGTGTGTGTGTGGGCTCTTGGCAGGGCAGGGAAGGCGGGAGTGAGTCTCATCATCTTGGCTCGACGCTTTGCTGCTTGAGCGCTCTGGATCTGAAGGATAGCATCGCGCTCTGCTTCAAGCTCTTTTTTCTCCTGAATGCTGGCGTAAGACTGGCGTTCCTGATAGCGCCCCTCGAAGAAGCCACGAGCGGTTGTCCAAATGCGAGAATCTGAGGCGATGCCGCGAACATGATTCTTGGGACGTGTTGGCACTGGTTGTACAAGACTGTCAGGGGCAGTGGAAGTGGAGGCAACCATCGAGGGCGAAGAGTTGGTGGTGGTGGTGGTGGTGGTGGTGGTGGTGGGACGCGCCTCGGCAGCAAAGAGAGGCGTGTCGGCTTGTGAAGTCGAAAGCGTCATGCTGTCGTGGTGGTCCTTGGCTTGGAAAGTGTGAACATGCGAAGAGTAGACGGATCTAGCGAATTGTGGTCGATGATTGGAATTGCGGTCGTAGGTAGGATGAGTGGCGCTTACAAGCATAACGAGGTGCTAGATGAACGTGTCGTTAAGGATGGCAAGCTGGGACAGTAGAGTTTGTCACAGAGCTGGTTGCATGAAAGCGTGTGGGAGGAGCAGTAGCGACAGCCAAAGTAGAAGCACCAGTGTAGAGACAGCGCAAGTCTAAGAGGAGGAGGTCGAGAGAGAGAGAAAGAGAGAAGGTGCGAGCAATGATTAGGGAGAAGTGTCGTCGAGGTCTCGAGGTCAAGGTCGAGGTCGAGGTGAGAGCGACTAGTGTTGTTGTTGTCGTTGTAGAAACAAGTGGTGATGGAGGGAAGATGGTAGTGGTCGCACGAGATGGAGTGGATGGCCGTAGATGAGAAGAGACGAGACGAGCGGAGCTTTTGGCGGTAGGAGAGTGTGAGTGAGTAGAGCTCAGGTTGAGGTGAAACCTGAGAGAGGAATGTGAGTTTATGGCCGAGCGTAACAGATCGTCGGCTTCGGTGGCTGAACAAACAGATCGTAAAGGGGAAGATGAGAAGCGGAGACGGGATGAAGGAAGAAAAGAAGGAGCGAGACAGGAGAAAGGGAGATGGATAGTCAAGCTGCTGGGCTGAGCCAAGCGAAGTTAACAGAGGAGAGGTGCTGGTGGAAGTGTGCAGAAAAGGCGAGTTGATAGCGTTGATGCTGCTGTGCGGTGGCCGACGGACAAAGAGGCAGCTGATGGCGATGGGGAGGATCTGGGTGTGGAGCAGCTATTGTGTAGGCGACAGTGTGGCGGTGTGTGAGAGGGGAGGATGGGTTCGCGGCGGCGGCAGGTGGAGACGATCGGCGGTGCGCGAGTTGGCTTGTCCGTTGTACAGGAGACGGAGAGAGGAAGAGGCCGCTTTACGACGAGAAGACGAGCTTTGTTCGTTATTCGTTTCGTAACAGGCCTGGCAGAGCAGTGAAGCAGATCGATATAGATCAGATCAGACGAGGGCGAGAGGAAAAGATATGGGTGGGGGACGAAAGGCCCAAGCCTCGCGACGACAGCAGCACAGTGCCATGCGGGAAGGGCGCGGAGAGAGGGATAGAAGCGAGAGAAAGTGGAGTGTAGGAGAGGCTCAGTCTGGATAGTGAAATCAAGGCACAATGGCACACTCGGACCTCATAAAGCAACTTGGCGTTTTGCAGCTCTTCGAACGACAATTCTCGACTCTGCCTTGTGTGAGGGGTGTGTGGAGAATGGCGGAGAATGGCCGCCGACTCTCCAACACGTCACACGAGGAAATTTGTCGTCGAAAACTGTAGCGCGCCTCGCTACAAGGGACAGCAGTCCAACAGCAAGGCTTTTCTTTTCTTTACTATTTTTTTTTCTTTTTTTTTTTTTTTCTTTTTTTTTTTTTTTTTTGACTCTAGATAAAATGTCGCATCAGTCAGCCAGGCATGGCTCTTGTCAAGCGGGCGGGGCGGTGGAACGGTGCACAAGCGGCACACCGTCTCTGGGCCCTTCTCTCTGCCACTCTCCCGCTGCAGTGTTATGAAGCGTAGCTGTCAAAGAGCGAGCAAAGCCTGATCCGCAGACAGTCCGATTTCGAAGTCGTGCTTCGGCATGCAAGTCTCTGTGTACTGTGTGCTCCTTTGAATAAAACGAAAGATGGGATTGACAAGGCAACCTATCTTGAGATCCTACTGTACCTGTACCTACTGTGCGATGGCATCGATAGCGTCCTGCCAAAGCCTGATTGCGTCGCCCCGCGTCGTTCGATTTTATGGTAATTCATCTGGTTTGGCAAGTAGCAACGGTCTCTTCTCGAAATCTCCTCTTCTCTCGCTTTACAATTCGAACTTTCTAATCTACATGCTATGCTTTGCTCGAACCTCTCATTGGCTCGCACTTTTACCTCGAACTGTATAAGCAGCAGCTTGGGGTAGACGCGGGGCACAAGTTCATCAGCTTGCTTGACTCTATTTTACCTTCCAAACTTCACAAGAGCTGATCTTACCGTTCCAGCCTGGTTTTGCTTTCCAGGGTCCTTGCGACTAGCGCGGTGGCATGTCGTTTGCTTAAAGGACCTGGCGCTGACCTGCTCTTCCGCGTCACCAGCTCATGGCGATATGCACGCACGGGCACCTGTTAAATATCGAATTGTGACAACGCCATCAGCCATTCTCGCCGAAAGCGCAAAAAGAACAGAGGAATGAGAAATTGCTCAAAATATTGACTTTTTGTTTTTATTTTGCCCGGGCATTTCACCCCCACAGATGGCAAAGAAAGTGAGAAATGCCTCGCATTCTTTTTGCTTGTTGCTTGTTGCTTGTTGCTTGTTGCTTGTTGCTTGTTGCTTGTTGCTTTTTCCTTTTTTTTCCCCCTTTTCTTTGCCATCAAGGGATCCAGGCGTCTTTTGCCGATCGATAGCAAGGCCTCTTGGCAACCATCACCCAATTGTTGTTTGTGCACGTCATTCAGAATGCTATCGCCGAATTCGAGCCCTCGGACCGCTCAATTCGATGGCGTTGTGGATCATCAGGATCATCGAATCATCGAATCATTCGGGACGAACCTGGCAACGATTGATAGGTTGATCAGCTCACAAAGGACGAAAGGGCAAGCTGTTGCAGTGCAACTGGAGGTCGAATTGGTATTCGCAAGAAGAAAAGGAAATTGTGACGCGAGATGCATCCTCCGATGATGATGGTGGGCACAAGTCCAAATTCACAGAAAGGGTACAAGAGTAGCTTCTGTCACACACGCTCATGCCCGGATTGTCTCAAAAGCGAGGTCCTGAGCGCTGATTGGCACTGCAGCGAGCTAGTAGACCTCCCGGACAGTCGGACAGTCGGACAGACGGACAGACGGACAGACGGACAGACGGACAGACGGACAGACGGACAGACGGACAGACGGCGCTGGTGATTCTTCGATGTACGGATGCGCATCGTCAGACCGGTCTTTGCTCCAATAAAACAATGGTGCTAGTGCACATTCTTGCCGACGCTGGCGGTGCTAAGCGGGTCCGCTGTTCCGAGTGGGCGGTCATCCAACGAAAGCCGCAACAACGGGGGTTCGACCATGACACCAGGTCAACTCAGAATAAGCTTGCATCCGTCTCTCTGTCGGTTGAGCAAAAAAAGCTCCTTCCTACAATTACGGCGTCAGAGCAGCTTGAAACTTTCCAGACGATTGATCTACATCTAGGCGAGCTATCAGCAGATCTAAGGGTCTCATTGTCGATCTTTTCTAGTGTCGATGTTGCTAGGTGTCCATCGGGAACACGAAAGCGGTCTCGATCCGACGTGGCCGACCTTCTATCACTCCCCATGCGGCTGACGACAACAATCAAGCATGGGTGATTCACGTCATTCTCATGCTGCTCCAAGAGGGTAATGATCTACGGCCAAGCGGGACTTTGCTCATTCTAATCCACTCTTTTGACAGGCCGCTGTCACGCTCCACGCTCCCAGCTAGACTCTGTTTCAGCAGTCGCTTCAATCCTAACATCTGAATCGCTTTCAGAGGTCTTTCCTCGGCCCATACCGTCGACGTCAACGAACGAGGTCGCCTGCAGAGCATCACATTCGTCGAGGAGGTATAGTACATTGAACGCGATGTCGGCAAGGTTCCTCTTCGAGTACGGTGAGGGGATGTAGCTAAGCGGCCAAGGGGAGATAGCTGGTCTCGCCAAGACGATAGCGAGGACCATAACTCATCCCGCACCCTCATCTTCTTGGTCCTTGACCGTTCGCGTGCACTACGTTAGATTGCACGGAAATGAATGCTCACCACAACTACAAACAATGAAAGAGCCAAGAAGAGAGGAACGGCACAAGGCGAGGCTAGTCAAAGGCTAACTGTCCTTAGAACATGGGTCTTCCTATGTGCGCGCCTGTGTCGGCCATCGAGATGATTGGGCGGACTGCCAATGAACGAGCTGATTTAGAAGATGGTGATGGAGCCTGTAGAGTGCAGAACGGAGACGATCCGGTTTCTGCACTGTGATGTAGTACACCGGCTGTCGGACTCACTACCGGCAATGTAGCATGTCCCAAGAAAATACACACAAAAGCAAGGCGGCTAAGCAAATGGCGTCCTCGGCTTGGGGCTGAGAATAGAGCGGAATGGCAAATCGAGCGGAACTTATGGCATCCCACTCAACAAACACTTTGCCCCTGAACCAGCACTTGGATAGTCACAAAAAAAAAAAAGAAAAAAAAAAGAGAGGAGACTTGGGCAGCAGTGGAAAGCTGGATGGAGTCCTCCTTGCGATAATCGATGAAAACCCGCCTCGCGATCGAAAGGTGCGTTTAGGATAGCGTATCTGAGACTTGATTGCTAGACCGTCTGGACGCACAGCGAGACAAGGAGTGCCTTTTGCCGTGCACCTTTCCGTTGCGCGCTCACACGGCCAGAGTATCGAGCTTGCCTGAACTTGAGCTTTACACTCAATCGCTTCATTCCAAAAGCAGTCTAGTTGTCCCGTGGAGCCCCTCATGATGTCCTTGCTGCATGTCGTGGGGAAAGTGATGCAAGGATGAGCAACCACAGGCACGGCGGCCAATTAGATTTGGGGGAGGCACTTCTGAATTTCACCGACTGAAAGATTATTTCGGTGTGTGTGAGTGTGTGTGTGTTTGTGAGAGTGTGTGTATGAGAATGAGTGATGTGGGCTGACACGCTTACAGCGAGAGGAGCCTTTGACTCGGAATCTCCTCTTTCTCTGTATTTCCTTGTGTCGCTACGTCGCCTAAGAACAGACTCAGGCTTGCAGACCATCTCGCATTTCCAAACTTCTTTGTTCTCTACGCCATCTTCCAAACGAGAGCGACATGAGTACTGTTCCTTATTTGGAACTGATCCTGGCATGTTCGACACAGATAGGGCCACAAAGAATGTCGACGTCGACCATTTGTTGGGGTAAAGTGAGGCTCCCTCTTCCTTTAATGCCAGGTTCCCATGATTGCCACGTGAGCTCGTGTGAAGCTTTCCGACGCGGGATCTGGCGAAGCTTGGTTTGCATCGTCTTCGACTTGTTCAGCGCTCCCTGAGCCACAATGAGCTAGTACACTCTCTTTGTACGAGAGATGGTTCTCAGAAACGACGGGCGGTAATGTTGTGTAGCTCTGCGCTGGTTCGGCTTCCGTTGCGTTGCAGGAATATGGATGCGATTTGGAATGATCTAAGCGCCGCAACCGACCTGCTTGCTATTGTCATACGACGCATCTTTGTCGTTCAAGGTTCAGGATTGGAACGTTTGGCGCTCGTACATGCATGGACAGCGAACGAAGCGTCCACTCCGATGCAGAGTAGCCCTTTGTTATAGGCAAAGTTGGTGGGCCCGAGACGCTGGGCTTGTACGAATGGTCGAGAAGAAAGCCGGTCGAAGATAGGATTGACCGGCCAAGTATGCTCCAAACGCGTCGTTCAGACTCCTACCCATTGTAACGACGGGGAGTTGATGTCTCATCATGCTTCCGCTGTTTGTTGCCAAGTGTATGTGTGGCAGCGGCAGGTCGGCTGTCTGAGCTTTACATCGATCAAATTGGCCGTAGTTCGACCGTTTACATCGACTCTCCCTTTCTCGAAAATCCTCGCCGAGGCTTTTCTTTCTTCGACACGCTCCTGATAGGTTCACTTTTTCGTTTAAGTCGGCTCCAGACGTGAACGCTCGACGACCCTGGTCAAAAATTGCTACAGTGTGAACAGCTGATTGTGGGCCCCACATTGAAGCTGACATACTCATCATCTAATTGGTAGCGAGAAGGATTCGATATGTGTATGACTTTGGCGACCGCTCTTCTCACTTTCTGGGTTGTGAAGGAGCTCGGGTTTCCTCGGTGTTCTCCGCTGGGCTGTCAGCTAAGTTGGTTTTTCTTGCCTCTTTTTCGGGTACCTTTTTCTTTTTCTTTTTCTTTTTCTTTTTCTTTTTGGCTTTGTTTTGCTGTACTCCAGAAGCCCCCTACAAGCAAGTGACATGGAGATTCCGCTAGAGACCGAGCAGTGACCGTTGGGAATGTTTGATCGGCCGAAGTAACAAATCTGATACTTGAGCTGTTCCGAGTCCCGAATCATATTCGTTTGCTCACTGTTGATACGACGTTCCATCTCACGCCGACCTCATCGCCGGCACTGCATCCTCACACCTCCGATCAACCTGCTGTGCGCAGCAGCGACCGCTACGTAATCAGGATGGATCTCGGTCCAACTACAGGATCTTCGACTGCGTCGCCCATTTTAGCATCGGACGACTTCACAGAGTCAGCAGCATGGACGGTCGAGACTGAGATCTCAGCCAACGATGTGGTCGAGAAGGAAAAGCTTGTTCGGTATGTATCGAGCGAGAGACCGAGCTTCAGAGCTTTTGCGCAGCCGACTGAGAATCTCAACTCTACTCCAATTGATTGCCTTGTGTTATGCAGCGAGATCATGGCGATGCAGGATGGACTGCGAGCACTCATCAGCCGCGTCAACGCTGTCAAGGAGGACTGTAAGAAAGCAGAAGCAGACAACGAGATGCTCCAGACGTATATCGACTCGGTCACCAAGAGTCTAGCAGCCAAAGAGAGAGGCTAGGCTCAAATCCAAGCAGCATATCAGAAACACATGAAAGTATACAACAACATACGCTTTCTATTCGCACATCACTGTTGTACAACAGTACGATACCATCTTCTTCCGTCTTGACAGTGTATCGTTGACGGCCTCATATTGGGCCTTTTATCGGTAACTGCGGTACTGTGCATCGTGAACTCGCACCGACTTCCAATCTCGCTTGAGGCGAGCATGTGCGAGCTCGTCGCGTTGTTTCGCTCACTGCCATGCGATGACTCCAAGTCTCGACCTTGTTGAGATTGCAGTCCGATCTAACGAGGCTTTATCGGATCGGAAATCGCAGACAAGGGAATGACAACACAGCAGCAGCGATTCACCAGGCTCTCTTCTGGCTGTGCGAGGTTCTTTTTGGTTTTCTGACGGCGAAAATGGTCAGCTGTCAGACAAACAGAGGCGAGAGTAGTGACGCAGAGTGTTGGAAGAACAATGCGGCAACGCATCATGGCTGCCAGTTCGAGATGCTTCATGATTACAGCGCACCGATCGTGTGCAATCAACTCAAACACCCACACACATAGACACGCCAGCATCTAGAAGTTCCTTTCAGCCAGCTTCTGCTGCTGATTTTTTAGAACTCAGACCGGCCCAAACCGCACTTTTCATCGTTCCTGTTACCTTTTGACATTCCGCTCTACCCTGCCTCTTTCTCATCCTCCCTCTGCACATCCATCTTTTACGACGCACGACTCCATCCGTTTGTCTGTCTCTCAGAAACAAGTTGCCTCGCCTTTCTCGACTTCCGCCTCCTTTCCTTCGCCCCGAATCTCCCTTACATTGCATCTTCAACCGAACTCGTGGGACCGCCTTTTCAGTTTCCTTTCGGTTCCGCAGGGCTTGTTCTTACGCCCGGCACGGTTCTTAGCAGCGAAGAGCGATCGAGCATCGCCAAAGTGCAGAATTGTCTCCCTGTTCCCTCGTCTTTCAGTCTTGACCTCCACCATCGTCGTCAGCTCGATTCCGACTCGTGGCCTTCCCCTCGATCCCTACACGATTAAAGCGCTCGGGCCGTAGCGTCTTTGCAAGTGCCTAGCGCCGCTACGGTCATCCCACTCCATCATGGTGCTCCAGAACAAGTACAAGGCCAAGGCCTCGAGGCGGTACAACAACAGTAAAGCCACAACGGACGACGCTGAACTAGGCTCCTCCAAACCAGACTTCCGCCAGCGGTTCGCCAACAAACACAGACGGCCACATGCAACACAATCAGCGCAAGACGGCGAAGAAGACGGATCCGACGCGGACAGTGACGATGGAGATGGAGAGGAGGTTTCGCTAAGCGGTAGCGACGGAGAAGATGATAACACAGACTTCCCTAGCCTCACGAAAGCAGCTGCCACTCCTAACGGCACAACAGCAGCACCGGCAAAGGACAATGAAGATGATCCATCTAATCCTAACAGAGGCAAATACGCTCGTCGTCGGCTAGGCGAGAGCAAACTAGCTCGATTGGAACGTCTCGAAGCAGCCAAAAATCCTCGATTACCAGACGACCAAGAGCCGGAGCCCGAAGTGGACATTTCCAGCCTCATCGTACGTGTAGCGGCACTAGGCGATTCTGCAGCCACACAAGCTGGTCTAGCAGAGGAAATCGCACGTAGTCGAGCGCAGCACGAAACAGCCTCCGACGTCGAGAACGATATCGATCACAGTCTTGCCTATCTCCACGAGAAGGAACGTCAACGGCAAAAGGCTAAAGGTCGCACCACAAGCCACACTCCAGATTCGAATCACAAGGTTGTTACAGACGCGGTGCAAGTAGACGTAGACGGCAACCCAATCGACTATGAAGCACTGAAGAAAGAAAAGGAGAAAGCAGAGGCCGTTCGTGCTCTCAAAGCTCGTTTTCAAGGTCATGACGTTGGTGAACGATCACGGTCAGACGTTAAGCCTCGCGCGGTGCCTTCTATTCATATCGGTCCCAAAAAGCCTGTCATCCCGGCAGAACTCGTTGGGAGCCAAGCAAATGCTGCGGAAGGGGATTTGTCGCAAAGTCTCACAGCCGAAATCGAATCCTCTCTCGCCAAATCCCCTCGCACTACAAACGGCGAGACAAGTTCTGTCCACTCTGGCCGATCTAGTTTTAGCACTACTTTCGGTCGTCGCAAGTCTCCTCTTGCCAGCGTAAGCGCGGATTCGGACTCAAGAAAAGGTGCCAACTGTGGCGGATCAGCGCGCAGGACAGAGAGGATAGACAGCTTCCTAGCAAGTCTTAATGATCGCAGTGTAAACCCAAGCCATCCTTCCGTTTTCCAACTGAGTCCGACAGGAACGCCAGGTGCGGCGAGACCAAGTCCACATCCGACAAGTAGGATCAGCGGTAGTGCGGAAAGAGTCACTCCGCAACACAAGGGGATACAGTCGACCCCTGGCGAGTTGGGCAGGCTGGAGAGCTTTTTGGATGATATGCTCGGCTGATCGCCATGTACATAGACGAGCTTTTGTACTTGTACCGCTTTTTGTCACCTGAGCTTGTTGCCAATGGACATTGTGTTTTATACATTCACACATTTTTTTACCCAGTCTCCAGCTATTTTTGTGCTTCAAGTCAGCTTGATCTGAGATTGAAGATGGCGGTGGAGAGCTAGTCAAGCACGAGGTCCCACATGACCTTAGTAATATGCTCTTGCCTTCGCCTTGTGCCCCTAATCATGCCCATACGAGCCAACTCGTTGAGTGCTAGTGCAAAGCGGCTCTGCAAGTCAGCCCCGCTTGTTCTAGGTGTAAGACTCTCCTCGTCACCCCCTTCTGCTATCTTACGGGGTCGCTTCTTCGACGGAGTATCCAACACGTCCGAATCGTAATCTGACTCTGCCAAATCCAACAATTGTATACTCCTCTTCCTCGGGCTCTTCCTTTTTGACGGGGTCCAAGGCACCCCATCCTCCTCCCCTTGACCATCCTCAGATACCTCAGCAGCATCCCTACTACTACCCGCAGCTTTCCTTGCCTCAGCCTGCTCACCATCCCTAACGAGTCCCTCCTGCATCTCTTCAATCGTGTCATCCAACTCCACATTCTGCTTGAACGCTTCATACCAATCTGCCAAATTAACAAACTTTCCACACTCTCTATATAGCTTGAACAACCTACAAACATCTGGTGTCGCCATCTCTTTCAACCTTCCCAAATCAATCCCCTCCAGTTCTTCTTCGGGGACAACGCTTAGTGCTGCATCGTAAAGACTCTCTATGAACTCTTCAGGTGCGCTAAGTGGTAGCGTTAACCCAGCTCGCGTGGATGGATCGAGTAGGGTAGAGAGCGGTCCGTAACAATCGACGAAGAAAATATCCCTCAAAAGGTGGAGTGGGCCATTATCGGAAGCGGACAAGGTACGAGTGAGTTGCCTCCAATCAACAAGATTGTGGATCGAGTGAGTGAGGTAGTCGGTAATCTCGCGTTTGAGACCGAGGAGTTTTTCTTCCATGAGCAGTTTGCGTTGCACTCGCTGTAAACGTGCCTCGCGGCGTTGTGAAGCTGCTTCGGTGCCCGTTGCGGCGCAAGTGAGATCGGCTTCTTCTTCATCCGCCATGCCAGCTGTACCTGCGACGATAGTCTGCGATAGTCGCTGTTGGAAAGTTCGCAAACCAGCCAGGAACTGTGTGCTCTGAGATGCGATAGACTCCGTTGCCGAGCGGAGCTGTCCTTCGCTCTGCGCATCAGCGTCTTCTGCGATGTCAAGGTCTTGCTCGACCTTGCGAACCTCGTCTTCAGCTGCAGCGACCATATCATCCAACAACGTCTCGAATTCGTCCGATAGCAACCGTTTTGCTGCATTGCACAGTCTCGCCAAACCATTCCGCAAAGTCAGAGCAGCGGGCAATCTCTTGCCTGTCTCTAAAGAGGCAACAGAGGCGTTGAGACACTGCATAACAACCTGAGTTAAAATCTCGCTCGCTCGCTCTAGCTGTCGTTGTTCGTCCATCTCTGCAGCTTGTTGTGCTGCCACGGAATGATTGCGTGCATGCATAGCCTGTGCAGCGGTGCTCGCTCGGAATTGAATCCGTTGTAGTGCTTCGAACGCCCTGAAGAGAAAGCGGACTGCGAATTCGAGTCTGAAACAAAGCACTTCGCGGGGATGTCGCAGCTGATCCAACTCGCCCAGGATGAATTGATCTGACCGCGCAGCTTCGGACAAAAAGTTGTTCACATCCAGTCCACCAGACTCCCCAGTCGACCCTGGAAGGAAGGGCAGCACCAAGTTTTTCTCCTCATCCGTGGTGAGGAAAGCGATTTTCATTCGTTCGACCATCTTCGGTGTCCAGCTGTAGAACCTGACCCGCTTGGCCTGACCTGGGATAGTGAAGGCTGACTCTGGCTTACCCGAGAAGTGGATGAAACACGCTAGCCGTACGGCGTCTAGGACTGAGTCGAGGTCGGCATCTCTCTCCCAGTAAGTCTCTCGGATATACTCGAAGGTCGAAGGTCCGAGAGAGAGTGGGAGGTCGCGTGAGGTGAGAAAAAATTGTACAAGGCAAGACCAAACTACCTCTTTGCTTGGTAGGGAGAAGCGGGAGATGTCGAGGACGCGAAGGACTGAGCGGGGGATGTAGTCGATCCAAGGAGCTGGTGCGGAGGAGGCGAGACAGCTGCTGGATGCTACGATACCGTCGGTTGAGACAGCTGCCAAACCGCCTGAGGGGGAGGTGATGCCGAGGATGAGCATCAGCTGGGGTGTAAGTGAGCGGGCGGAATCGTGGACTGATTCGGTTGTTGGCTCGGTTACGAATGTCTGCAAAGCTGACAGGAGGTCGGAGAGCACTGTCGGCTCGACAGATTCGATTGTTGGCAGGTTTACGACGAGTCGAGGGCCTTGTCCGGAGTGTCCGAACTTTTTCTGCCACCAAAAGCGCAGGACGTGCAGGTCTGGCTCGACTTTGCCTGCGAATGCAGCTGCCTCGACATTAGCCAATCCACCTTCGTCTGAGTCGCCGAGTGTCGATCCCTGCGCAATGAATCGTGCCACTAGCAGTCGCAGAGCTGTGTATAGGTTGGAGCATTCGCCAGCGGAAAGTGTGACGACGATGATTGGTGGACCTTGCGATCGAGGGCCTGAGATTTCGGATACTAGATGACTCGAGAAGGATGAAAACGACGGCGCCGAGGTGGAGATGAGCAGGGCTGTTTGAATGCTCTTTGCTGTGCTATCCGAGCCAGTCATTCTATCATGGCTCTCGAATCCTGGGATAAAGAGATCGTGTTCCGCTATGCCAGTCAGTGGTAGACTATCAATGTGTTCTGGCTGTGCCAAGCCCTTGTCGGCCTGAAAGAAGGACCGCAGGTCGTCGAAGAGCGAGCTGTAGACGTCGTCCATACAATTCTCGAAGAGTGCTTCAGTCCGCTGGACGGCGATCTGATATGAGGTATAACGGACGCGAGCTGGATCGCTGTCAGCTTCGAATTCGGCGAGGACTGGGAATGGCAGGTCTTGTGAGTCTGTGATGGTGGAAGACCGTTTGGACTTCTTTCTGGGTAGCCACGGTATTGTGTAGCATGCTGAGGAGAGGGTGTCGAGGCCGCTCATTACTGGCCCGTTGCGAGCGTTGCGGGCGGACATCGTCGTCCTTGCTACAGGCGACCAGGCCAAAAGGTGCTGAAGCCTGCGACACGAGAACGAGTATGGTTCGAGTGGCTGGTCGAGCTCGAGGTGGAGAACAAGTGGCCTGAGACAAAGGTGTTGTTCGGCACTCGGACCAACACGTTGAACCCTTGTTTTTCGATTTTTATTCCAGCAAATTGTGAGCTATTTCGCTGTAACATGGTGAAGTCGCAGCAACCGTCCGAGTTAGAAGAGAGAGCGAGAAAAAATCTCCACTTTTTCTAGTTGTGACGCACTTGAGCCTTGGCTTGGGCTCTCTTGCTTTCCGGATGATCCCTCCGGAATTCATCTATCCTTAATCAGACACAGACAGAGATTCCTGTTGTCGCAGACATCCATCCACGCATCCTCACTTGGACCACCACCATCACTTTGACCACCACCATCACCATCATCACCTCTTCCGCGGTAGCCCTCTCCGCAGCGATATCCTCGTGGCTCGAAACACCGCAAACGACGTCCACCGTCGCGCGACCCGATCGCTGTTTGCAAGTCTGCAACTCCTTTTTCGGCTATCTAGTTACTCGAGCTCACTGAAAGGCACCAGGTGCGCAACGAAATCCCACTCTCTCTGCGGAGAATAGCGACCGTGTCGGCTCCAGATCTGCACACAACATAGCTAACATGCCAAGGAGCACACGAAACTCGAAATCGACGGCGGCGGACGTCTCTGCCGCCAACGGCGCTGCGGGCGGAAAGACCGAATCGCTCCTCCAACGAGCAAACGAAGCCGACGAGAATGTCTTCCTCTTCGTTCCCAACTTGATAGGATACGCTCGTGTCATCCTTGCAGCTCTCTCGCTATACTTTATGAAGGGCAATCCAAAAGTCTGCACCCTCCTCTACGGTGTTTCTTGCCTTCTCGACGCCTTTGACGGTATGGCAGCAAGAGCGCTCGGTCAATCCACAAAGTTCGGAGCTGTTCTCGACATGGTCACAGATCGATGCACCACCGCATGCTTGCTCTGCTTCTTGACCGCTGCCTACCCACGATGTGCCGTCATCTTCCAAGGCCTCATCACACTCGACTTTAGCTCGCACTACATCCACATGTACAGCTCGCTCGTCACGGGATCGGCATCGCACAAGATCGTCACCTCGGAAACATCCAAGATCTTGTGGTACTACTACAACGATAGCAGGACACTCTTCATGTTCTGTGCAGGTAACGAGCTCTTCTTCGTCTGCCTCTACTTAATGGACTTCTACAAGAGACCGTTGGGGTTGGACATCGAGCCTCTCATGTTCTTGTTCCCCTCGGCGCTCAAGGCTTCCCCATGGATCTCGTATATCATCAAAGAGGCTCCCAAGCTCAGCTGGCCACAAATTGTTGGCACGACCACTTTCCCGATCTGTGCTGCTAAGCAGATTATCAACTGCGTTCAGTTCTGGAAGGCTGCTAAGGTGCTTGTTGGCAAGGATCTCGAGGAACGACAAAAGACTCGCACCAAGTCGCTCTGAGCGCGAAACCCCTCAGTCGCCCTTGTTCTCTTCGATGAATGGCGTGCCAGCGCCGGTCTGAGCCGAAGCAGTAGGCTCAACCTCTAACGCATATCGCACCGGTGCTTCGGGATAAGTCGTCGCAAGGTCTGAGCACAAGCATTGTCACGAACGGATATCGCAATTCGGCACTCGATCCCGCTCGATGCCCCAGTCGGCTGTTGCTTCAGTCTGTTCGATCACACGCCACTCAGGCTCCTTCCGAGATTGGCATGCCTCGATGTTCTCCTCCCTCAAACCTTGCTTGCAAGCTCAAGCTGTACTAGTCGCTCCTTTTGCTGTACCTATCAATCTCTTCTCTCTCAATAATGACGTCTCTGGAAACACTCGTAGCAGACTCCGAAACTGCTTCCGTGTGTGTTTGTCCGCTTCCATCTCTAATACCCTCGTATTCGACTGAAGCCTGCACACAGTCTTCCTTGTGACTTTATCCTTGTCGACAACGCCGAATGAGGCGGTCGATGAGAAGTCCGTGTTCCGGCATTTCATTCAGAATTTTCCGGCAGCTGCTCGTGTGTATGTGTGGAGGTTTGCATGGACCCTGAAATGAACTTCATACGGTTCTGAAGAAGCCTCGGTCATTCTTTCCTTCCTTTCTTCCTTCCTCATTCTTGCCTGTCGTAAGCACTTATTCGAAGGACAAAGATGACTCCCGTTCCTTCATCGTCATCGTCAACGAAGCCAGCCAAGTTCGACCTCGTCCGACTGCTCTCGGAGATCCAGAGCGACCCCAACCCTTCCGCTTCGCAACGAAATGACATCCACCCACCACCCGCTTCTGATGACGAAGACGACTTTATGTCGGACAAATACCTCGCCACAGACGAAAGCAAGCAGCCTTTGACATACACTGACAAACGACGCAAGCTTGAAGCGCACAGCAGCCGCAAAAAGAGGCCGAAGAGCTTGAAGCAGCGCGAAGAGGAATTAAGAGAGGAGGGGTTGGCCCGAGACCTGTTGGCTGAAGCCGAGATTGTAGCTGGTGGGGGGCGATTACAGCCTGAAAGCAAGGATGGCAGCCGCAGATGGGACTTGTTGGAGAAGCAGGAGGGTGTAGGAGAAGTGTTCCGGGAGGATCTGGGTCAAGCGAGCGCGGGTGAGGATGGAACAGCAAAAGCGATGCGTATGATGCTTGCTATGGGGTATCGGAGAGGAGAAGCACTAGGGAAGCGGATGCAGGATGGCAATAGACAGGACGAAGTTGAAGAGGTGGAAGAAGAGGAGGAAGAAGAAAGCGCGAAGAAGCGAGCATCGACTGCTGGGGCGAATCTCACGAGCCCACCAGACGACACAGACCCATCCTCACTCGACACAGACGAAGAGCAAGCAGCGCAACAAGAACGAGCAGCTTCTCAAGCAAGAGAAGAAGACGAATACCTTACCGGCGGCGCATCCTCCTCTCTCCTCACTGCAAGCCTCGCTCACTCTCCTACCAGCAGTCCAAGAATCCCTGAGCCTCTGCGACCAGACCAACGTTGGCTAGGCCTCAACCGCCGCGCCGGGATCGGCATGATCCCCAGAACATCCACCGACGTCTCTGCCGCCATCCGATCCAAGGCCAGCTCTTATCTCCATCAGCGACAACAACAAGCAGAAGCAGAATGGGACTACAGAACGCGCATCTCACGCGAACACCAAGAACGACACAACCAGCAGCTGCTCTCACGTGCTCGCAAAACGCTGATCGAACTCGATCGCTCCTCTTCAGACACGCAGTACAGCCCTCTTTGGCTCAACGCTGATCTGTACCACGTTCTCTCCGGACACAAAGGTCATGCAATGGACGAAGGAACAATCGATGAGAAGATGCAGAGAGATCCTGCCTTCAAGGAGGCTGTCGAGCTGTTGCAGGCCGCGTTTGGGTCGGAGGACGTAGAGCAGGTGAAGGAAGCGAAGACATTTTGTGAGTTGGGAACAAAGGAGCAGCTGGAATTGGTGCTGGAGAGGTTGAGGGAGAAGTATCAATATTGTCTGTTCTGCGGATGCCGGTATAAGGATGCTGATGATATCGCTGCGAACTGCCCTGGTGAGGAAGAGGAAGATCACGATTGACGAGCTTTGACCGTAGCACACAACACATCCGGGCATTTGCCGGACTCACATGCAATTGATACCCTTGAGCAACAGCTCACAATTCACACGCAATCTACAGTCCTCTTCTATTCTTGTCTGAAAATGCTTGCTTTGAAGAACAAGTGATAGTACATGCAAGAAGACGCCCGTGCATCTAGTTGTACTGCGCATACAAAGCAGTGGACGAGAACTTGCTTCCCTGTCGAATAACCTTGTCCACAGCATCCAAGAAGTCCCTCTCCGTTGCCATCTTTCTCCTTGCCCTGATCGCAAACATACCAGCCTCTGTCGCCACCGAACGCAGCTCTGCACCTGTAGCATTAGGACAGAGTCTAGCAATAAGATGGTATCGAATATCTCTATCTACAGACATCGATCTTGCGTGAATCCTCAAGATATGAGCACGGCCATCGTTGTCCGGCAGACCGAACTCGACTCTCCTGTCCAAACGACCTGGACGGAGCAAGGCGGGATCCAAAGTATCAGGTCTGTTCGTAGCCATCAACACCTTAATGTTACCTCGAGCATCGAAACCATCAAGCTGGTTAATGAGCTCCAACATGGTACGTTGAACTTCGTTGTCTCCACCTGCACCGTCATCGAATCGGGCACCACCGATGGCGTCGACTTCGTCAAAGAAGATAATGCATGCCTTTTTGGTTCTTGCCATCTCGAAAAGCTCTCGAACCATACGGGCTCCTTCACCGACGTATTTTTGGACGAGCTCAGAGCCGATGACACGGATGAAAGTGGCGTCTGTTCGGTTTGCGACGGCTCGAGCGCAGAGCGTCTTACCCGTACCGGGGGGACCGTAGAGAAGAACACCTTTGGGTGGATCGATGCCGAGGTTGACGAAACGTTCTGGTGAGAGCAGAGGGAGCTCGACGACTTCTCGAAGCTTTTCAATCTGCTCCTTGCATCCACCGACATCGCCATAGGTGACGTCAGGCTTCTCTTCGACTTGCATCATGGTGACAGATGGGTCGATCTTGGGTGGTAGTGGAATCTGAATCTGGTACTTGTTGCGGTCAACACCGACACGCATACCCTCCTCGATATCTGTGGGAGCCACACGCTCACCGAGCGAGACGACGAACTTGGCGATCTGCTTAACGTTGATCACGTACTTGTCCTCTTCGTCAGCTGTGGGTGGCGATGAGCCTCCCAGACCTCCCAGACCTCCCGACCTATCCCCTGCACCACCCGATCCTCCAGCTCCTCCCTCCGAAGACTCTCCTTCCTTCTTCCCCTCATCTGCACGGATGATCTTTGTGCATCGTGCAACTTGCAAGGGCTCCTCCTCACCCATACGTTGTCGGTCTGCTGGCAAATCCCAGAGATTCGGTGGCGCGAGACCTGTGTCGCTCTCCTTTACGCCCATCTTTTCGTTGACGCGCTTCTGAAGCTCTTTAATCTCATTCTCGATGCTCTTGAGTGAAGAGGCGTACGGACCTTGGCCGTAAGTTTTGAGGAGCTGAATATCGCCTTCGTCGAGAGCGACGATCTTTTCTTCGTCTTTGCCGTCGACGTCCGGCTTCTTGTACTTTTCCCAGTCGGCTTTGGGTGGCATGTTGGGCTTGTGTGAGACGCAGCACTAGGCTATGCAATTGTTGTAAGAACTGCGTTGTTGTGAGGTCAGGGACAAAGCGACAATTTCCTGCGGTCTTTGTGCCTCCAACGTCGCAAGCAGCAGATATCGATGCAGCTGCTTCAATAGTAGTTGCTGGCGGCGACGAGCGAGGTATAGAGCGGGGTGAGGTTTGTGCCGTGGTTGATGGTTGAATGCTAAGGTGTGGAAGCAATCTGTTAATTTGGAAACAAGGCTCGTGGAGGTTGAGGCGTCGTCAACTTGGTGGCTCGCCCGCAGGGCCAGAGAACGCGTTCTCAAGTGTGCTTTCGCTGAGTTTGCTGCAGAGCCTCGGTCGATCACCAGAATAATGTGGAGCTTGCCGACTTTTTTTTTGGGCAGGAATGTTAGATAACCTATTCAACACATTTTCGCTGCTGACGAAAATGGTCTCAGGTACAGTAACGGGCGAAGGGCCTGAACGAGCTTAGGGGCGGTTGCAGAGAACTGCGAACGAGCCAGCTATCTGCAATTTCAGCGATGTCAGCCAGAAAGGAACGTTGCACGCACACTGCCAAGCTCGAAACTTGGCTGCAAGCTCAGCTACTGCAGCATCGACGCTACTCCACCTCGTCTCGTCTCTACGTCTTCGATACCTTGTCCTATACCCACACTCCGTCTCTACCCTCCGTCTTAGCTTTCGGACAAGCACACTTCGACTTCAGCAGGAAATTCGCACAAAAAGGCGTCATTTCGACACTCATTCACAGCCAAAACTTCTGTGCGACCTTCATCTATATCGATACTCACCATGACGGACCAGAAGAAGGATCTTCCAAAGATCCGCGATGAGGAGCGAGAGCGCCGTTTCGGTACCGTTTTCGGCGTCTCCGGTCCAGTCGTTGTTGCCGAGAACATGATTGGTTCGAGCATGTACGAGCTTGTCCGCGTCGGTCACGATGAGCTTGTCGGAGAGATTATTCGTATCGATGCCGATAAGGTCACTATTCAGGTCTACGAGGAGACTTCCGGTGTCTCTGTTGGTGACCCTGTGCTCAGTACCGGCAAGCCTCTTTCCGTCGAGCTCGGTCCTGGTCTCATGGAGAATATTTACGATGGTATTCAGCGTCCTCTCGAAGGTATCATGAAGAAGTCGGGCGGTATCTACATTCCCAGGGGTATCAACACTCAGGCCCTCGACCGTCAACTCTCTTGGGACTTCACTCCTGGCCAGCTCAAGCTCGGCGATCACATCAGTGGTGGTGACATCTTTGGTTCCGTCTACGAAAACTCGCTACTCAAGGACCACAAGCTCATGCTTGGCCCCCGTAACATGGGTACCATCACTCACATTGCCGAAAAGGGCTCTTACTCGGTCGATGACGTGGTCTTGGAAACCGAGTTCCAGGGCAAGAAGCAGAAGCACACTATGCTTCAGATTTGGCCCGTCCGTGCTCCTCGTCCCGTCGCCGAAAAGCTCACCGCCAACAACCCTTTGCTCACCGGACAGCGCATTCTCGACTCGCTCTTCCCATGCATTCAGGGTGGTACTACGGCTATTCCTGGTGCTTTCGGATGCGGTAAAACCGTCATTTCTCAGGCTCTGTCGAAATATTCCAATTCAGACATCATCACTTATGTCGGATGCGGGTAAGTTATCATTCACGCGTTTTCGCCATTCCTCTTCACCTCAAACCATTCCTCAACGTCATTACTGACATCTAAACTCATCTTTGCGCGCTATCTCCTTCAAATCGACGTGCCATTAGAGAGAGGGGAAATGAAATGGCCGAAGTACTCGCTGAATTCCCCGAGTTGACATTGACAAGGGACGGCGAAGAGTACCCTATCATGAAGCGCACAACTCTCGTCGCCAACACCTCCAACATGCCAGTAGCCGCCCGAGAGGCTTCCATCTACACAGGTATCACTCTCTCCGAGTACTTCCGTGACCAGGGTTACAACGTCGCCATGATGGCTGACTCCACTTCTCGATGGGCTGAGGCTCTTCGTGAGATTTCCGGTCGTCTTGCCGAGATGCCTGCCGATTCCGGTTACCCAGCCTACTTGGGTGCCAAGCTCGCCTCTTTCTACGAGCGTGCTGGTCGTGTTGCTTGTCTTGGTTCGCCAGAGCGTGAAGGTTCCGTCTCGATTGTCGGTGCCGTATCGCCTCCCGGTGGTGACTTCTCGGACCCAGTTACATCTGCTACTCTTGGTATCGTCGGTGCTTTCTGGGGCCTCGACAAGAAGCTCGCACAACGTAAACACTTCCCTTCCGTCAACTGGGACGTCTCCTACTCCAACTACATCAATGCTCTCGAACCCTACTACGAGAAGAACCGTCCCGGCTTCATTGCGCTCCGTACTACCGCGAAGAGCATGCTTCAGAAGGACTCTGACTTGGCCGAAATCGTACAGCTCGTCGGTAAGTCGGCGCTCGGCGAAGGCGACAAAGTTACATTGGATGTTGCCAAGATCATGAAGGACGACTACTTGCAGCAGAACGGTATCTCGGAGTACGACGCCTACTGCCCCTTCTACAAGACCTCGGGTATGCTCAAGAACATGGTCGACTTCCACGACAAGGCACAGGCTGCCATTGCCAACAACCCAGAAATGACTTGGGCTAAGGTCAAGGAACACTGCTCAGATGTGATTTATCAATTGACACAGCAGAAGTTCGAGAGCCCTAGGGAGGGTGAGGAGGCCATCACTAAAAAGTTCGACAAGCTCAACCAGGACATTGCTGAGGCTTTCCGTACTTTGACCGACTAAGCCTTCTACTGATGGGTTTCGCTTCATGATTTGGGCTGGAGAGGATGGCGATAGTCGCTCTCTTTGGTCTTCTCTAGGATCTCTATATCATGCACCTTTTGTTTCGTTTGTCAACTGTTCCGTAAGCTATGCATTTTATGACCTCCTTTCGATTGTGCTGGGCGCTCCTGAAAGAAGCCTTGGAGTAGGGCGACCTTTCGTGGACGAGCTACGAAGTTTATTTGCGTGAGTGTGGAAAGCATAAGTGGACGATGGCTGCTTGATGCCGAAGGAAACGATCCAATATGATGATACATGCTGACATAAACGCAATCGGGGATCTGATGGAACAGATCTGTCCAGAGATCGGGTACAACATAGTCCCGCTCGTTGTCAAGCTAGATCATGAAGAAGGATACTCCCACATTCGGCATGTACCTCATAGATGTATATATATATCAAGCTGAGAACACTAGGTTCTCACCACGTTCATTTTAGTCAATTGAGTATATGTGTTTCTGTCTTCAAACAGCAGTGACATCGTGCTCCGACTCTAACTGATCATTGATTATCGGGACCGATCTTCTTTACTTTCTATTACTTGAGACCAGCAACTAACACAGACGCGTAAATTTCCGCTGACGGCGCGCGCGTTGAGTAGGAACAGAACCTGCAGCTGCTCGCCTCAAAATCCAAGAACAACACTTGTGCTGCCAAACAACACCATCCATCAAACCCCAACACCATCATCATTCAACTCAACACTCTTGCCGGAACGCCGCTCAAGCGCTCCTATCGGCTCATCCGCACCTTCTCACTCGTCACTCGAAGCATTTGTCGAAGAATCCCTCCGTCGCAAGCTCGCATGGCACTATCACGTCTAGAAACAACTCGACCTAATCAAAAACAATGGCAGCAAGACAATCATCAATGATGGGCCCAGGTGGAGCAGGTCGCCAATCGATGTACCCACAATCCAACAACCCAGCAAACATCATGTTTGGCGGTCCTTCCTCTTCGGCCAATCAAGCACGACTCATCTCGAAACAGGCCGAGCTTGAAGGTCTTCGTGCATTGAAAGATCAGTCGGCAAAGATGGTCAAGGAGCTGGAGAGGTTGGCTGAGAAAGTGGATATCATGGCTGATGGCGGCGATTGTAGGTATCTCGAAGGGACGAGAAAGCATATAATTACTGCTATATGGCTACTGACGAGGCTACCTTACAATGTATTCTTCGGATATTACAGCAATCGCATCGGTCATGGGCTCGTGGCAAGGCGTCTTCCGTGCTATTCAGATCGCTCGAGGTAAGCATTGCCACACTCTTTATCAATAGACTCACCGACTGACCCATACTGATCATGCTCTCGCACTTCCACATTGTGATATTCCATGTGCTCAACTCTGCAGCTTCGACACTGTTCATGAACCCAGGTGGAACAGAGGGCAACAACAGCGCAGACACCTCCGCCGAACAAGAAGAAGACGACGACGACCTGTACAACTACGGCCCTGCACCCACAAGCAAACCTGCACTCATCGACACAATGGTCAGAATCCCTATCGACCTTGATGGCGCTATTGCTCGATCGAAGGATGAAAACCCTGCCGATAGCTCTGCTTCTGTTTCTGCATCTACTTAGGATTTTGTTCGCCCTGCTTATGCCAACAGCTCGCGTGCAAGCGCTCAGACTGAGTGGCTTTGTACTTGTATCGTATTCCTGTTCGTGCTTGTCATGATATGTTTTGTCCCTGAGCACGAGTCCGACAGGAGACAGCTCAGTTCGTGCCAGCTTCTCTGTGGTCTTGCTGAATGAGGTCGGGAACAGAACTCCGCATGTGAGCTCATTATTCGGCGAAACGAGCACGCTTTCGCAGTGATCGATGATTGCAGACGATTCAAATTGCAGAGATACAAGTACAAGGGTGAGAATGTAGAGACGCATGGACAGACAAAAGAGGTCGAGCCGAAACACGAGAAGCCTAACAACAAAAACACAAGACGGTGCGAGCTCTCATGCTCCAGTAGCAACACCCTTCTTCGAGCCGCTGTCACCTCCCGGCGGATAGTTGCCCGGCTTGTGATGACTCCAAGTAGCATACCCATTAATTCCATACACACCACCTCCCGGCGCCAAACCCTCCCTCAACAGCTCTCGCAGATTCCTCATTCTCTTCGCTCGACTCGTATATGATCCAGCGAACGACCTCGTAGCCAAAGGCAAAGGAGTGGTCCGATCCCTCGCAGCAGCATTCGCAATAGATCCCAAAACACTGATCAACTCCTGATCCATCTGATCCTCGTCCGCACCCGCATCGAACATGTCCATATCATCATCTTCAATGAATACTCCACCTCCGGCACCTCCTGCACCTCCTGCACCTCCTGCACCTCCTCCGCTTCCTCCCCCCGAGCCCACACCACCACTTCCCCCTCCTACCCCAGATTTGGACTTGCCATCTTTGACACTCTTCTTCTTTTTCTCCTTGGGCGGAGCAGCAGCAGCAGCCGCTTTAGCAGCAGCAATCGCTTTCTCCTTCTCTTCCAACTTAGCCACAAAACTTGGATTTGTCGCTTTCTGCCACTCGAACAACAACGTGTCGTACGGCGCAGATCTTCCTTTAACCGCTCTCTTCGCTCCCATCGAATGAGATTTGCAAGTCAAGGATCTCGAACAAGGCAAACCCTTATCGTTGATCACACCACATTGCCTATCCACATCGATTGGGCCTTTATTCTTCCTTCCGCCCTTCTTCTTTTCTTCTGCCAGTCGGGCTTCTTTCTTCTGCTTCTTTGTCATGGGCGTACCGGAGGCTTCGTCGCCGAGGAGACTTTCATCGTCGTCTTCCATCATTCGACGTTTCTTTAGGTCGCCTTCGAGGACAGAGGGTGAGACTCGACCGGATGCGATATCACGTGCAAGTTTGCAGTTCTGCTGGTGATAGGAGAGAGCATCTTTGAGGATCGGTTTGGAGCAGTCGGAACATTCGATGATTTCTACTTCGTCATCGAGTGCAGAAGGGCCGAAATCGGTGACGATGGTGTCGTCGTAGTGCCATGCGGGAGAGTCGACTAGGGTTGCTGATGGCGAGCCAGCGTCTGGGTAGTCATTCACAGCACAGCGGAGATTTTGGGATGATGTCGCAAGCATACGTCAATGAGAGTGTCAGCGGGATATCCAGGAACTGGAACCGGTCCTCGAACAACAGATTCTTACCACTTCGAGTAGCTTCTTCAATATCGGCCCATGTTGGGGCGCCTTGAGCTGGAACGCTCATTTTTTTCGGACTGTGTGATTAAGTACCCGTTCCGTCGAGAAAGATGGTGCTGAAGAGAGTGCTGAAGAGGGTGCTGACAGACGCCAGAAGACCAGACGTTGAAGCGTGGTCGAAAGGCGATAAGCTCACGTAGAGCTCATCAGATGGGATGAGAGGTGTCAGGCTGGTATGGATACCATCCAGAGTCGATACAGCTGATCAGGAGTTGCTCCAAGCTGGCCGAGTTGACGTGGATGCTAGACCTGGTTGGGAGTTGCCTTGAATGGAGAGCATGAAGAAGCATGTCAAGCGAATGGAGCTGAGTCGTGGTGGGGTAAAAAGCCCGATCTGAATTGTACCCGATCATTCGCGTTCATGCCTCCACCTCGCGTTCCCCGCTTAGTTTTCAGAAGACCAACACCGACTCAGCTTGCATACGAGCTCGCCACTTACCTTTGTATTTGACCACACAAACGGCATACACTTACTCCGCCCGCCGGTGGAACTGCTCCGGAACTCATCGAAATCGTTCTCAGCAGCTGCGAAGCTGCGTTCTTCTTTGCATTGCTGCTGCAACACGGACATTTCCGCATTCACACAGAACACGACTTGCACAACACTAGCACGGAGCATTGGAAAGAGAAGATGTATTCAACTACAGGAAGGTGAAGCAAGACCTTCCTTCCCTCCTAGCATCGGCCCCAGTATGCGTATCACGGTATGGAACATCAACGGTCTGCGGACGCTCAAAGGCTACCAACCATGGTACAGGCTCCCCGACTGGGAAGCATGTCTCGAGCACCTCGGTGCCGACATCGCCTGCTTCCAGGAGATCAAAATGACCCGAAAGCAACTCACAGAACCCATATGTATCCTTCCCTCCTATAATGCCTTCTTCAACTTCCACCCAAGCAAAGGATACTCCGGCACAGTCACCTATGTCCGCAAAAACGTCTCGATCCCCCTCAAAGCCGAACAAGGCATCACAGGCCGCTTACCTGTCACCAGCGTCTCTTCCAACCCCTCAATACCGGATAATCCCATCGGTTGTGTTCCAACAGATACCCACGACGATGTCGATCCACAGACTTGGAACGCACTTGACGAAGAAGGTCGTTGTGTTGTGCTCGATCTTGGCCTCTTCGTTCTTTTCAACGTCTACTGTCCCAACGAAACAGGTCCTGAACGACTCAAATACAAAATGACCTATTACCAATGCTTAGCCGAACGAGCCCATCGTCTCATCCAATCAGGCCGCCAAGTTATGATTGTCGGAGATATGAATATCATTCGCGACCCAATCGACCACTGCGATCCGGAACAAAGCATGAAAGAACATGGTTGGGAACATTTCCATCAACATCCTGCTCGGTCTTGGTTTCAGTCCTTCCTGGCACCTCAAGGCAAATTTCATGATGTAGGGAGGATGTATCACCCGGACAGGAGGAAAATGTTCACTTGTTGGAACACGTTGATTGATGCTAGACCCGCTAATTATGGTGTGAGGTTGGATTATACCTTGGTGACGGAGGGGTTGTTGCCTTGGATTAAGGGGGCGGATATTCAGGCGGACGTGTATGGGAGCGATCATTGTCCGGTCTATGTGGATCTGTTTGATGAGAGAGAGGTGGATGGGAAGACGGTAAAGTTGAAGGATCTGATGCATGGTGGAGTGGGGAGGTTGCCGCCTGCGCTAGCGGCTTGTCATTATGATGAGTTTTCGGGGAAGCAGAGGAAGTTGGCGTCTTTCTTTGGGGCGAGTAAGAAGAGTGCGCCTGTCAGGAAGGAGAATTATGGGGCTGATACCGCGCCTGCAACACAGTCAATCAGTTCTGGAGGTGCGAGTTCAACCGACGCTTCTCAAATCGACATCAAGGACAGCATGGGAGATGCTGCAGCACCTTCAATACCAAGGATCGGGGCGGGATCAGACAGGAAGGAAAGCTCGCTGGCAGACGCACTCTTCTCTTTACCCTCACAGCAAGAAGGCATCAGCGTTGAGGTAGCTCCGGGCGCATCTGACCCGAGTGCAGGAAGCAGTTCCACTGCTGCAGTGACACAATCACCGTCCAAGATCGAAAGCTCCAAGATCGAAGTAGCTCCGTCCGCATGGGCATCCTCCGCAGCGACTGCTCCACAACCTTGCTCACTTCTGAAAGCACCTGCAAGCCAGTCATCGCCAAACGCCAAGCGCAACGGCACCTCACCAAAGAGATCACCTGCAGTCACAAAAGGCAAGGAGACGAGCAAAGGGAAGAGCGCTGCAAGTCTCAAAGGTCAGACAAGCTTGAAAGGTTTCTTTGCCAAGCCCACCAGCTCGTCGACCGCAACGCCAACAGCCTCCTCCACGAAGACCAGTATCGATCTCGCCGAGGCTAACGAGCCTCCGTCTCAGCCGAAATCCATAGAGATTACCATTGTCACAGATTCCCATCAACTGGAGGCCCACCCCTCTTATAGCCAGCAGGGGGAAGAAGAAGTCTCGAACCAAGACTTGATCGAATCAGCCACCGAGTCGCAAGCACCGGAAGAATCAGCAGCAAAGCGAGTCGGCGCCTTCTTGACCTGGGGAGCCATCTTCTCCCCCACCCCCGCCCCTCTGTGTCGTAACCACTCGGAAGCTTGTCGAGCATGGACGGTGAACAAACCAGGTCCTAATCACGGTCGCAAGTTCTGGCTGTGTTCGCGTCCGGTTGGACCTGGATACGAGAAGAGTGGGAGGGCAAAGGGCGATGTTAATCCCGAGTATAGATGCAACTTTTTCCTGTGGGACAGTGATTTGAGGGGGAAGAAGAAGGGACATGCTAGGAATGGGAGCGGTGGGAGTGGAGGCGAGGAGAAGGAAGGAAAGTCCTTTGCGGAAGTGGGAAGGGAGAGAGAACAGATCAAGAAGAGAGGGAGCGTTGAGGGAGGCGGAGGAAAGGAGCAAGAGAGAGAAGAATTAGGAGGGGTTTGGGGCCCGCATAAGCGTGTTAAGACTGATAGCTAGCTTTGCCATTGCATTGATAGTAGAGATGTATGATTGGAAGCTCGTTTTGATAATGTACAGCATCTCACAACTTTTGGGCACAAGTGTAAGAGTGTGCGAGGAGGGCTAGCGGAGTATATCCTCCATGCTCCACTTGGGTCTTGCAAGACGGCTGTAATCTGTAGTTCGCTGGTCATAGATGAGATGTCCAACCCAAGCGATCATTGCAGCGTTGTCTGTGCAAAGCGAAAGCGGTGGGAATTGAAGCTCGACATCCTGTCTAGCCAAGCTGTCGAGATGCTCTCTCAAACGAGAACGGAGGAAGTGGTTGCTTGCTACGCCTCCGCTACAGACCAAAGTCTTGATATCGTCGACCCTAAGGCCTTTAAGCCAGTCGATGCGAGAGCGTGGACGAAAGTGCGAGTCTTTGATCTGATAAGAGGGTCGGAAAACCATGCTGAGTTTGTCTTCTAGCTGAGCACTTGCCGCGCGCTGAAAAGCAGCAGCGATCTCGGACTTGTCTGTATCTGCCATGTCGGCACCTCCGCTAGACTCGATATGACGCTGGACCGCGGCCTTCAATCCCGAGTATGAGAAGTGCGCTTGGCCTGTGCAAGGGACTGGAAAGACCACATCTACTGCTTTCTTATCGCTCTTCTCTGCTAGCTCTTCCAAGGCGGCCCCAGAAGCGCTTGTCCAAGGAATGCCCAAATCTCTCGCCACTTTGTCAAACGCATTACCGATCGAATCATCCTTTGTCGTTATCAGTATGCTGAACTCACTCACTCCCCTCGCCAACACCAGCATCGTATGCCCTCCTGATACCAGCAGAACTAGGAATGGAAACTTCGGGGGCTCTTTCTCCGTCAATAGTGGCGTGAGAGCATGCGCTTGCATGTGATGTACGTAGATCAACGGCTTGTTCAGCACAGCAGAGAGGGTCTTGGCTGCGGATAAGCCGACGCCTAGACTGCTGGTCATGCCAGGGCCTTGAGTAACCGCAATCGCATCGATATCGGCATGGGCTACATTGGCCTGTGAGAGCGCGGAGGAGATGGTGGAGGGGAGGTTGGAGTGGTGACCAGAAGCGGCCGAGAGGGGATGGATGCCGCCAGTGGAGGAATGGTCTTGCTTGGTGACGACTGATGATAGGACGGATCGGTCGGAGGAGACAACAGATGCGCAGGAATCGTCGCAGGACGTTTCGATGCCGAGAATGAGACGTGGTTGCGAGGAGGACAGGATCGTTGAAGACGATCGGAAGGTCCGATGGCATGAGGTCGGCGATGGTCGGAAGCTGGCCGAAGTGGAGCTATACGTGGGAATGCGGTGGGCAGTATCTCGGAAGGCGCTTCCGATGCTTCGGGTCCACATGCTGGTGGTCATCAACCTGTCCCCAATCTTTCACCTCCCAGGCTTCTGAGGATAGTTATGCGATTGTGGTGACAGACGAAGGCTGAGCTCGAGTGGACACTTGACGTCGAGAAGCAACACTCAGAAAGAAAAAGAAAAAAAAAAAGTTGAAACTGTTGAAGTTTGGGTCCCGATACTGGCGATCGGGGAGAGTCTAAGTACGATGTCACTGCTGCTAAAAGACAGAAACAAATATACTCGATTGACTGAGTGAACATGGCGAGAGCCTAGCGCTCCCAGCTTGATATATATACATGAGAGCGGCACATGCCGAATGTGTGGAGTTGCTATAGTTAATGACCCAGCCTGACAACGAGCGGGACTTGGTTGTACCCGATCACTAGTGAGATCGGTTATCCTCGATCTCTGATCAAATCGGTCAACTGATCGGATCGGCCCTGCCTGATCTTCGATCAGGTCGGCTTCGCGTCGTCCTTTAGCGTCACACTGGATCGTCATTTTCAGCAGAAACACGCCAGAAGCCCCGCGGAGTTGCTAGCCTGCGCTGCACAGTCCGCGCGCGGCTCGAACGTCGAGCCCTGGCTGCCTGCATTTGATCAGTCACAAGGTCGTGTCCCGCGAACCTGCGCCACAGCAAGTTAACCGGAAACCATCACCGAGCATCAAGCCACACACCAGCTTCTACACGCCGGATCCCTTTTTGACTCCAAGAGGAAAGGAAGGGAGGCCTGGGCAATTTCGCATGCTCTTGTGCCTGAGCCGCTTTGACCGGTCAGCAACATGGCTGTTTCCAAAAATCACGCCTTTTTTAGCGTGCTCGCTTTCGGCAACTTTTCTCCGCAAGTCACGCGCTGCAGCAGAGAGCAGCAACAGCAACTCTTCTCCCGGAAGTGTAATTATCAAAAGTGGGGTCTCATCTGTCAAAAATCACCTTCTACGCTCGTCGTTGTCAGTCTTTGACGGGCGTCAGAGCTGCTACTGCAATGCATGCTGTGCCTGAGCGACCGGGTCGGGATGGGATGTCTTACGCGCTTGTTGCGATCACAAGTCATAAGAGAAGAGGATCGGCTTAGCCAACTAAGCTGATTCTGGCTAAGTTAGCATGTCTTTCGAGAAATGTCCGTGTCTGTGTGTCTGCTCACGAGCCCATGTCCCGTTGCAGAAGCAGCACAAGGCCACTCTACCGCATTCAACACACATACACAGTCTCGTCCTGTCTTGCCAAGCTTTTGTCGATCTTCCCTAGGCTGCTACGCTTGCTGGTTCTGCTGTCCATGTTCATGCTCTCTACCGTCTTCTTTCCCTCTCGACCACCTAATACTGCTGTTCACATCATAGCCGCAAAGTCCCTTTCCGCCCCTCCATGTGAGCCGCGACTGCGATCGAGCTGCACCTCTCTGCATCACTCTACACTCCACCTCGTTCCAGAGATATACTATCACCGAAATAGGCAGCCGCGACAACAAAGCACGGCAGGGTTTAGCTTAGAACAACAATCATGGGCCGCTCGTCAGCGAGCTCGTCCAGCTCAGGACTCTTGGGGTGGATATCACCTCGAACAGCGACACTAGCTATCGCCGTGCTAGGTATCATCATTCATCTCAACACTTACTCATGGCTTGGCACCCTCAGCTCGACGCTACCCGATGTGCCCGAACGAGGCCTGACAGCACCACCGTTGCCGCCAGCTTCAGTAGCTTTCGTGCCATCAGCCGACCGATTCTCCAACTCTGCGGCCAAAGTTGACCAGCTCATCGACCTCGATGTCTATGCAAAACAGGCTGCCGCGGACGGTACCGCCAACAGCCGCGTCTATCTACCGGAATGGGTCGCTGAAGCCAAAGCCTATCTCAGAGCTCAAGGTCTCTCTTTCGTTCCGACACCAGGCAACGAAGGCTCTGGAAATCCCAAGACGAACGCAAACGGCAAAGCCAGCGAGGCTTCAGCGCCAAGCCGGTACAACGATGCAAGCGACCCTTCAGGTATCGGCTATCAAGTCATCGACGATGGTGCAGAGGATGTCGAACGCATGCAATGGGATGCACTCCGTCTCGTCATTGGCACACTGCGATGGTATATCTTGTTGAGTGTCATTTGCTGCTGCGCCGGCGTCGTGGGTGTTCTGCGCTCAAATCTGCTCCTCTCGAGACTATTTGTCATTCACTTATTCCTCGATTTCCTCCTCTCCACACTCTCACTCTTCGCTCTTGCTATCGTCTGCACCTACCCGACAGTCCGAGCACATCTCTGCGACGAGTTTGGCTCAGGAGAAGTCCAGTCCTGGTTCACTTCCTCCAAAGCTGGCAGGATAGCAGGCTCCTCCACAAACAGCGCACAAGCTCTTGTCAATGGCGCCGCCTCATCGCATTCCGCTAGAATTGCTGGATCCGGCACTGGCTCGGACGTCACAGTCGATGCGTCGGGCTGGGAAACCTTTCTAGATGGCGTATTCGCATCGGAGAACTGCGAAGAAAGTTTCAGGACAACAGTCGTGCCACTCTTAATGGTCTTCGGGTTGTTCTTCACAGCGGTGAGGTTACAGTGCTTCTTCTTGGTACAGCGATTCTACGCTAGCTTGCTGAGAAGTAAGGTTTATCAATACGGCTATGGCGCAGGCGGGCTTGAATCAGGTATCTCAACACCGATGTCTCAGCTCTCGGTGGAGACTGGGAGGGAGAGGAGATGGAAGGAGTCCAAACTGATCGATTGAAGCTGGTGCTCATCTGTCTTGCTGCAACGATCCGACCCGACGCTGGTCGTCGAGCGCTCTGTCGGCAACGCAGAAAGGTCCAAATGCAAGCTTCCTCGACGCAAGAACGCTTTACACACACATATGCTCACACTCACTCATTCTCTTGTCAAGGGCTCTTTGTGGTTCTCACTGTCTTTTCTATTGTACACTATATCTGCTTCGTTACTGCAATCGCAAACTGCAGTCAAGGATCCTCGCAACAATACAGTGCGTTCGAAGTTCTGTTGAGGTCACTTTGAATATAGGCAAGAACTGCGTGGAAAGCATTGGGAAAAAAGTTTCTCTGTTAGACCGCGGTAAGCTTCGAATAAAATTTGAACCCAAAGCTAAATTTTTGGCTACAAAGTGGAGCAAGAAAGCCGAAAAGTTGCGTGCAGCTTCGAAATCCTTTGAACCCTGACAGTTTCTTTTGCTCTCTCACCAATTCTCTCCCACACCATCTTAGCTCTTTCTCGCCACCATCCATCAACCATCTCGTCCGCAATCCCTTCAACGGACGCCTACACCTTTTTAGCTTTATACCGCATCGCAACACAGCCCACTTGTCATTAAATCGCTCCGGCCGTTACCGAAACCTCTCTCTAGCGTCACACTCCTGTCGTTGTCAAGATGGGAAAAAAGAAACAAGTCCGCAAGTTCGGCGAAGTGAAACGAATGCTCAATCCAAAAGATGACCGCTTGAAAGCAAATCAAAAAGTTACCGATGCTGCCAAAAAGGCCTCCTCTTCCGGACAACAAATCACTCCGGACGGAACCATCGTTCGCCATATCTCCACTCCTGCCTCATCCATGTTTTTCGAACATAACACCCAACTTGGCCCACCATACCGCATTTTGGTCGATACAAACTTTATCAACTTTGCACTACAGAACAAAATCGAGTTGGTTCAAGGAATGATGGATTGTCTCTACGCCAAATCCATTCCATGCATTACTACTTGCGTTATAAGCGAGTTGGAAAAGTTAGGACCGAAGTATAGAATAGCATTGAGGGTAGCAAGAGATCCAAGATTCGAGAGATTGGAATGCAGTCATAAGGGAACTTATGCAGATGATTGTATCATTGAAAGAATTACTAGTCATAAATGCTATATTGTAGCAACCTGCGACAGGGAACTTAGGAGAAGGGTAAGAAAGGTACCAGGTATACCATTGATGTATATCGCAAGTAGACAGTTTAGGATCGAAAGGCTACCTGATCAGGGTATGGCTTCATAAAACATCAGCAGCGTTGGATTTCTTCGCCTGCGCATCACGTTCTTCTCCCTTGTGTCACTTGTACTTGTATCTCTTCTTATCATGTTCGCTCAATGCATGCTTTATCTCATCTATCGACAGCTTCAGAAAATGTGGAATCGAGCATTCGATGCATCACGCTTTGGACCGCTTCACGCAAGATAGAGTCAAGCCAGAAATATGAAGAGTAGCAAAATGAAGTTTTTCTTAGAAAGTGCGAAGATCTGTGTGTGTCCAGAGGAGCTAATACATGTAATGTTGATGAGCAGTACAATAGACAAAGGAGCGGGAGAGGCCCATGAGCTGTCCTCCGTGTTGATTTTTTGGAGAGGTGGTAAAACTTGCATCCTACTACAGGCCTACATGGGCACCGAAGGAGGACTAGGAGGAGGAGCATTAGGATCCATCTCGTTACCCGATTCGATACTAACACCAAACCCGAACTTAGCAGCACCTTGCAAATGATCGATCTCTCCCGCAAAAGTCAATCCGAACGCAGGAGACAATCTGGTCTCGTACACCGAGCTCAATTTACCCGCTGAATCAATCTGTGCTCTCAGTGTAGCCATTCTGAAGTTGTACCTTGCACCCAACGTCGCAGCTGCCTCCCTCTTCTGCGCCATTGTAATCATCTGCAAATCAGCTGCGACATCCACTTGCTCCGACAATCTATGGTAGTAGGTGCACTGAGCAACGCCTTGAGGTTGAACTTGAGCTGTAGCGATCCAGTCCTTCTTATCACCCGTAAGTTTGGCAATGTAACCCGTACTAGCTTCCTCCATATCAGCCGAAGGGCGCTGATAAACGGTTTCAACACCAAATGCAAAGTTGCGTGTCAAGCTCTGAAGGTAGTTGACAATGTAGATACCTGTCAAATCGGTAGGTGATGGGTTCAGGGCCTTCAAGTTAGCCGAATGATCGGTACCCTGATAATCATGCTCGACCTGAACAAAGGACTGTCCCGGTGTCGCTGTAAGTTGAGCCTGAACTTTGGTAGTGTGACCAGCAACCCAACCACGGTTAGCACGCATGGTCGCGTTAAGTCCATCATCCAACCCAGCTTGGAAGAAGTTCTTGTTGTCACCGTAAACAGCGCCAAAGTTGTAGGACGACGGAGAGGCTTGCGATCCCATCGAGAAAGCATGGGTGACTTGGAAAATGGGGTTGATGCTGATGGCTTTGGTTAGGTCAGCACGTGCACCGTCGAACAAAAAGTTGGTAGTGTGAACGCCCTTGACTTCGCGCTGAAGGTGCTCGACAGTGCCAGGGTTGGAAAGTTCAAGACGTGTACGGATGTCCTGAATTGAGGCGAGAGCATTGTTGATGGGTGCAACGATGGGTGCGAAGAAGCCGTAGATGGAGTTGGAAGGTCCAGCGGAGATGGATGGAGTGAGACCGGAAGGATAGGCAGCACGCTTCTCGTCGAGGAAGGGAGAAGGAGCACCAGGTCCGACATGCTCAGCTCCAGAGGGAGAAGGAGGCTGAGTGCCTGGTGGGTAGGCAGTTGCCTGTGGAGGATAAACCTGAGCAGACATTTTGTGTTGTAGTGAGTGTCGATCTGTTCAGTGCTGTCGTAGGGCTGGACGAGAGGATTGGCCTGGTACCGGTTCGAGGGTGTCAATTAGCGGCGAGATGTCGACGCTTCTGGAGATACCGAGCGAGCGCTGGAGTCAGGGCGGGTAGAGAAGGTGATGAGGAGGATAATGTCGTAGCCAGCGGTGGTGAAGAATGCAAAGGTGAGTTGAGCACAAGAAGTGGAGACGAATGAATCGAATCTCAACTCCCGACTTCCTCGAAGTCTGTCTGAGTTGGCGGCTTGCTTGGTTGATTTGGCTGACTAGCGAAGAGCTCAGACAATTTTTTGAAATCGCTCAGAACCAGAGAGCCAACAACATCTTCCGATCCTTTTTTTTTTTTTTTTTTTTTTTTTTTTTTTTTTTTTTTTTCTTTTCCTTCTTCCTCTCTGTGAGCCATTGCATAATTTTCCTCAAAAGAGACGCACCACGACATCACTCTCCTCCAATGGGACTGAGCCATTTTCTGATTTCCTGAACGATTTTTTGATTGAGCCTTTCGTAGCTGTGTCTTTGCGACGCTTCAGGTCGTTTTCAATATTTACATGGTGCTGGTAGGTTGCTGAACCTGCGTGATCTCGTACGTAACGCTCTCTACATCACCATCCGTAACCCACCTCAATAGTCTTCGCTTCGGACAGATCTGATCAAATCAACACTTTCAGCAGGAAGGATGATGAGTGAGCGAAAAGTCGAATGCATGGTCGAAAGAGCCAAGACTGCCGACTACCAGCCTCGACTGCGGCCACGTCCTCCTCGACCCTTCCCACCTCCTCGTCCGTGACCATATCCACGGCCACCGCCGCCTTTTGTACCACCAGCGCTAGCCTGAGCCAAGAAATCGGGATTGTATTGTCCCGGATATTCTTCCTCTGGCAACTCCTGCGGTTGCGGTGGAGATCGTTCAGGTCCGGCCGACGGCGGCGGATACATTCCTGCGTCGCTTGCAGGGTTCCAGCCAGCTTCGTAGCCCCATGCGCTGCCTGCAGGAGCACCACCGTACTCGTATGGTTGAGGTGTGTAGCTTGGATGAGGCTGCTGCCAATGCTGCGGTGCAGGAGCTTCCTCGCCGCCGGGTATGGGCGGAGGGTGTGGTGACCAGGAGCCAGAAATCGGTGAGCCGCTTCCAAGGGCTGAAGGAGGTACTGGCGGTGCAAGCCCACTGAAGGACGGTGGGGGAAGAGGGGGAGGGCCTGGTGGCGGAGGTCCCGGAAACGGACTTCGCGCCCCGGATAGAGCCGCTGCTGTGGTAGTAGGAGTAGGTGTGCTAAGAGTCGTTACTGGTGCAGCAGATTTGCCGAGCGTGCGAAGGAGATTCTGCAAAGCATCAGTTCCAAAGCCAGACGGCACAGCAGCGGGAGCACCAGGCAGACCGGAACTCGCTCCATCCAATCGCATACTGACAGCAGTTGGATCGTACACGTCATCTGATGCTCCACCCGTTGCTACGGTTGGAGTTCCCGAGTCTTGTCTCTGCCTCGTGCCTTCATTCGTGCTACTTCGCTGCCGAGCAGCCTTTGAGAGCTCTGCCTGTAGCGCATCCCTGATCACCACCGCGACCAGCACCAGCAAATCGCGATCTCGCTTCGTATGCCAGTCCGCACCCAAGCAATCCGAATCCGCCATGTCTAGCCACAGCGGCACCTCTTCATCCTTGAACAAAGGCACTACGTAAAAGTCCTTGATCAGACTTCCTTTGACGCTCGAGGAAACATGCAATGCGCCCCATCGGTCTGCACTCTTGAAATGCTTCATCATACCTTCGAAGCTGGCCACGTCTGAGTCTGTTGCTTGCCGTACACCGTCCTTGCTGATGCCTGCTTCCATGGTGAAAGCCAGGATCTCGGTCCTTGGTGCATTGACCACTTGTAACAGATAGTCGATCGCTGCTTTCGAAGGAAGTCGACCGGCGATCAAGAGCGGACGCTCGGGTAAGAACTTGGGCCAAACTCGGGGCGCCGTCGCGATACTGCGACCTGCCACTTGCTTGACGTGACCTTGGAAAGCGAAGATGTCTGGCAGGTCGATGAGTCCTTTCCACAGGACATTACGGTATCGGTGCACAGCACTGCTGGGAGGATCGCTATCTGGTGTAGTTGACCTCTCTGCTGGTGCACTCGGTGCAGACGCAACAGCTTGTCCAGCCCCTTTGGAGTCTTCACCACTCGGTCCATCGAGGAAGGAGTCGATAAAGTCATCGACACCGCTATCAGCTGCTGCGCCATCGCCTGCTGCTGTGGTATCATCGTGGTATGTCTCGTCTTGTGGCGACCCCACATCGAAGCCATATGATTCTTGAGGTCCGATGTCTTCTTCTTGCGGCTTCGTCTCGCTGCTCTGGTTCCAGACATCACCAAAATTGAGACCGGAGGGCGATCCTTGTGTCTGAGCAGGAGCTGGAACTGAACGACGTGCTGGCGAACCTGTCTCCGGATCTGACACATCCTCCTCTCGTTCCTTTGTTGAGGTGGATGCCACGGGCTCGCTCTCGGAAATCCTCGCCACTGGAGGTTTCTCCGATGCAAGGTCTCTGGTGCTACTTGACTTTTGAAACTTGCCGAGCTGCTCCCTAGCAAAAGCATCGCTCTCAATCTCAATCTCTCCCTTGTGAGTGATCTTGCGCATGGGTCCAGCTTCCTCAGCTCGGAGCGTACTCCTGTGTAGCGCTTCTAGACGCGCCTTCTCAGTTGCCTGACGGATGGCGTCGTTGGCTAGCTCTTCGTTGGACATCTTTGCCAGCTCAGAAGCCTTGAGATCGCCCGTTGCGATCCTGGAATGCAGCGTGGTATTCTTTGCATCCTTGAGACTAAACAGGAAAGTGCGGAAGCGATCTTTGTACTTGGTGCCAACAATGCGGATCGAGCCGTGGAGGTCAGCGTTGGTCTCAAACAGCTCTTCCTCGAGAAGCGCGGCGTAGGCCTCGGCGCATTGTTGACCTGTCTCTTCTTCCACTGCCTCCTCATCCTCATCCTTATCCTTTCCTTCCTTGGGCTTTCCAGTATCTTCGCTCATCTGTATGGTAGTTTTGTTGTTGCTGCTGCTAAAGATCTTCTCTAGAGCAGTTGCTAGCACTTTTCGAGCTCTGGATCTGGCTTCCTCGGTGCTTGCGTCGGAGGGTCCGGCTGCCTTGCGAGGTGAACCCTTCTTGGGGCCTGAGCTAGGCTTGCTTGACGCGCTTGGTCGTCTCATACTTTCTGAGACCTTGCGACGCGCTTTCTTGTCGGTTTCGGTCGAGCTTGCTGATTTGACCTTGGCTTGCGAACTTGAAGAGGTGCCAGGTTCTGACTGCTTGGGCCGTTGTAGTCGCGCAGATGGAGCCGCGGTCGAATCGTCTTCCATGGCTACATCCTCAGCGTCAGAGCCACCGTCTCGTTCACCAACGTACTCGTCGCCGTCGCTGGCATCGTCATCCTCGTCTCGCTCCGGCTCTTCCTGGTCATCCGATGCATCTCGAGTTGCCTGTCGTTTCTTCGAGGATTGGTAATGCTTCAATGCTTTTGCTGGGTTTGATGCTACGTCGTTGCGTGTCCAGTGAGATCGTGTTTCAGTTAGCTTTGCGTTCGCTTGGGACGGCGTCACGGACCGTGCTACTCACCTGTCTTCTTCTTGGGATCCTTCTGCAAGCAAGCTTCGCAGATGTACTCTTCGAGCTTCTTGGCTGCTTTCTGCGTGATTTTGATGCACTTGGTATGGTACCTGTTTGTTCGTATTCGATGATGTTTGTTCACAGATATTGATTGAGGGTCATGTCAGCTCATCATCTCAGAACTCGGGTTTGCATCCCGTCCGTCATAGCAAGGGAGTGTTACCAACCATTCATTGCAACGCTCGCATGAGATCATAAAAGTTCCATCATCTTTGCCGCGACAGATACAGTATTCTTTATCATCTTCCTCTTCATCATCTGCACCATCGAAGACCTCATCAACTTCCTCGTTGATGCGATCTGTATCTGTGGCAACCTCTTGTTCCGCATTCAGATCATCCACCTTTCGCCTTTTCCCTGCACGCGAAGCAGCACCAGCCGAAACCGACGCCTCATTGGTGATCTCGATAGGGTCGAGGCTTGCAGCCTTCGAAGTGGGTTTGCGAGTGCGAGAGCCTCTTCGCGGAGCAGTGTCAGCTTGTGCGGAGGATGAGGCCTCCGCCTGGGAGCCTTGAGTCAAAGTCGTTGTTTCGGAGTCAGGCGCCGACATGATGATTACCTAGCTGCCTCTCACAGCTCAGCAATGTCCAGGTGCGGCCCAAGATATAGCTACAGCCGCTATGTGTATCTTCCACTTCTTCTCTGGTATACTCGTGGTCGAAGAGCCGTGCTGTGATGGTGGAACCAAAGGCAGAGTAACCGCCTATGAAATGAGCGCAGTTGAGACTTGACCGGTCTCGCGTGGATGTGCTTCGCTTCCGAACTGCGCGACACTTTCTGTACTTTCCCATCGGGATGTCATCGGGCTACAATAGCCCAGCCAATGTTAGATCGCGCGAGCTCAGCCTGCACCCTTTTTGTGTGCTTTCTTGGCTTGGAAGCCTCCACCTTGGAAGAGAACTCTGAATCACACACACAGAGACCGTTATGAAAATCACAACGTCACAGTGCACAGACCTAAAGCGAAGAGAAGAGAAGAGAAGAGTGTCGCTCGAGCAATCGAGAAGAACTTGATCACCAACTTGCTAAGTAGCTTCTTACAGTACAATCATCCACCCTTATACAAGTACTCGAACGGCGTCACTCCCCTCGACCTGCAATACCGGCTCGAAGCCAGCTTCATTGCCTCGATCTGCATATCACCCGTTCGCTTTCAGTGGCAACAATCCTCGTTGATGATCGCTTAAGGACGTTTGCGTTGGTGTCTGACATTTCAGATACTCCCCGTCAATCATGGCAAAAGGCGCTTCGAAAGGCAAGTCCTCGGCGTCTTCGGCTACACGCAAGAAGCAGGCTCAAAAATCTGCCAAGAAGACAGCATACGAGCGAGACGAAAATGGCAACCTGTTGCATCCCGAACTCGCTGAGGCTCTCGAGAAGCAAAAGCAACATGGCATGCAACGAGGTCAGAAGAAGGACAAGTCCAAGAAGGACGGCAAAGGTGGAAAGAGGGGCAAAGCAGAAAAGAAGAAGCAATACATCCCACCACCCAAGCCACCACAGCCGTTGTCTGACCCGCTCGACTCGATGGGTCTTGCCTCGCTGCTTCCCGCTGACCTCGTCGTGCTACTTCGCAAGGCATCCAAGAAGGATGTCATCACAAGATCCCGTGCTCTCGAAGGTCTCCTGGCTTGGGTAGAGGACGCTTTTGGCAAGTCTCCCTCCTCCAACTCTTCCGAGTCCAGTCCCGAAACGTCCAACTTGAGCTCCGAGGAAAAGCACGATGCTCTTGTGATGATGCTTCCCAGCTGGGTTCATCTCTTCCCTCGACTCGCTTTGTCGCCGACACGTCGCCTGCGACTCCTCACCATGCAGATCCAGGCCTTGCTACTCGAAAAGCCACAGGCGTCCTCGGACGAAGCTTCATCCACTAAAGCAGAGCTGTTGGAGTCTCCTCAGTACATCGAACCCATCCTCGGCCCATGGGCCATCTTGTGCCACGACACGGATCGTACGATCGAACGACTTGGCAGAACAGCTTGGAACCACACATGCACATGGAAGAACCTTGATGAGCGCCAGACAGACACCTCCGATGCAGTGATGCTGAAACTCAACGATCATTGCGACGCTCTGGTCGCACACCTGCGCACGATTCTCCTGTCTCCCTCACCATCGTTTGCTCTGTCAATGACCGCCGCCCATGCTGTTGCGGCCGATCCGTCCTTATCTAGAACCTCTTCCGGCTATGCCACTCCGTCGCTTCAAACGGGCAACGTGGAACGAGACGCAAAGAACCGTGATGGCAGTAACGTTGAAGAGGACACGGCAGCCCTCGACAAGCGTCTCGTTGCTGGCGCTCTCGCCGTCTTGACTTCCATCATTCGTCAGCAGCCAGGATCAGAAGTTGTTAAAAGCCTGGAAGAGATGCTCTCTTCAAGACTTGTCTGGGCGTCTTTGTCGCCACTCAACTTGGCTGGCTCTTCTAGTTCCAGGTCAGAACCAAGTTCGTTTGGCTACGACTCTTCTGCAGTGCGCTTGCGAGCTTGGACCTTGCTGCGTTCCCTCTACGACACGCTGCCAGACGTGCTGGACCAACACATCCAGACCATCGGTACCGTGGCCATGTCTTCTATATGGGCAGAGCGCGACAACGCTGTCCAGAGGTCCACGCTCGATGCTATCCTGCCAGTGCTCAAAAAGCATCCCAACTTGTGGCTCATCGGCGCACACCAAGGCAAGAAGAACACTCAGGAGGCCAGCAAGTATGATGCTGACAGTGACGACGATGAGGACGAGGACGATGATGACAGCGACGAGGAAGATGATGACGATGCAGCCTCGGACACCGGCTCAGACGATGGCGTGAAAGAGGCGAACAGTGGCTCTTCGTCCTCGCTCCGGAAACCTCGCGCCTATGCCTCTCTCCTGCAATGGCTCCAGTCGGCATGCGGTGGCGCTCCACACTTGGGCTACTCGGCTGTCCTGGTCTTCATCTCGACCATTCCAAGCTCGATCCTGCCACATGACGACCTGGACGCTGCCTCGGACCTCCTCACCAACTTCTTCTCCGCTTTGTACAGCCGACCGCTCGATTTTGATCCCACCGGCTGCCGAGCCTTCTTCGCGTCTTTCACGGAATGCGTCACCTTCTTGGCGATGCGGATGCTGCGAGCCGATGCTAAGGCAGGCAAGGATAACGACGCGTCTGCAAAGGAGCTAGTACGCGTGCATTTCGGTGCAACATGGTCAGAGCTTTTGCTTCCGAAAGCAAGCCTTCTCTCTGCTGTCGGCTTCGAATCTGATGTTGAAAGCACGGACGTCGATGAGAACGCCAGATCTCAGCGAATCAAGAGCATTGGTTCGACACGCATCGTTTCCGATCTGGCAGTACAGGTTCGACGTCTTGCGACATCAGCACCTGACCTGGAGGTGCTCAGTGCCTTCCTTGATGAAGCGCAATCCGATCTTGTCGAAGTAAGTGAGGCCCTTTGCAGCGCCCCCGCAGACTTGACAATTTCGGCTCGCACTCAGCTCTTGGCAGCACTTGAGCGCGCAACGTCGTTCTATGCTGCACTGGCACCGGCTCAAGGCCACCAGGGAATCGCTGAGCTTCGGACAGCTTCCGCGTCCAGCCTGGCACAGCTCGTCAAACTGGCCGCTTCTGACCTGGTCGACATTGCCGCCAATGTCGATCTGAGTGCTGATAGCAAACGAACACGAGCAACACTGCTAGCCGAGTATCTGTGTCTTCTGCTGCGAGCTGTTGTGAGTTACCCGGAAGCGCTGGACGAGGCAACCACAAAACAGCTGTCGCAAGCTGCCAGTGTATCTGTACCGCAGCTGACAGCGACAAAAAGCGTGGCGCCTGCTTCGGCCGCTTCGTTCCTTGCCGCCTACTTGCCGTTGCGTCCCGACGAACAGGCTCGCGGAAAGATCTGGACAGAGACATTATCGTCTGTTGCGGCCCTGAGCGAGCTGTCAGACCAGGTGGATGCCATGACCGAATTATTGGCAGCGTCCGAGGCTGTTTTGTCAATGTCCGATACTGACAAGAGCAGAGAGTCTCACCTGCCCGTGCCAGCAGCCGAAGCTGGCATCGAGGAACTTATGATGGATCTAACCGTTGCCCTGTGCGATAGCTCCAGCCTGCCGAACGAAGTTCGAGGCAGCTTGCGACGCATCGTCAGCAGGATTCTCGCCAAGCCAAGTCCCTTTGTTGACGAGACATGTACGGCTTCGATGCTGTCCGTGGTCACATCCACCATCGAGCAGTTCAGGTCCACCCTGCTGGAACGAGTACGGGCAGATGAGGACGTGCAGGCTCGGCAAAGGAAAGCCGCTATCGTGATAGAAGATCTGCTTGACTGCCTTGATTCCTGGATTCAAGCACATTCAAGCGAGGATCTGGGTCGACTTCTGTTCACAAACCCTACTTACAAGGGTGTTTTCGCGGCTCTCTCGGATCTGTATTCCTTGCATCACATCGACGCGGAGGGTGAAGTTTACGAAGAGCTTGAAAGTGAGACTTCCGATGATTGGACGGAGAAGGCGATCGCGTACCGAGACGTGTGGCCCAAAGCGGAAGCGATCCATGGATTCATCGTGGGACACAGCTCGCCTGAGCTTCGGTCGCAGATGCAAAAAGAAGCTCTTGTCAGCTTACAGGACCATTTGCTTGACATCCAGGTGCCCGTCGCGCGTGTCGTTGCTGCGGCTAGATACAACGCTGCTCTGCTGCCAGAACCAAAGGAGCTAGCAGAGATGCTGGTCAAAGCCTGCAAGCAAGACACTCATCCAGCATTGAACGTCTTTGATCCTGTTGTTCGACAGCAGGTTGCATCCGAAGCATTTAAGTCCGCTTTCAACCCCCCGCTCGACAATCATGGCCTTGGTATCTTCGCGCGCGTCTGCCTCGCTGCGCTGGTCATGATCAGAAGAGATCGTGCCAATGCTCGCCACTTGCTGTATCTGCTTCCTTATGTAGTCATGCTTTCGATACTGATCGAAGATGATCTACTGTATCCTGGAGCATCAAAGCACACCCTCAGCACTGGGTCTTCGCCTGACACAAATCAGGAGTGGCTGCAGAGCTCAGTGACTGTCATCACCGGATTGGTTTCATCTCTCAGCGACAGTGTGTCAGAGAACTGGCACACCGACATTGTTATGTCGCTACAGCGCTCAACTATCCTTGATGCTGATAAGGACGCCCTTGGTCACGTGCTGTGTACACTCTGGCAGATGGCATCTCAGCTCGACAGTCCAAGCACTTACCTGGCCCGCATCTTCCACCGCCTGCTCAATGCAGTATTCAGCTTCGGCACCATCACGGAAGCAGGTGCAGATCGGTGGCTCAAGCTCGGGGACTCCATTCAAGACCGTATGCCGGCCATGTCAGCTACCATCTTCCACGCGGCCAAGCCAATCGCTGGCTCTTCTCCCATCTATGACCGTCTTCGCAACGGAGCCGCTGCCAAGCTCTCTGGGCTCGGGCCAGACACATCTCCAAATCGCGTCTTGAGCTCGCTTCGTACTCTTGTGGCTCTAGCCCCGCCTCTTGACTCCGACGTATCGATCATCCCACAGCAACGAGCCATCTTCTTGCTGAAAGATCTTGACAAGTGGTACTCGGCTGACACCTCCGAGGACACTAATGAGGAAGTCTCGACCCGTCTCGTAGAGCTGTACATCCACCTGCTTCCGGTAGTCCAGGATATTCAGGGAAGCCATATGGACTTTATGTTCGACAGCCTCGAGACGAACTTGGAGTTCTGCTCGCTTGAGCAGGACGAGACATTGCCTCAGCTCTATCACACCTTGCGCTTCCTGGAGGCCATGCGCGACCTTGCTTCACGCAACGCCAACTTGCGCGAGTACTGGAAGAATCGAGGTGTGTCCTGCATCGACTCGGTGCGTGAGCTCTTCTTGTCTTTGCCTGGTATGCAGTCCATCTCGGCCCCGAAGCAGGCGTGTATCGATCTCATTGTCGAGTTGATCAGAGAGACTTCAGATGCGCCATTCAAGTTGCAAGAGACAGCGGGACCATTGTGCAAGCTGCTCGTCCAGAGCACGTCCCGCGAGGTCCAGGTAATCAGCTACCGCCTGCTCAGCGGCGCAATTCGAGAGCATGTCAAGGAACTCGTCGTCGAGTCGGCAGTAGACAGGGATGCTCTTGCAACCGAAGAAGGACAGAGGAAACTCACGTTACCCGAAGCGCTCGTTGATAATGTCGCCGACAGTCTCAGCTCGCAACTCAACTTGCTTGTTGAGGAGGAAGCTGCTCGTCGCACCGCTTTCGGTTACTTCTTGTCTTGGATTGCGATCTTTGAGCACTTCGAGAACGCCTCATTGTTGGTCAAGTCTGCTTTCTTGGCTGAGATCGAGAAGCGTCATCTTCTCATTGATTCGCTTCTTCCCACCGTCTTTGCACTGGTTGGACTCGCTGATGAAAGCCGAAGACCTTTCGATCCGAGCCGTTTCATACTTGAAGAAGTCTTCTTGGACCAGATCGATGCCGAATCGTCACTCACAGTCCTGCAAGTGCTTGCAGCCCACGTCTACCTCCGAGCTCTCATCCACGTCCCCACCACGGTCCGAAGCTGGTGGGTTGACATCAAAGACCGACAACACTCCATGCTGATTGCCAGCTTCACCACTCGTCACTGCTCTCCTGTCATCGCCAACCGCGAACTGTCCCACTTGCGCGAGCCCGAGGCACTCTCCAAACTTCAGGACGAAGCGCTGAGCATCAAGATCCTGTCGACGAACGAAGTTATCGCCACCTACGTCGTTGACGAGCATCCGATGGAGATTGGAGTCAAGATCCCCGCCGACTTTCCATTGCACGGTGTGGAGATCCGCGACATTCAACGGGTCGGTATTACCGAAGCCAAGTGGCGATCGTGGTTGCTGGCAGTACAGCAGCTCATCACGGGTCAGAATGGGTTGATCTTTGATGCATTGAGTCTCTTCAAGAGGAACGCCGAGGTTCAGTTCCAGGGTCTGGATGAATGTGCGATTTGCTACTCGATCATCTCACCCATGGACAGGAGTTTGCCGACAAAGCCATGCAAGACGTGTAAGAACAAGTTCCATGCTGGGTGTCTGTTCAAGTGGATTTCGACGTCAGGGGCTAGTACTTGTCCTTTGTGCCGATCGATTCTGTAGTCGCTCATCAAATCGTTTTTGTCATCTAATCAACACCATCAATTTCAGATCAAATGTAGCATACTACATGTCATGTGCGTCTACTACGTGTGCCTCGTCTTGGCCGCTCCTTGACCAACCGGAGTTGATTCGTTCTTTCGCTTTCGCTTCCGCGTTTGCTCCGCATCACGTCCGAAAGTAGGCAACGAAGACGTCCGCCCTATCAATCGCCTTCCATCTTCCCTCCTCCTCAACTCTGCCGCGACGGTTCGAGTTGTAGGCGGAGGCAACGATCCAACTTGGGATTGTGTGAATGCTTCCTCTGACTGCGTCGAATCTTCTTCCTGCGTGGCCGATGAAGCTTGTGAAGCCTCTGGTTGAAATGCTGCTGCTGACTCGATCGTGTCGTCTGCCTCATCTACTCGACTCGCGATAATCGAGTCTTCTTCCTGAGGCTCTTCTGAGAGATTTGAGATTGGAGCAATAGTCGCGATGCGAGGCGATGATGATACCTGTAATGGTTTTGCGGGTATTGTGGATGGCGCACGCAGCGCACGGATCTGAAGGCTCGATGCGTCGGCTTCTGCATCTATGCTCTCTTCTACCACCTCGACGCTTGCCTGTCCGGGCGAAGGATGGGCTGCGGGCCGCGCGGGTTGAGGTTGTGGATTTTCCTCTTGTCCGGGTTGTGAAACACCTTCCGACAGCCCGGTCTCGGTGTCCACGAAGCTTTCGATCCTCCGCAAAGGGCCGTTGGGATCCTGTACCAGGGCGAGTAGCCTACTTTCGAAGGGTGTCAATACGTCTTCCTCCAGCTCTTCGGCTCGAAGCACAGCGCTTGCAAGCGTAACCATCTTCCGCTGTGTTCTGTCGCCTCTTTCCGTTGAGGCAGCCTCGACAATCGTAATCAGCCTCTCGAGGAGCATCTGAACTGCAGTGCGATTAGTGACTGCATTGAGGGGTCGATAGGACAGGATCACGCCAGCTACTTGCAAGGCGAGTATCATATTCTCTGCCTCAACCTTGTTCATCCTAGCCGAGACGCTGCCTGTGACTGAGACTTGCTGCAATGTGGAAGCAAGGTGCCTCGTAAGATCGGTCAAAGCGGCACCCAGGTGACTCCACTCGGTAGCGTCAGCAACACAACTCGCCTGAATCTGCCCTGCCAGTGTATGCCCTTCACTTGACGATTCGGCATTGAACCGATTCTGAAGCCCAAGTCTAGCGAAATGTCGAAGAATCAGTTGCAGCGCAGCCGTTCGATCGTGCTCTGTCGATACCGCCATCATCTCACCCTTCCCTTCCCCTGCAGGTATAGGACGTAGCATGTCTATGAATGACATAAGAATGTCCCCAAAGACACTGCCTTCGCCTGTCCGGCCTTCTCCCCCATTCGCTGCTGGCTCTGACTCTGGCGGATGTACGACAGTGGTGATGGCTTGCGAGTCCCACAAAGGTGGCAAAATACCCGTCTCCCTAAACCAGTGCTCTTCGACCTTTTGAGCGTTTTCCGACATCTTCCGCCTTACCGTCTTCCACATTTGGACATACGAGCCGTCAGTGCGGTTGAAAGGAACATTGAAGTGATGAATAAGGACGTTGAGATATCGACTTGCCAGATCTTCTGACATCTCTGTCGACCCTTGTTCTTCCTCGTCATCTTCTACCGCTTCTGACACTTGCGGTTCTTGCGGTGCTGCTGCTGCGACGCTTTCAATGCTTTGTTCTGCATTCCCGTGCGAAGATTGGCCACTCCATGAAGGCGTTGCAACTCCATGAGAGCTTTCCGCTCGAGCTGCAGCTGTTTCATTTCGCCGACGAACAGCCTGCGTCTCGGCCTGACTGCAATCCGCATCATAATCCACACTCTTCACACTTGCATCACCACTCCGTTGCGTCTCTTCCAAAACCTCTTCAGATCCTTCCAGCTCTTCTTCGATTCCAGCAGCTCTTCTCCATCGCTCTATTTCCAACATGGCGGCCAAGTTGCCAGCCATGTTCTGCATCACCAGTCCTTTGAAGCTGATGCCGCGTAGCTTTGATAGCTTTTCGAGTTGGTAGGCGTCCAGACTCTCGCCGAAACTCTGGCCTCCATTGGCATTGAGGCTTGCACTGGTGGCACAGATAGCTTCGGTGGAGTCTCCAACGCCAGCACCGTTTGCACGGCGTGCTTGTGCTTGCTCGCGCGCACGGGCAAGTTGAGTTTCGTAAAAGCTCCATGTCGTGTTACCCAGCATGAGCAGTCCTTCGTCTGCCAGCTTTCGTCTGTCTTCAGCACCAGCAAGGAGATGTCCAAATAGGTGGTGCAGGAGGTAGTAGTCGAGCCCACCCTTCGGATCCAAGATCGTGTTCGGCGAAACAGTCTTTGGTCTAAACAGCCCAACAAACATCTGCAGCTCAGGCAGCGTCGAATGTCTCTCGATCGGCACAACCAGCGCTTCTGGCCAAGCAGTCTCCCCTCTCCCTGCAGCTTCCACTCTCTGCTTTGTATCTTCAAACAGAACCCCCCATTTCTCCCCACCGATCTGACCCGGGTTCACGTACACCAACAACGGTTCCGGCTGGGACCGCACTGGACCCCATCTCATCCTCGCATCATCACTACAGCTATCAATCTGCGAATGCGCGACTATTGCCTCTTTTGCCAACTCCGGCATCCCATTGGCAGCATACCTCGAAGCAAGACCAGAAACAACGGAGCAGGTGTTACGCTTTTCACAAGCGTGAAACCTCGTTTTACTCCCGTCTTGCGTAACAATGTCAGCTAGGAAGGGAACCTCGGATCGTGCAGCACGATACATGATGTACTTGAAGCGATCAACGTGGATCTTGCATCCGAAAGCTTTTGCGACGTAGATGAGGAGATCTTCGTAACCCCACGTCCAGCAGTTGAGGAAGAAGATGGTCGTGGGAGGAAAGAGACGGAGGAGAGAGATGACGTCGAGACACGCTTGTTGTTTGGATGGTGGGAGGGAGGGGCAAAGAAGAAGCTCGGTGTCGAGGTAGATGTTGCGTAGACGGAGCTGCGACTTCCGCTCTGGCTGCTTAGGAGCACCGCTTGACGCCGATGGAGGGTGCGAATGGTGCTGGTAGGAGTCAGACTGCGATTGAGAGTCAAGCTGAGTTTGCGACTGACTGTCATCAGTGCGCAAAGAAGAGGTGGTGGTGGTGCTGCCAAAGGATTCTATGTGATCCGCCCAATAGTCGGCTCCAACATTACCATCTTCACCAGGTTTCCCACTCCAACACAGATATGGCGACAAGTACGGGTTCCGAGTCAACGCATCACACCACCATCGCTCAGCCCTCATATCACCCGTATGTAACACCGCCCCTTCACTACCCTGGATCAAAAACATACATCCTCCCATCATATGATTGCTCTCTATCAGCGTCAACATGACACTGCCCTTTGGTGTATATTGCACCTTTGTTGGCACATTATACGGTAGCGGCTGCAACAGGTCCAGACTGGTCGATTGATATCCAGACAGTTTCGCTTTCGCATTAGCATGCGTATCGGACACACGGAGGTGGGCGTAGGGTCGTACAACACCGATGTGTTTCGTGTGGGTGCCATCGCGATCCTTCTCGATTCGGGTTTTCTGGTGTTCGTATTTGAGAAGAAGCTGTTTGGTGGCATGAGTGCAGTAGATGGGAGCGGTGATGCCGGGGCGATCGAGTCCTTTGAGATGGTCGGTGTGGATATGGGTGAGGAGGTAGAGGAGAGGTTTGTCGAAATGGGTTTGGTTGGGGGCGAAGGGAAGGCTGTCTTGTTCTTGGGCGGGGCTGTTGAGGGTCCCTTTGGATACTGAACGACGATGGGCGAGGAGAGAGGCGGGGAGTGGGACTGGGGCCTGGTCGAAGTGGTCGACTCGGATGCGAGGGTATTCGAGGACGTAGCCGTGGGAGTTGGTCATCTCTTCGTCGCCGTTGGTGAGGTTTCAGGTGTGATGGTGGCGCCTGCCTCATACATTGTAATTTCGAACGACAGCGGAGTATCGGGGACCATCTATATGAACATCGTGGAAGAAGGCTGCCGGGCAACAGCGTGATGACCGGCCCTCGTCTATGTGGGTGTAATGTCGATGCAGTTGCTCATCATCAAGAAGAAGTGGCTACACAAAAGATGCTGTGTGTTTGTGTCCTTCAAAAGCAGACCCTGCATCGGCTTTGTATAGGAATTTCTAATCCGCGGACCGAAGCTCGAAAGTTGCAGTTTTCAGAAAACACAAATCCCAGCTTGACTCGCACGGCTGCACAAATGAGGATCAGTCGGACGATACAGAAGCCGATACAGAAACCATGTTAGATTGCGGGAAAGCGAGGTGGCTCGCTGGGGCGACGCGTGTGGCCCAGCTCAGATGCGCAACGCCGTGTCACGTGCATCAATCACGGTTTGAGTTTACTTTCCCACGTCACTTCATCACCACCATCATCTTGACCGCCACAACTATGCCGCCCTCGTACGGCGTACACTCTTTCACTCTATCCTAGAACGGACATTTCGGCCTGGTCACACTACATACGTCCCTCGCACATCTCTCATCACCACATCACCCACGATGATCCCAGTCTTGGTCGAGTCCTTCGACCCACTCCCCCGGCACCTTTGCCTATCACTCCCCTCCTCCACCACCGCCGGCGACATTCTCTCGGGCTTCACTTCCGCTTTCTCCCGCACCACCTCCAACACCTTCTCAATCACACACCACGGCCGCCGTCTCTCACCTTCCTCCCACATCTCCACCCTACACTCCCACAATGACGACTCACACCCCGTTGTGCTCCAAATCCGAGTGCTCCTCCCAGGGGGCAAAGGAGGTTTCGGATCCATGCTCCGTTCTCAAGGAGGCAAAATGTCCTCTGGCTCACGCAACACCAACAACGACTCCTGTCGCGACCTCAACGGTCGTCGTCTTGGAATAATCAAAGAAGCCAAAAAGCTCGCGGAATACCTCCAAGGTGAATCTGAACGCAAACGACAAATGGATGAAGCTCAGAAGAAGAAGTATGCAAAGCTGGAGAAGATGCTGGGAAGGGCACCGAAGAGTGAGAAGGATTTGGCGGAGGCTGCGGAGAGGATGGCGGATGCTGGGGAGGTGTTTGGGAGTGAGGATGGGAGTAGGAGTCCGGAATTGCAGACTGGGTCGAGTAAGAGGGCGGTGTATGGAGGAAGCGGAGGTAGTGGAGTGGCGGGGGTGAAGAGGAAGGAGATCATTGAAGATTTACAGTATGTTGAACAGAGTAGGGAGATCGTTGAGAATGTAAGATCAGCAGTGGCCAGTGCGATGATGAAGAAAAAGAAGCCGAACAAGGGTAAGGCTAAGGCGGCGACGGCTTCGTCTTCGAACACAAGCAGCAACGCTTGTGCTTCTGTGTCTGCTTCTACATGATCTCACACTCCTGCTGTTGTTGCGTTCTGAAGCTGCATCCATCGTCCAGCTTGTAAAGCTGATCATATCTAATCATACCAATCTTCAATCTTCATACCACTGGAACTTGTTCGACGTTGATGTCACCTCCCGTCCCTCTTCTGTGTATGCCTTGTGGAAGCTCAGATGCTGTCTCCCTGTTAGCTGCGACTTTGCTCTGCTGTCTACTTTAGTGCGACTATGGTTGTGATTGCATAGCACAAGATTGTGCTCAAGGTCATTGCCGTCTGAGATGATTGCGTTGAGCTTATCGGTTGTGTCGATCCGCGGAAGTCGGCGAGCAGCGTTAAATAGCGGACGGACCTCCACCTCATTACTTTCCTCGCCAAAAAATTGTGGTAGCAGAAGGGCTTTCTCGATTTATCCTTGTGCGCCAATCTGGCCTTGTTCGAGAGCTCTCCCTTTTGGAACGGCCAGGCTACAGCTGATCTTGCTTCTTTACCACACAATCAACCTTATCCTGACTCTGTACGTCCTCAGCAAACGGTCACACGCTGCGTATCTACAAGACCACGTCCCAGCTTCCACCGCCGTCATGCAGCCATAGATCAAAACAGGGCGTACTTGCCGGCCAGCTTTTCACGAAGTAGTTTCTAAGTCACGCCTTGCTCCGTACTGGACCGGACGCGAGGGGACACGTAGTTATGACACCTCCAGCTGCCGTCCGGCGGCAGCGAACATCAATGTCGCAAGCCGGGGCATCAAGCTCCAGCAGAACTCCCTCGAGTTCAACGTTGCTCTGCTCAGCATTGCTCTGTCTATCAGCCCTCACCTCCACCCTCGCCAGCTTCCCCTCCGAGCCGCTCTCCAGCAAGCTCAGCTTCAACAGCCATGTCGAGACAGATGCCGACTCTCTCGCCTCCTACCGTGCCGAAGTCGAAGGTTTCCAACGATGGTCCCGCGAACGAGGCCGTATGCCCCGTTCAGACGATAAACTCCTAGATCTCGAACCCGGAGATCTCAATCTCCTTCACACCACCGACATCCACGGCTGGTTCCAAGCTCATCGCAAACTTTCCCCTCCCGAGCCATCTTACTCTGCAGACTGGGGTGACTGGGCATCGTTCGCTTCCAAGATGCGAACAAAAGCACATTCAGAAGGTCGAGATCTACTCCTGGTAGACACGGGCGACTTACACGACGGTAATGGAATCGCAGACGGTTTCCCTCCCTACAACAAAGACGAACCGGGAGGGAAAGAGGCAGTAGACGGTCATGTTTCGAATCAGATCTTTGCTATGGTCGACTATGATTTGCTTACGATAGGCAATCATGAGCTGTACAACTATACGGTGGCGAAGGATGTCTATCAGAACTTTGTACCGCAGTGGGGAGGTAGATACATGACGAGCAATGTTCAGATTGCACTACCTTCCCCCGACTCGCCTGATGCCAAGTACGCTCCCATTGGCTCGCTGTATGGTACACTAGTCACCCCGGTGCAAGGTTTGAAAGTGATGTCGTATGGTATTCTGTTCGACTTCAAACTTGCCGCTCCAGGAATTCTCGTTCAGTCGCCGCAAGAAATGGTGCAGGAGGCATGGTTCGATCAATCTCTTGATCGGGCTGAAAAGTGGGGTGTGGACGTGTTCGTAGTATTAGGACACATGCCTGTTTCTGGTGATGCTGGATGGGAAGCTGTCCATTCCAAGATCCGGTCTAGGTTTCCAGATACACCGATCGCCATTTTGGGCGGACATACACATATTAGAGATTGTAGAATGTTCGATAGTCAATCCATGGCTCTAGAGAGCGGGCGATACATGGAAACTATCGGTTTCATGGGTATTCAGAACCTTCAAAAACGAAAACGAGCCGGGAACAAAGGCAAAGTCAGATTCACGAGACGCTACATCGATAGCAACCCAAGAAACTTTGCTCATCATCTAAAACTTAACTCCACTCGAGAACTCGCGACGAAGAAGGGAAGCTTTATTAGGTTTGTAATGGATGCGATTAGCGAGGCGTGGAACTTGTCCAGGTTGCACGGGGTAGTTCCGCAGGATTACTACTTGGATCGGGTTCCTTATGGGGATAAATCGAGTTTGCTCAGTTTGTTGGCCGATCAAGTGCTGCCGAAAGTGGTAAGACCATCCGAGAAAAGTAGGAGGGATAAGAAAAGCTTGGTGTTGATCAATAGCGGGTCGCAAAGGTTCGATGTGTATTCCGGACCGTTTACGAGGAACGACCAGTACATTGTTTCGCCGTTTAAAGACCAATTTTTGTACATGGCGGATGTTCCATGGGGTATAGCCAAACACCTACTTCAAGGCTTGCTGACGTTCAAAAAGGGTGCGGTTGTCGAAGTTATGCAAGGGGGAACCACGCAGTATAGTAACAGTGATGCGTTGTTGAGGTATGGAAGTGGATTTATCGAAGACATCTTCTTGCGATGGCAGAAGAGTCAATGGTTCAAGTTCCTCCAAGCGGAACAGAAAGCTCTAAATGCAACCTATACGAACAGCACAGCAAAAAGTATGGAGGAACTAGAAGCAGAGGAAGACGAAGCACTGCTCAAGTTCTTCCACAAATACGATTCGCTCGATAAACCTTCGCTTGGATATCGCACCATCGATCAATGCGCGGGAAGTGGAGACGATACGGTTCATTCGCCAGTACCGTTTAACCCGAATCAGCCGGAATATGTAGCTTCGAGTCCGGAACCAGTGCCGGAAAAGGATGGGGAAGTGGTGGATGTTGTGTTTGTTGACTTTATGCGCAAGGTTGTGGTTGAGCTGCTTAATAAGTATGATGGCGTGTATAGGAATGGAACAGGGGAAGAAGGGGAGGTAGAGAGGTATAAAGTGGAACAGTTGAAGAGGTGGGGAGATATAACTACGCAATTGCTGTATCCCAGGTTTGCGGAATTAGAGTGGCAACCGGTGGAAGGAGCGAACAAGGCGGTTGCTGCGCAGGGTAGGAGGGCTGGTAAGATGGGATATGCTCCTCTTGAAGATCCTATCCTATTCATCGACAAGGTGAAGGAGCAGCAGCAGCAGATGCATGCAACCTGGTCACCATACTCAACAGCATCATTCATAATCCCCCATGTCAGCTCCTCGGCTTCGTCAAGAACGGTTTGCTTTCCTCCAACTCAAGAAACTGCCGCTCAAACATCGTCTTAGAACAAGCCATAGATAGACTCATTTCATCAGTATATACAGTAGCATCGCATCACTCTCACAAGCAACGATTTTCCTTTGCAATAGCATCTTTTTACATTCTTCACTCTACAAAAACTCGATGAAACTTGCCATCACTTACTCTTGCCAACCTGACTGGCAAGAGACCCCTGATGGGTAGCCTTAACGCTCTTCCTCGCATCCATTCTTTCCATCCACCCCGCTAACCAACTAAATCTTGCTCCATCCTCTTTGACCAGATCCCCCGCAGGACTTGCTCTTAAATCATCCAGAATCGGAAACAAGAACAAATCAGCCCAACCTACCTCTCCACCCCCCAAAATCCAACCTCCTTGGTGCTTGTTATGCGATTTCGCCTGATTCTCCACGATCTCCAACAGCGTGTGGATCCGAGTGAGACCTGGTTCAAGAGCGACTTTGATGGTTTCTTCATCAGCACCATTTTTCTTCATCTGTGCTGCTGGTTTGATGAATCCCCCCTGCAATGCAGGGAATAGAGTTTGCGAAAAGGACGACACAAACCCATCCAGTCGAGATCGGAGGATCACCGCTTTCGCATCGACTACTCCTCCTGCAGACCTTAGCGGAGGAGTCAAGTATTTATCTTCCGAAGTGGAAGAGAGGGGTGAGAGATACTCGTCGATATATCTGCGAATCGCATTACTCTCATAAAGAGTGACTATGTCGCTAGGTTGGGTATACAGCCCATCCGGACGATGGACTAGCACGGGGAGTAAGCCGTATGGGTTGCGAGACTTGATGTCGTCGGAATGGGGGGTGCGGGTAATGGGGATGAAGTGAATGTTTAGTTCGTGGAGAGCGAGAGTTATGGATCGGGTGAAGGTAGATTGGGGAAGACCGAAGATTTCGATTAGACCAAGGTCTTCTGGTTTTCCTGTGCGATCCGGGGTCGTCATGGCGGTAGTTGGGAGAATGCAAGTAGCGGATGTGGTAGTGGTAGTAAGAAGGGATGTCAAGAGGCAAGATCAGATTTTCAAGTGATCTTGGCATCCGAACCCTCAATTCATACCATAAACTAAGGCGGCTGGAGATCATAAGAGAGGTTTTAGGATTGCGGGATGAGCATGAGAGTGCTCACAAGGCTCGTGAGGCTCCCGGACCGCCGTAAGGGGGGGCCGGATGAGCGCGAGAGAGCGGCAAGACAAGGGGGGGAAGACAGGGTGGGAAAAACACTGAAGAGACGGCGAGATTCTGCTAAGCAAGCAGCGGCGCGAATGGTAGATCGGAGAGAGGGGCATTCTGTAGCTGCGCGATGACTTAGCAGAATCTCCGACCACGGATCACATCACGTGCTATAAATCACGTGATTACCACGCTTGCCAAGAAAAAGAAAGAGCAAAGTGGAGGAATGAGTTAAAGTATATAAAAGCTACACAAAGTGTAGAGACAGTGAAGGTAGTGCTTACGGCCAAGTAAAAGGCCTGAGCATCTGAGCACAGACCACATGTGTCACAACCTACTCAAGACAAATGCTTTGTTATGTTCTGCAGTCAATGCGGCTCTCTGCCACTCTACTTTTGTATATATAAACTCCTTCTCTCTCTTGCTCTCTCTCTCTCTCTCACTATCATCATCATAAATCACACAAAACTTCAACTGGCTCCCAATGTGGGGCTCGAACCCATGACATTCATCACATCAAGAGTTCAATGCTTAGCATAATGCTGCCAGCGACAAGAGCAGGGCAAACCGGAAGGGATGAGAGAGATGATGATCAAGCGGCCACAGCTGCAGGCAATGGTCGAGAGGAGGGTTGGCTCATGCAGGTAGTTAGAATTCTACAGTTAGCAAACCCGGCACTGATGGCGGAGGAGGCAATAGTACAGGTGATGGGTCTTGTCACCATTAGCAAGCAAACCCCATGAGGAGAGATGGAAAAGATCCCCAAGGATATTTCGAGCTCAATTGCCCATATTAAGAAACTTAGTGATAGCAACTGGCACACCTGGGAGCCTACTTTCATCAACTGTCTGCAACGAGTATGCAATGTGAAGGAAATCCTGTATGGCAAGATAGCACCGGGAAGTGAGGGGTATGACAAGGACTTGGACAAGGCACTTGTAGGTCTTATCCATGCCTCCTGCGACCACAGTCCAGAGAGCTGCATTGATACATACACCATTAGGGGTGCAGATGAACATGTCCAACTTGGTAGTACACTATATGCTAAGCTCAAAAAGGCGCTAACATTGAACGACGCAGTAAAACGAGTGGGCCTGCAGGACTGCATCCACACTGTACGACTGTACAATTGTGATGTCATCAGGCTGGGCAAGGAACTGGACTCTATCTGGAATGATGCTGTGCGACTTGGGAAATGACTTGACGAGGACCTCAAGAAAGCCACCCTATACTGCTGCACAGCACAAGATTGGTTCTATGCCAACTCTGTCGATGCACTCAAGACAGCCAAACCAGATTGTAAGTATGACGAAGCCTACCATGCATTAGCAAAGAAGCAACAGGATGGTGAGGTCACTGGCCATATTAGAGGAGCAGCAAGGGTTGCCACAGGCACAGACCAGGCGGAGCAAGGACCCAGGGGCAGGCACGACCCTTGCAACCCCTCAGCCCCTCCTAAGTGCTATGCTTGTGGAGGGCCTAATCACATTGCTTGCAACTGCACAAACACCAACAACAACTCTGCACCGAGTATGGGTGGACCCACCACCAATCCAGCACAGGAAGCAAGTTGGTAGGAACTCGGGTGCACCCTCCTAGTGATCAGCGGAGATAAGCAACCAACATTGGATACCTGGATTGTTGATTCGGGTGCAACACACCACATGGTGAATGATGAAAGAATGCTACTCACCTCGACAAGCAAGGATGGTCAAATCTGTACAGCTGGAAATGAAAGGCTTCAAGTGAAGGCCATAGGAGACACCTCCCTTCGGGTTGGCAATGTAACCCTTCAACTATTGGATGTGCTCTATGTGCCGAAACTTAATTCTAATTTATTATCAGTACAAGGTTTGATCGAGAATGGTGCATGGGTAACTTTCGATGAGTTTGGGACCATCATTAAGCAAAACGACAGCACACAAATACAATACAAGAGGAACAGAAGAAAAGGGCAGTTCGAAGTGCAGGGAAAAGCACTAGCCCTGGAGTTGGAAGAGACACTCGACGATGTCCCAGAGGACAACCAGAACACAGGGAGACACAACGACGTCCCAGAGGACAATAAGAACACAGGAAACCGAGACAACAACTCGAAGGAAGACAAAGATAGCAACCTCTGGCATGAGAGGTTTGGACACCCAGGACGAGATAAGACAAGGCAAATCCAGGTGCACTACCTTGGCACTGATGAGAGAATGGAGCATGAATCAAAGCACTGCAACACATGCAGTCAAGGAAAACAGACCCGAGTGCAGATGAGCCAATTGGAGTTGAAGAGAGCGGAGGCACCACTAGAGTTAGTACATGTAGACTTGATGACAGATCTTAAGGGCCATGCCAACTACCACTATGCACTAGTTGCTGTGGACGACTTCTCCTCCCTGATCCATGTGGAACCACTCTGCACTAAGAGTGCTGCACTCCTGGCGCTGAGAAGGTGGATCACCAGGATGGAACGAGCAACAGACAGGAAACTCAAAACGCTCCGCAGCGACAATGGAGGAGAGTGGTGCAGCTTAGGAGCTGAAGACTGGCAAACTCAAGAGGGTTTCAAGTGGCAAAAGAGCATCCCGGGGATCAGTGTCCAGAATGGACGGGCAGAGAGAGTGATCAGATTGGTCCAAGAAAAGATGCACTCAATGCTCATTGGTCGAGCTTGCCCCAGAGAGTTGTGGCCATATGCAATCACAGCAGCAGCACATGTGATGAACCTCACCCCATCAGCCACCAAGACCATCCCCCATGAGGCCTTTTATGGAACCACTGCACACAAGCTGGCCCAGCAGCTGCGAGTCTTCGGATGCTTGGCATGGGTCCATGTTCAATGGAAGGATCAGCAGGGCAAGTATGGGGCTAGAGCAAAGCCAGCCATCATGATTGGATACAATGATGAGCACAAAGCATGGAAGTTTTGCAACCCGGATCAGCCTGCATCAATTCAATGGAGCAACTCAGCAACATTCCATGAGGACAAAGGATGGAGTGATCGCCAACAGGAGGCAGTCCAGCCCATGGCAACCATGGAGGTTGAGGAGGAGGGTGTCACACCAGCCATAGTGGAGGATCCCCTACCAGCTGTAGACAGCACAGTAGGCGCCACCAACACAGCAGTACTGAACCTGGACCTGACACTTGGGGAAGCAATGAATGGTGAGGATGCCCAGCTCTGGAAGGAGGCAATATGAAAAGAGCTGGAAGGACTCAAGGCAATGGGGACTTGGGAGGTGGTGAATCACCTGCCAGGGGCACCACTTGTGGACTCTAAGGTTGTGCTTTGGTTAAAACTCGATGCTGATGGTGTGCCCATAAAACACAAGGTGTGACTGGTGGCAAGGGGCTTCACACAGAGAGAGGGAATCAACTACCAGGAAACCTTCTCTCCAGTAGCACCCCTCGGAGCAATCAGAGCTATCCTAGCACTAGCAGTACAGAACAACTGGGAGGTGCATGCACTGGATATCACAATGGCCTACTTAAACTCCAGGTTAAAAGAAGCGATCTATATGAAACCACCAGAGGGATCAGGAGTAGCACCCGGACAGGTATACAAAGTGGTCAAGGGCCTGTATGGCCTAAAGCAGTCTGGGCGAGAATGGAACCAGGAGTTCGACAGGTCTTTGTGACACATGGGATTCTTCCAGGTAGAGTGCGCTCCCTGCATCTACACCAAGGGATGGGGCAAAGATATGGCCATTGTGGTCATCTACATTGATGATACATTAGTCATAGCACCATGGCTGGAAACAGTCCTAAAGGTCAAGAAGCAGATCGGTCAGAGATGGAAGATGGAAAATAGTGGCGAGGTCTCTCACTTCCTTGGCATCAAAATTAGTCGAAACTGTATGATGCGCACCATGATGATTGGTCAGTCAGGGTACATTGACCAAGTGCTGGCTAAGCACCTGGACAAATGCACCAAGCCAACCATGGTTCCAATGCAGAGCATACCGGAGGGAACCCTTGTTGCAAGTGCAGCACAACAGAAGGAGTATCCGGTGATCATTGGCAAGCTGCTCTGGGTTGCCAACAGCACCCGGCCTGACCTTAGTCTCACCGTGAGTGTCCTCACTAGACACATGCGTGAACCATCCCAAGAGCATTATCAGGCAGCACAATGGGCCTTATGCTACCTCGAAGGCACAAAGGATGTTGGATTAGTTTATAGGGGAAATATGTCGCAAGAGCCACTGATTGCACATAGTGATGCGAACTGGGCAAGTGATGCCACCATTCAGAGAAGGAGTACATCAGGGTCAGTGGCATTAGTGTATGGGAACCCGGTAGCCTGGAAGTCAGCAACACAAAAATGCATATCACTGTCCGCCATCAAGGCGGAGTTCATTGCAGCTATGGAAGCAACACATGAGGTGCTCTTCCTCAAGCAGCTGCTGCACTCGATTGGCATTGCCACAGGCACCCCAATGGTCTACTCAGACAACACCAGATGCATACAGGTTAGCAAAGACCCAGCACAGCACTGGAAGCTTAAGCACATCGACACCAAGTATCACTTCATCCATAACAATGTTCAAGAGGGGAGGGTGCAAATCAAGTACATGGACACAACAAGGAATTTGGCAGATGTACTCACCAAGCCAATTGGGAGACAGGCAATACAGCAAGCGAGATCTGGGCTACACCTGCAGATACCAGCAGCAGCATACGAAACGGAGTCCCTGAGCTATGCGATGATGTTAAAGAATGGAGGATATACCTTGAAACAACAGCATAATGAACAGGGTACATATGCTGTTGAGGGGGGGAGTTAAAGTATATAAAAGCTACACAAAGTGTAGAGACAGTGAAGGTAGTGCTTACAGCCGAGTAAAAGGCCTGAGCATCTGAGCACAGACCACATGTGTCACAACCTACTCAAGACAAATGCTTTGTTATGTTCCGCAGTCAATGCGGCTCTCTGCCGCTCTACTTTTGTATATATAGACTCCTTCTCTCTCTCGCTCTCTCTCTCTCTCACTATCATCATCATAAATCACACGAAACTTCAACTGAATGTGCTGATTTTGGACGCACGTACTTGCCGCTGGTGCCGCACAAGCCGAATTCGTGTTCTGCCGCCGCGACGATCATCAGCTCCAGAATTGGAGCTTACTCTTACTCTGGTGCAATCATCTGAACCCTTGTGTTCCCAGTAGGTGTGCTTCAGCTTCATCAGGTTTGGCTGCAGCACTGGCGATTCTGCGCTGGTAACATCAGCATCGTCAAGACATTATAGATGAAGCCCGAATCAAGTCTAAGATGTAGCAACGAGAGGTGGGTGCTTTGCTTCTTAAAGCCTGCCCAATGGCTTTTGAAGTGGTTCTAAACATAATGATCCATTCCATGCCTTGGGCGACCTTTGGCATGCAACAATGAGCATAGACTTCGCTTGGATAGGCAACCGCCAGCACAGTCCTCAGATCGAACAAGATGGCCATTGATGGATGTTGCTAAATTGCCTTCGATACTGATACAGTTGACTCTGCACTTTGCTGCGCATCGTTACAAATCCCAATCCAATTCATCATCCAATTCCTCCTGGGTCTTTTGTCTGATACTCCTCTGTCTCTTCCCCCCATTCTCCTCCTCCTCTTCTTCCTCCTCGTCAGCTTCCTCAATCGTATCCGATCTCTGAGTACCCGCATGCGTCGGAGCGCCCGGGACCTTGGACCGCTCAATGGCCCCCACCGCAGTCAACAACAACTCGATATCCTCACACTTGGTCTTCATTCCATCGAGTCCAATCTCTGGCCTCAACCCCACGATTTGCCTATGCAACTCTCCGTTCCTATAAATCAGCAACGTCGGCAAATTACGATCTGGGTAATTTGGAATGCATTGATCACCAACAATACTGACAAACTTCGTCGCTGGGTATTTGGCAGCCAAAGTATCGAGGTAGCCGGCGAGTAAGCGGCATGTATCAATCCCATCTTTGTAGAGGAAACACACTACGCCGGTGCCTCCGTGCCTTTGCTTATCTGTCGCTGAGGTCCCATTGCTGTTGCGCTCCTCTTGCTCGATTTGCGGTTGAGAGTCGGGGTTGGCGTCGGGATCGATCTTGCTTGCTTCGGTAACTTCTCGTGTATAATCTGGTCTGGAGATAGGGTAGACTCGACCGAAACGAGCTTTCTTGGTTTCAGTTCGGAGCTGGGACATTCGTTGACGTCGGATTTTCTCTAGGAGTTTCTCTTCCTCATCATCGATTTTGCCTTCTAATTCGACATCGAGGTCTTCGACAGCGGCTTGTTTGAGGAAGGATGTGCGGAGTTCGTTGGCGGTGGGGAGTTCGGGCGAGGGTGAGCGGGAAGGTGGTTTTGGAGGGATGATTCCGTGCGCTCGAAGGGCGTCGTGGAACTCAGTGTCTTGGGTTGGGTCGACTTCGGCTTGCATCTTTACTGATCTACCTTTGTGCAGCGGCGGAGTGTGAAAGATGCTGTGACGAAGCGGTGAAGCAGCAGCAAAGGTGTTGGTGTTGATGATGAGGGTGAGGATGTGTTGAGTGTTGGTCTCGTTGCAGCGGCTGGCTTCCCTTGGCAAGGCGGTGCTGCATTCTTCTAATCCGAATTCCGAAAGGCTGCCTACACTCTAACACGGCTAAAAATATTGCGATCTTGGACCCCGCTGACCCCTTTTTTACCGGATATACAGTATATATATCTCTGCAAGGTGAGTCTTTCAAGGGAGAGCTAAAACTGACCGTTGTGATTGTCGGCTGTGCTGCTGTTTCTTGTGCTCCCCAACCTATTCGCTTTCCTTTCTTCTCCTTCCACAGCCGCCCCTGAGTCGGAGCTCGAGAAGGTGTTCACCATCACCAGGTCATCTTGGCGTAGTATAATCGCACTCGCGACCATCCTCAACTTACAGCAACGGTTAGGCCACACACATCTTGATACCCAGCCTCATGCCTTACCTCAGCACCTAACTGATTTGCATCAACTGGCGAGCTGGCCGCGCTCCCCTCCAGTATGCCAGCATTCGCTCGCTCGTCCAAGCCGACAGCTACGATCACCGCAACACCGCCACCGCCATCCACAGCCGCTGCTTCGTCATCAAAGGCGTTACCAACCGACCTTCCGAGCTCAGCATCAAACCTCACTCAGCAATCCCTATCCGTTCTTTACCAGTTCCTATCATACGCCGATCCAGAATCAGCGTCGCTTCTCCCCCTCTCTCCACCCTCCAACAATGCGATCTCTTCATCATCTATACCAACCCAAACACCAGCGCAACCAGAGATTCCAATACCAGAATGGACCGTCCTCTACACTACCACTACCCCTTCCACCACTCCAGGCGGCTTCTCCTCCTCCACCACAGTCCGTTCCCATCCCGATCCCTACCGCTATCTCTTCAGCGTCCAATCCACATTACCCGGAGTGACAGCGAGACAGTTCTGGTCCCTCATGGCCAGTGCCGAGAATCGCAAGCTCTGGGATAACACAGTTGAGGAAGCAACTGTTAAGCGCTGGCTCAGCAGCGAATCTCGGGCAGAGGGAGATGGCAGTGCGGAGATGGCGCGAGCAGTAGCTGCAAGAGTGGAACTACTGAGGTTTGGCAGCATTTTCATGGTCGCCAAAGCAAGAGATATGGTGTTGCTCTCAGTTGATGCGAGGTTACCTTCTAATGGCCCCCTGAGGTTGGTTTCGACTTCGCAAAGTATTGTACATCCCAGTTTGCCGCCACGGAAGGGCTATACTCGCTTTGAGCTCAGGACGGGCGGGTTCATGGTCGAAGATCTTGGTGATGACCGCGTTCCCGATATCGCTGCTTCGGAACTAGGAAAAAGTCCATCGTCAGCTACGTCTACAAACGGATCACACATTCGCAAGGGCTTGCTAGCTCTTGGTCGCCGCGGTCGTTCGAACTCTTCCAGCTCTTCTACCGGCAACAGGCATTTGCGACAAGCTTCTGACTCAGTCGATTCACCTCAGCAGCGCAGCATGCCGATAAGGGATCCAAGAGGACCAGCAGTACGCATCACACAAGTGTCGGATCTGGGAGAGATGGCAGCTTGGGTTCCAGCTTCAGTGATCAAGATGGTCGCGTCGACGTTGGTGCCCAGAAGTATTGCCTCCGTCGCAAAGGTAGCCAAGATGATGCCGGTTGCGCAAGTCTTGTATTCGGATTACGATCAGCGGGGAGCAGGGAGAGGAGATGAGGAGGTGGTAGCGGAAAGGTTGGGTGAGAATGGTGGGACATGGTATAGGCATAGAATGTTGCCAGAGATGGTTGGAAGAGGAGTGTTGAAGAAGCCCAAGTCGAGGCCCACTACTGCAAGTAAGCAGGTGGTTGCACCTGCATCCGCAGAGGTGCCAGCGACGACGACGCCTGAGCCGCTTGCAGCAAGGTTGAGTGATGTTCCTGAAGTAGCGCCTACTACTGAGGCCAAGGATGAGAGAGATTCAGAGATCAAACCCAAGCCACCGCCGCTCAAGGACAGCACCAACATCCACCACCAGGACATCATTGCGCCAACTCAATATACCACAGCAGAACCCATCACCGCCGCTTCTGCTGCTGCCCCTTCAACCCCCTCCTCCTCCTCCGCACCCAAATCACTACTCCCACCACGAACCTCATCCCTTCCACCCTCATCTCCTTCACTCGACCGTCATACACCTTCATTCTCAGGCTCGCCCAACAAGCCACTTTCCCCATCCAGCCCCCTCTCCTCTCGCCCAGCAATGCTGTTGGACTTGGGCTCGCTCGATCCACCGCAACTCTTTCCCTCTCACACCGGCGCCACCCGCACCTCTTCCTCGCCTGGGTTGTTCGCATCAACAGACTCCGATTTGGGCGGTTCCGTATCTTCCCTCACCCCTTCTTTTCCTGCTGCTAGTCGAATGTGCGGAGGGAAAAAGTTCAATATTCCACCAACACCCTCTGAGGGTACCGAAACAGTACCAGGTTCTGTAGCTGCTTCTGACTTCGAAGCTGCCGCCAGCGACTACTTGACCTATGGAGTGCTGGAGAAGCAGTTCAAGCGTGCGACGCTCAATTTAGCACAACAGGATGGTGATAGGGAGAGTCAGGAGATTCTAGACGATGCAGGTGAAGAGACGGGGGATGTTACTATACGTCAACCATTCCCCGGCTCAGCATCTCCAGCGTCGCCGCTAGCAATGGGGTTGATGATGAGTCCAGCAGAAAAGCGATCCAGATTGTTATCTAATGAATACTTCCCCGCACATATCGACGCTGGTGGAAACAGGAGCGCTGACAACGAGGCAAAGGCTGCCCGCGAGATGGATCAAAAAATGCGTCGCCTTTCATCAGCGCTATACGCAGAGATGGAACGTCGACAACTCTCCGGTTCTGGTTTCTCACCACGCACCAACCAAACTCGACCTCTATCCCCACTCTCTCCGCACCCTCCGCACTCCACGCTCCCGCCTCTGCCTAACATCAATCTTGAGGAGCAGCGAACGGCACCACTCGCCACAGCCCAATCGTCCGACCTGGTTGCCCTACTCGCAGATGCCTTGTCCGAATCCCTCCCGTACATCCCCACCACCGCTTCCCCACAGGACCAGGAGAGAGAGATACGAGAACAAGTGCGTCGAGTATCAGCTATGCTCCTAGCTGGATCTGATGCATTGGCGCTCAGTTTGGCTCCCGGAGCGAGGGATAGTCTGGGGTTGCAACTGGATGGGTTGAGTACACCTACTGAGGAAGAGGGGAGTGTGAGGAGTTCGGTTAGTTCTGCAGAGGCTAAGAAAGCCGGGAATGGGAAGGCGAAGGCGAGATATGGTGAAGGATTGGGAGCAGCGGGAGGATATGGAAGGAGCAGGAAGGTATCGGTCAATTCAATGGGGAGGAATATCAGTGTTGGTGCAGCAGCAAAAGCTGATGTTGTTGCAAGTACGGAAAGTGTGATCAGTGTTAGACGTCCTCATGCCAGGTCTACGACGAGCACTACGCCAAGTTCTAGTGCTGCAGGAAGCAGTCATTTCACCCATCCGAGCACTGCGAACACTTCTCTGCTTAACTCGGTCCCCGATCTTCCAACCGCGGTGGAGGCAGCGCAAGGTACGGAGACGAAAGCAGTGGAAAGCCTACGAGAACTAGAAAAGGGTTCTCGTCGATCAGTTCGTGCTGTGAAACGAAACCTGGTCACTAGTGCCCCCACCACCACTTGCTCACCGACGCAGAATGGTGGAGAGGGAAGGTATGGTGCGAGACTGCTCTCCGGTTTAGCATATTATAGCGGTTATAGCTGGTACTATGCCTCCACTTCACCCACTTGCTCTAGTCGCCCATCCTGCACTGCATCTTGTGCTCAACAACGGGACAGCCTTGCAACAACCAACGGAGGAGGTTTAGTGCGTCCCATCTCAACCAGATGCACGGCACATAAGAAGCCTCGCATACCCTCAAATCACTCAATAGGCAGGCGTAAGACCAGAGCAAACTACAGGCTGGAGAACAACTGCAAATTACACCCCTTCCCAGGATCACTTGGTAAACGAGCTGGGCTGGCGGGGGCTTTCCCGGTTCACACCAGTCCAAATGGCGGCAACGAGGATCTGCCTCCACCGATCACAGGGTTCGGTGTGGGCAGGATGAGGAGATACGCAGCCACCGATGCCGAAAGTGGAGGGAAGAGAGTGAGTAGCGCTGGTGGTAGTGGTGTAAGTGCCGCGGCGGGAATGACCAGAGAGGGAGAAGGGATAGTGGCAGAGGAGAGAGAAGAGGAAGGAGAGGATGAGAGTTGGGAAGATGATTTGCCTTCATCTCTACCAACATCTTCGGGGCAGATTTTGACTCGTCAGCATCATATGGGTGGTGGCGTACGGGCTGTCTGATTGCTTCGTTGCCGCTCTCTCGGACGAATAGCTCTGCGCTCGTGCATCTGGATCCGCGTTTCCCCGGCTTTGTCTTTCATTCTGTAACCTTCCGCATCGTATTCTTTTGCCAGTCTCGCATGTCCATTCTCCCGCCTCTTCGGTCTTTGTTCTGTGTGTGATGCTGCGATCAACGTCACAAGCCTGAAATCCTCAGAGCATAAGCACGAGCGGAAGCTACGAGGAAGAAAGTGTAAACGAGATGTCTATCAAGTACTAGAAAAAAAAAAAAGCGCAAGATGAAGGAGATGATGATGTACGAAAGTGTCGTTTTAATTTTGACCACCTGCAGCTCCTCCTCCGCCTGCTGCTGATGCTTCGGAAAGGAGAACATCGATCAACCGCTCGATGGCGACGAGATGCTTTGTCGTATTACCCATCCCCCCCTTTCTCGCCGCGATCAGACTGGGATGGACTAGGTCAATCAACTTGCTTCTTTGTTCGGTGTCAGCTTTTTCCAAGAAGCGCTGGAGGACGTAATTTGCGAACTGGTCTTTCATCATCAGAACCGCGGGGGCTATTTTGCATGGTGATGGCCTAGCAGCGTTGGCTGTGTTTTCCTCTGAAGAGTAGGGGCTAGGTAGTGGGGTGGCGGTTAGGATTTCTTCCAACAGCTCGTTACGATCTGTGCTATTGCAAGTACGAATGACTTGCTCAATAACGTTAGATGCGAACTTATGCCTAGAAAGAGTTAAAACCAAACCTTTGATCTTGGAGATCACTCTGGCTCTATCATACGGCTTACCGCTCTGCAAAACCCATTGAATGACATAGTTCCCATACTGATGCTGCATCAAACCAAACGCTTCCGCATGCAACTCTTCCAACAAAGCCCGGGTCTGTCCTTCTTCACAACACTCGAAACACCTTTGCAAAACCCTGCACGAGTAACAGTGCGACGCCAAAGAGGCTACCTGACCGATGAACGCTTTCGGGATGAAATCCATCTTTGTGGGATGCACTCGTTCAATCACCTTCTGAACGACGTGGTTGGCGTTTTGATCCCGAACACACTGCATGATGTGCCCATCCAATTCCGCCGCTAGTTTCTCCCGCTGAGAAGCTGAGATGTGATCGAAAGCCTTCTGCACCACCCGACAACCATACGTACCGAGCGAGAGAGAGAGAATATGTCCCTCCATCTCCCTACCTAAAACATCCCTCTGCTCTTCATCCCCATGTTCCAGCATCTTCTGAATAACATAATTCCCAAACACATCCGTCATCAACTGTCTGGCCTGCGGCAAAACCTCGTGAAACACCAGCTTCTTCTCTTCATCCGAAGCACTATCGAGTTTCTCCTGAATAAACCGACTCCCATGTTGGTCGCTGCTAAACTCGACAATGCTTCCACAGATATCAGCAAGTTCGAATTGACGATTTTTCGAGTGCCGAGAGCGGAATTCTTCCAAAAGAGGACTGCGAGAGTGGTGAGGTCCTCCATTACTGCTCCAGGTACCGTTGTGCGAAGCCGGATGATGATGATGATGGTGGTGGTGGTGGTGGTGGTGGTGTGGGGGGAAGGGTGCCGAGTAGAATCCACCACCGTTGCGGACAAAGTTGGGATCTATAGCCGGAGGAGCTCCACCATAGCCTCCCACTGGAGCCATAACCCCACCTGGACCAGTAGGCACTCGACGATGGTCGTGGAACCTGTGAGCGTTCCAGCCGATCATAGGTCCACCTCCCATTACGAATGGTCCTGCTTGGTGGTGGTTGGGTGCCATAGCAAGGGGAGGTCGGGGTGACATGGTCATTCCTGATCCAAATGGTTCGCCTGCACCTCCGGATCCCATTCTACGATGAGGGCCCTGTGAGTACGGCGAGGATTGAGAAAGAGCAGGTGATCCACGACTATCAGCCCCGCCACCAGCCATAGAAGGACTTGTGGGAGGCAACATGATCCCCCCCATAACCGGTATTGGCATTCCCGGCGCGATCATAGGCGATTGAGCCAACTGCGACGACCGACCGTCCACACCAGCAGGACGAAAAGCGTACTGCGCAGAAGCAGGCGCTATCACAGGTCTCACCGGCGAAGCCATCCCCGCTTGCATATGCGGTGGAGGAGCAAAGCCAGGTACTACACCGGGATAGAAAAGCGCCTCGCCATTCCGCATCGATGCGGGCCCAAACGAAGGACTCTGTGGCGTAGATCCTTGCGAACCAGGCGAAGCAAATATAGCTCGACCAGGCATGGTAGGCGCGTACGGGTCAGGAGTGGTACGGTAAGATTCGTAGCCAGACATATCGATGGGTGCCATACCTGGAAGCATGTGTGTTACGCCGGGATATCCGTGTGTATATCCATCCGGGGATCGTGCGCCGCTGCCGGGAAGGTAGGGGGAGGGATGCATGAATGCTTCGCCGCCTGGACTGAAGGGAGGGGGTGGGAAGGAGGCGGTCGGACGATGCATGTGATGATGACCACCAACACCGATGAGGGGTGGTGGAGGCGACTGGAAGCCAACTGGGTATAAAGCAGCGCTGGAGTCGGTAGCAATGGTGAGTGTGGCCATACCATCGACAACAAGCTCTTCATCTTGGGATGCTGCAGCTTGGCCGGAGGGTAGTGGGTCGTGATGGATCTCATCGCTAAGCCTGCTCTTGCTGGCGAGGTGACTCGGGTCCAAGGTGGCCGAGCGTATTGGGGCACGTTTTGGTACGGGTGCAGCCGGCTTGGCAGGGCGATTTTTGGCGACGTGGGTTGGCGATGCATTTGCAGCGGTGCTATCGGCGGTGTCGTTCGACTCGAGTGCAGAGCAAGGCGAAGAAGAAGGGTTTGGAGCGGATGGTGGGTTTTTGAGAGCGACACGTTTGACTGCATTTGGACTGGAAGAAGCGGACTCGCTGATGAGATCAGTGGGAGGTGGTCTTGTTGTCAGATCGTTGGCCCAGGTCAATGAGCCAGGAGGTTGGATAGACCATGCAGAGCCATCTTGTGGAAGCAGAGGAGAAGGGGTAAAGACGGGAGCGTTGGCTGACACATCTTTGGCGTCGAGAGCAGTGGGACCGCGGCTAGGAGTGCTGACATTCGACGTGGAAGCAGTGGTGACGGCATCAGCGTCGAGTGTCGAAGGAGCACGGCCATTCCATACACTCGATGGACTGCCAGTGTTGGCGGACCAAGCGGACTGGTCCAGCTTTGACATCTTATAGAAGGGTGCTGCTATGGGACGAAGCTCCTTGTTGCCGTCGAAGCAGGTGCTGGCCGAAAAGAATGGACAGAGACGCGGCTGAGAAAGGGTGCGTAGTCGATGCTGCGTCTAGCAAATGGAGATAGCAACAGTTGTGGGTAGAGGAGTGAACGGAGAAGGATGCTGTGTGCAAGAAAGCGTGAGGAAATGGGCGAAAGCGTGTCTGGTTGGAATGATAGCAAGAGTTTTGGTCTATGTCGCCAGGGACGAAGGCATCTATCGAGAGCTTATCGACCAGGTCAGCGCTTGTGGTAGAGAGCGATGCTGCGAGGTGCAAGGGTAGAGGTCGATTGAAAGATGATTTATCAGACGATGGGAAGGCCGATGAGGGTCGGAAAGGGTGAGAATCGGCGATCGGGCAGCTGAACGTCGTTACGGTGTTGCGATTTGTTTGGCGGAAGAGGCGAGGATATATCTCTGAGGATTGAGAATGCAAAAGTGGTTGAAGAGGTTAATGCTGGTCAATCCGATAGCGATTCGATGTCAAATGCAATGCAATAGCGATGCTGTTCTTGGGAGCGGCTGATATGAACAAGAATGTGCCGAGGCTGTTTTCGCAGCAGGGTGCTGGCATCTGACAAGGGGGCCTAGTGTTACGATGTCGCTGGTGGAGAGGGACTAGGAGAACTTCTTGCTCGTGTGCTTGCAGCAACAGAAGCAACAAGGATGAAAGCAAGAGAGAGAGGGATGGTTTAGGCAAAGGCAAGAATGTCGACACAACCGACGATGGTTCCGAGCGGGACAAGATACCGAGGCTCAAGAGGAGCGCGGCCAGCCAAAATCAAACTGAGCATCCGTGGAGGAGATGGCAAAAAAAGGGTTGCCACTTGCGAGTGAAAGTTGCTGCGACTGCGCTCTGCTGTGCTGTGCTGTGCTGTGCTGTGCTGTGCTGTGCTGAAGATTACGATCCAGTGACGACGCTCAGAGATGACGCAAAGACGACGAGATCGGAGATCGGGGATAACCGATCCTGTTAAGGATCGGGTACAACAAAGTCCCGCTCGTTGTCAGGCTAGTTCATTAAGTAGGAGTACTCCCACCTTCGGGCTGTGCCGCTCACATGTATATATATCTCACAGAGAGCACTAGGCTCTCGCCATATTCCTTTAGTCAATTGAGTATATTTTGTTCTGTCTATAAACTAGCAGCGACATCGTACTTAGACTCTCCCCGATCACCAGTATCGGGACCGAAACGACTTAAGTTTCCAACATGCTGTGCTGTTCTGTTTCTGTGACCATCGGAGCACGGACGAGTTTTCTGACTCAAGGAGATCCGAGTGGAAGGCTGGAAAGTATGTGAGTTCTAGTCCGATCTCACACTGTCGGATATGTATTCATGTCGGTTAACAGATAACGGACATAGTTTCCCCTATGCAGAACGCTGCAAGGCATATATATATATATATATATATACTAGTCATTATCTTGTACTTAGTTCTCACGTATCATCGCAATCGATACTTGTGATCAACGATATTCGACGCACGCTCTTCGACTATTTCGTCCAACTCTAGCTGGGACTGCCAGGCCTTGAGAACCGCAGCTCAGGCCCCTTGAACACGCTTCCCGCTGTCACACCGTCACACGCTCTCGTCAGTCATACTGGTCTCTTTTGTCAGCTGTTGATCACGACTCGCTCAGGAGGTATAAAGTGGAAGCGCGGATCCAAGCCCAAAGGACGCCAATGCTGCAGTATACGCTCACCATCATGAGCGGCAAGAACTCCATCCGAGATGATGATGCCGACTCTGTTGGTGAAGCGCTGCGCTTTTGCTCCTTCTCTACTGCTGCGTCTGTTTCTCTCGCTGCTGGCGTGGCAGGAATCGAGAGTAGATCCGCTGGCGTCACTGCTGTTTGAGGCGCATCAAACTCGGCGGTAGTGTCGGGAGCGATTGTCTCTTCAGCCGGCAGCGCATCCTCTTCCGTCGCTACATCGGTGATCGGCACCGCTCGGTCGTCTATGCTGCCGGCAACTGCTTCGATGATGGACGCTGTTGCTGGCTCTGCTATTGATGGTACATCAGCACTCTGCACCAGCGATGCAATATCAAGACCGTGTGTGATATTCGCAACCGCTCCGACGTCCGGCCCACTTCTTGAAGCAAAGACGAGCGGATGCACCACCGACACATACGCCTGCAACGCAACAAAGCCCCACAAATACACCGTCTCCAATCGATGCATTAAGATCCCCAGATTCGACTGCACCGGCCTAAACAGGCGCTTCTGCAGCGTTCCAAACACCAACAACGCCCAAACGATCGAGTATCCGATCTTTATCGGCCCCTCCTGTGGCGTAAAGAGCAAGGGGAACAACGACACAGTCCCCGCCGTGCTGAGCAGTACAAACGTTCGCAAGTGCCAATAGTCGTCCGCTGCCAAGAAAGTGTACGGAATCAGGGGCAGCATGATGGCCTTTTCGTGCACGTGCCAGCCGAACAGGAAGGATGCAAAGCCGCATAAGCTCACCGAGGCCAAGAAGGTTCGGTAGGTGGGCTTTTGCCATAGCTTGACCATATAAATTGACATCCATGTCAGTGTCAGAAGGAAGCACGTCCAGGGGCTGATATCGGGCAACACGCCGAATGAGATGTTTTCCACCAAGCCACGAGATGCCGATGCAAAGCCGGTGCTTGCCGATGCTTGGTATCGTGCCAGGAAGCTTGCCGGAAGTAACGCACGGATCGCAGGAATGCGGGGGAGAAGTTTGACGAGAAGGCGATCAGCAAAGGTCCACAGTGCCCACGCATTCGGTGCCCAGTAGGCGTGAATGAGACCACGGCTGAAGGGAAATAGTCGTGAGACCATCTGCGAAAGCACGCCGAATGGTCCTGCTTGGTGTCGCAACCCGTCGATCGCCAAAGGTGCGAGACTGAGCACAAACGGCATCAACGTCACCACGCCGACAGTGATGAGCCTTTCCACGCTACGTCCTAGATCGCCCGTTGTACTGCCGACGGGAAAGACGTAAGAGCGAAGAAGGAAGATGAAGAACGGCGGCGCTACATAGACGTAGATGTGCTTGAGGTTGAGCAACGAGCTGAACAAAAAAGCGCATAGCAAAGGTCGATCCTCCCGAGCAGCCCAGAGCGACCAGGCGAGTAGACCGAATAGGAAGCCATTGTACTGGAAGTGGATGTGATCGATGATAATCAGTCCTGGATGCATCAGCAGACTCGCTGCCAGCAGCTGTGACGTCGTCGCGCCGGTATTTGAAGCCTCTTGCGCATAGCCGATCTTGATCGCTCGCTGCGATCCGAGTCTGGAATGTGCAAGTAGCGCCGCTGCCAGTACAAGCTCTGTCACAACCACCGTTGCTCGCATGTACGCCTTGCACGACCATGCCGCGTATTCGAGCCCTTGGTGCAAACTTGCAATCAGTGGGTCGACAAGGGGCGCGGGTAGCGCTAGGATGTATGAGAAGTATGCAAAGAAAGGTGGGTAGTCGAGTGTCCAATGCGAAGTGGCTTCAAAATACCAGTCACGGATTGAAAGGGTATGGGTGATAGCAAGCCAGTTGCGGTGCACCTCAAAGTCGGTCGAGTGGTAAGTAGGCCAAAGTAGCAACTTGACAGCTGTACTCAGAGTCAAGAGCTCCCATTCGAGCCGTAGTAGGCCGAGAGTCGTGCTGGAGGATGCATCCTTCTCGCCGTGACTATCGCCAAACTTGCTGTCGAGCGGTCCCTTGATGCCGTTGCGGCCCGAACCGGCTTGTATTGGTCGGGTTCCTTGATTCGCTGCCACGCTTGGCGAGCGATGCATCCGCGCCGTCGCACTCATTGAAGCCCTACTACCTGTGTTATGGGGTCGTGCTTGGTGTGGTGAGTGAGCGTTGAAAAGAAAGAGAGCGTTGAGAAGAAAGAGAGCGTTGGAAACGACTAGAACACGAACAAAGTCGCGTGTCTGTGCGCAGGGTAAAACTCATTCCTCGACTGCGCAAAGCTCCACTTTTTCTGCGCCGTCTTCTAGCAACTTGGCTTTCAACGTTCACGTCACTGCCATCATCACCTCCAGCCTCGTATCCTGGAGAGCTTCGACAAGCTATAAGAGGCTCGCTTGTCCTCAATCTCTCTCCAGCACTCTCATCCGCAAGTCCATCAAGTCTAGGCCGTCTGCCCATCAAAATGACAACCGCAAGCACCACCTACTCCTCCTCCTCCTCCTCTTCGGCCCCAACCACCCCCCGCTTCGACTTCTACCAAACAGACACAGCCGTCACCCTCTCTATCTTCATCAAATCCGCTTCCACCGAAACCGTCTCGGTTTCGATCAATCATCAATCCCTCTTGGTCCGCGCAACATGCTCGACCAACGGCTCGGAATACATGCTCACCATCGACCCTCTCTTTTCCCCTGTCGACCCATCTTACTCCTCCTATAAAGTGTTATCTACGAAGATCGAAGTTGTTCTGCACAAAGTTCAACCAGGCGTTCGATGGGTTGAGCTTCAAGGAGGGGCGCGTAAGGATGTTGTGAGTTGCGCTATCACTCCTGCTTGTGCCGCGAGTCAAGCTGCGGAAGCGAACAGGACGGCTACTCCTAGGGCCAGGTCGAAGTGGGATAGCTTCGATCCAGATGCTGACGAGCCAGAGAATGCTTCGGGTGCAACAGGAGGGAGCGGAGGAGAAGGCGCGGATGAAGCAGACATCAACAAGTTCTTCCAAAAACTCTACGCAGATGCAGACCAAGACACAAAACGAGCCATGATGAAGAGTTACCAAGAAAGCGGTGGAACGACTTTGTCAACTGATTGGAGCAAAGTTGGGAAAAAACAGGTGCAAACTCAACCACCTGATGGAATGGAGGCCAAGAAATGGGAGCAGTAGTCTTTTGATCAATCTTGTATGTACCCTATCCTATCTCAACCCAATTCCGCATGTCACATCTAACACAAGCCTGTCTTGTTGGATTGAATCATGTTGAAATTGCTTTCTCCGCAAGACTACTGAGTAGCTGCAGCGCTAGGGTTCGGCTTGCTTGCACCATCACCCGCGCCACCACCCGCACCACGCTTGGCACCACCTCTTGCACGCGCATTGCCACCCCTCTGTTGCTGCTGCTGTTGTTGCTTAGATTGCAAATACTTAGTCCTCTTACTTTCCTGCAAGATGAATCCATCTTGATCCACTTTTGGCGCCTTAGGAGTTGGCGGTGCGGGCTGAACCTGCTTTGCTCCCTTGCCATCTGCGTTTCCGTTGGCTGCTTTACCACCACCACCACTCTTCCCTCCGCCGCTACCGGCTTGTTTCTTCTTTGGCTTTGGGGAAGCCAGCGTGCCCTCCGCACCTGCATTGCTTGCTGCAGGCTTGGTCGCAGGCTCCGTTTCAGTGGCGCTAGGAGTAGTGGAGATGGGCTCGAACACTGGTGCCTCACCCAGATCGTCATCGTCCTCTTCGGCCATTGCTGCCCAGTTCAGTTTGGGTTCTGCTGCTGCAGTCTTGACCTCGGTAGTGTTGATAGGTTCTTTGACGGCTGAAGCTGCACCACCATCCGATTTCTTGCCTGAATCACCCAAGATAACTCCTTTTCCGCCTTGTTCGCCTTTCTTAGAAGCGCTAGTGCCAGCGGGAGGTGCAGATTCAGGTTGCCCTCCTTCCGGCTCCAATTCGCTCTCTTGGATGAACGATACCGCATCACCACCAGGCGAACTCGAACTGTTGCCTCCACCTGCTACCTTAAAAAATGCGTCTTGCGGAGCACTCAACCCATCCCGCTCGGACTGCCGAGCAGGAGTGGGAGGAGCAGTTAGCTTCAAAACCATCTCCCTAACCGTTGCAAAACTTACCCCTTGCAACACCTCCTCATCACTCGCTTTCTCAATGTTATCCAGCACCTCCAACGCATCGCCTCCTCCACCTTGCAATGGTCCATTCGCCAAGGAATCAAACACCTTGCCCAACGCCGCGACCTCCTGCCCAGTACACATCTGCAATGCTGGCGGCATAGCTTTCGGTGCAAAGCTTACCATCTCTCCTCCTCCTCCTCCTCCTCCCTTTCCTCCCTGCTGCGGGAAGAACAAGTTGAAGAGATGCAAAAATTGCAACAGCAAAACCAATTTTCGCTTCTGTTCTGCACCCTGCTTAGCGTGTACGCTGTCGGATTCAGCTTGCTGTACTTTGCTCAACAAACTATTCAATTCATCGATAGCCACCGTGGTGGTTGCATTCTTGCTTTTGCTCGAAAGTTGAGCTATACGATCACAGATCACTTTTTGAGCTGGAGTAGAAGCGGGGGCAGTGTTGGATGAAGGTGTGGTGATAGCATCGACGGCAGCGATTGCGGCCTGAGTTTCGGCCTGTTCAGCAAGATCGGAAGGAGTAACTTTGAGAGCGTTTGCTACTTGAGTTGGTGCAGTTGGGGCTTGGCAGATGAGGGCTGCTGATGTGGCATCTGGGACTTGCACGGCGTTGGGTGGAGTGTTGGTGGAAGGAGTGTCTTTGGTGGTAGCCTTGCCTTTCTTAGCGGATTTGGAGGGGGCGGGCGGAGGAGCTCCAGGAATGGTTCGGCGAGGCGTTGGCTTGTCCGACGCTCCAGAGCCGGGGATGGTACGGTTTGTCATTGCGGCAAGTTCAGAGCAAGAGAAAGCTTTTGGCCAAAGATACGAAAACTACTTGGAGAGCGTGAGGAATGTTCCGAGAAAAAGAAAAAAAAAGAAAAGTGTGTGGAGCTAAAGTGTGAGAGCCTTCCTGATGTGATCCAAGTCGAAGTGAGCGTGTATGCGCCGCAGATGTAAGTGAGAGTCGTCACCGAAGTAGCGTTGCGATCCTACGGCGACAAGAAAAAAGAAAAAAGAAAAAGAAAAAAGAAAAAGAAAAAAGGAGGTGTGCTTGCGAAAGTCAAAATGAAAGGTGATGTGGAAGAAAGCAACAAAGCAGTGAGAGTGGGTGTTGGTGGTGATGGTGGTGGTGATGGTGGTGGTGATGGTGGTGGTGATGGTGGTGGTGATGGTGGTGGTGATGGTGGTGGTGATGAGACAAACGACACCCAAGAGAGTGGAGAATTGGCGCGCACCGACCACGCAATTCCACCGTCTGTCTGATTTGCTGCTGCTGATTTGCCGCTGCTGATTTGCCGCTGCTAATTCGCGCCGCAAAATTCGGCCTCGCTGGCTTCAGAGGCGAGTCCGTTCTTGTCGGGCCTCGCTTTTGGTTTTGGAGTTGGCGAGACAAGCAAGAGCGGCGATCAAAGACAAAGAGTGCGAGCAGAGAAAGGAGGGCGACGGCGTTTGGCGAGAGGAATGGATTTTGCAAAGGGTAAAAAAGGGACAAATTTGCTATTAAAAAAAGGGACAAATTTGCTGCTCTCTTTTTTTCTGCTTGCTGGCACCAACCACGGTAAAAATGAGCAGCAAACTGCGCTCTAGAGTCTCTTTCCTCGACACCACCATCAGCAACTGTGTCGTCGCTGTCGATTGCATCTACGGTCAACATCACCATTCGGACGCTCGTTTGGATCCCACACAAATCACTTGACGCACCGCACGCACATCTTCTCTTTCTTTTATCCGCTCATCGCGGCTTTGTCTCGCTCGATCCGTTTGCACAACCTCTCACGCTCCGCCACCTCGATCTTTGGCCCCTCCGCTAGGCTGTTCAGTTGACACGCTTCATCTGCCTGTTCGCCAAACCTCCCCTACCGTCGCCCCTCTGCCGTCCACTCCACCGTCTTGCCATCACACGAATCGTTGGACTGTCACCCTCGCACGATACACGCTCACTATCAGTTTTGACACATCCCTCCCAAGTTGCACATAGACCATCTGCGGTGCTCCACCTACCTCTCCTTCTAATCTCCACTTCGGCAACGCCACGGACAGTGTAATCAACCTACCTCTCCTTCTAATCGCCATTTCGGCAACACCACGGATAGTGTAATCAACCATGGCTTCCAACATGCTGCGCGGCTTGTGGCCCTCTGGCCCTTCAGACCAGGTAGGTTGCCTTCTTTTTCCCTGTTCAAAGCACGGATCGGCTGCTGAGGACGAGAACAGCCGACCATCAATGTGCGCGTTGGCTTGCAGGGCGTTGATTCTGGACACGCTCCCAGCAATCTTGTTCTGGCCCAGCAAAGCAAATCTCATTCCATTCTTCTCCCAGCAGTGGTTGCAGCAACACCAACTCACCGCCGCTTCCACCTCTTTCCCCTCTTTCCCCTCTTTCCCCTCTTTCCCCTCTTTCCCCTCCTTCATCTCATTGCTTACAGACCACCCCGAAAGCATCCAGCTCTCACTCGAATTCCGCCGCTGAACGTAATCCCTTTGACAACATGCAGCCTCCTGCTATGACTAAGCAATCCTCTCGCTCTTCGCTCAATGCCTCTCTTGTCGGCACCCATCTTCCCGGTGATCAAACTCCAGGTATGAGAACACCTGGCAGCGTCATGCCGCATTCTGCCATCCCTACCACTTCCATCTCCCTTGGTGATCCAGATTTCACCATCAAGCTGCCTCCACCAAAGCCCAAGAACGATGCATCTGGAGCTGTTCCAGCTGAATTGAACAACAACTCGGCAGCTACCACTCCTATGACTGATGCAACATCCGCATCCACAGCCTCCGCCGCTTCCACTTCCAACAACAACCATGCCGCTTCTGCCAACGCCGCCGCCACCACCAACTCCACCAACTCCACCAACTCCACCACCACCGCCAACAACAACAACAACAACAACAACAACAACAATGCCAGCTCGGGTAGCAGCACCAGCAAGACCCGCAACACCAACGCACCGCGTGGTCATCTTACCATCAAAATCGTGTCCGGTCGCAACCTCGCCGTCTCCAGCCCTGCAGCTCGACCCTACGCCGTCGTCCAGTTCGACAAGAACGAGTTCATCGGTCGTGAACCGATCGACGAGTTTGGTCAAGAAGCCAAAGGAGTAGCCCAACCCCGCTCCGAAGCAGGTGAAGCAGGTCGTTCTCGAGCTAAAACCGTCACCCCTGCAGACGCTCTCTCCCAAACAGGTGCAAATCACAATCCGGTTTGGAAACACCAAGTGACTTTTGACGTTACACAGGATTCCCAGCCGATCTACATCAGCGTTTACGACAGGCACTCGGAAGATGAAGGCTTCTTGGGTACGCGAGAGATCAAGCCTCGTCTAGTGCACAAGATGATGAGCGACCAGTGGTATCCGCTTTCGTCACGCGATCATGAGGAAGCAATGCAGAACCATAGAGGCGAGATTAGGGTTCAGATTACGTATGAGAAGATGCCTCAAAAGAAGTTGACTCTGCATGATTTTGAGTATTTAAAACTCATCGGAAGAGGCACTTTCGGAAGGGTGTTTCAGGTGCGAAAGAAGGATACCAAACGTATCTACGCTATGAAGGTTCTCTCTAAGAGGGAGATCGCACTGAAGAAGGAAGTGACGCATACGATGGGAGAGAGGAAGATTTTGGAAAAGTCGTTGGATTGTCCATTTTTGGTGGGCTTGAAGTTTTCCTTCCAGAGTGCAACCGAGTTGTATTTCGTAACGGATTACAAGTCTGGTGGAGAGCTCTTTTGGCATTTGCAACGAGAAGGCAGGTTTACCGAGGAAAGAGCAAGGTTTTATATCGCAGAGTTAGTCCTGGCCCTCGAGCATTTGCACAAGTACGACATCGTCTATCGTGATCTTAAGCCGGAAAACATCCTGCTAGATGCTACTGGCCATGTGGCACTCTGCGATTTTGGTCTTTCCAAACCAGACCTCGGCGCAGGTCAGCTGACCAACACGTTCTGCGGTACAACCGAGTACCTAGCCCCCGAAGTACTTTTGGATGAATCCGGATATTCGAAATTGGTCGATTTCTGGTCCTTGGGGGTTTTGTTGTTTGAAATGTGTTGTGGATGGTCGCCCTTCTACGCCGAAGATACTCAGCAGATGTACAGGAACATCTGTTTTGGTAAGATCAAGTTCCCGAGGGGTGCGATTGGCGATGATGGTAAGCAATTCGTTAAAGGTCTTCTCAACCGCAATCCCCGCCACCGATTGGGCGCCCAGAGAGATGCGCAGGATCTGAAAGAGCATCCCTTCTTCAACGATATCGATTTCGACGCACTCGCCAAGAAACAGCTCACTCCTCCATTCATGCCATTGGTGGAGAGCGATGAGAGCGTAGCCAATTTCGATCCCGAGTTTACCGAGACCGATCTCAAGGACGTAGCGGTGATCCCTGGTTTCGAGGGCTCCAGTACGGATGCAGCGGAAGCGTTGAACAATGGCGATATTTTGGCTGAGAAAGAAAACGGTGGTGTCAAGATCAGCAAGCAACGAGGTGGGGAGGAGGAGGAGTTGAGTAAGAGTGTCCAGGATAAATTTAGAGGTTTCTCCTACAGTGGTACCTATGAAGGCAGTGCCGCGGGTAGTTTTGGAGGTAGGAGAGGTAGTGGTGGGTTTGGGTTGGCAGGCGCTAGTTTAGGCATGAGTAGGATGAGCGTCGATGACGAGGCTGCCTGGAAGGATGATGGTGACGAGCCCATGTGTGGGCGTTGAGCCGAGGGACGATGGACAATTGCGATGCAAACAACAAGACGATCATGATATACAACTAGTAGTGCCCAATACATACACGGCAAGTTTTCGGCTCCGTTCTCCTTTCCCGAGCAATGCAATTTCTACCAGGACATCGCTTCTCCCTTTCTCTGTGTGCGCCATTCCAGTCCAGTACGGTTCGGACAGCAAAGGCAAAACAGGCAACAACTGAAACCGAGCGATAAATCGCGCTAGAAAGAGCATCTCGCATTCCCACAGCAAGATGATAAGATCGGCTACGCTTCCTCCAACCACGCCCCGAAAGCATGCTTTCTTCTGCTCTCCTGCGCCTTGGCCTCATTTTGCTCGGCATCACTCGCCTCGTCGTCGGCGGCGCCGTCATTGCGGCTCTTCTTAAAGCTCGGCGTAGCGTCGGCGAGCCAGGCATCGATGCTTCTTTGTGCGAAATACCTGGCTTTCATCATCTTTACGCACGCCTCGGCCTGCTGTTCGGTTTGGAATCTGACCGTCATGATCCCTGCGGGTTCTTTGTCCCACAGTACGACGTTGGTCACTCCGCCGATCTTCGCGGTGCACTCGTCGCGCACGTCTTCTTTCAGGTCAAGGAGGAGCGTCGGGTCCGAATCGAGCTCGTGCAGTGTGAACATTTTGGTCAAGACTACTGTTCGGCCTTTCGCTGCCCGGGTGGAAGGCGAGGTGGTCGCAAGGGGAACAGAGGAGCGCGAGAGTGGATCGTCGTCTCTCCAATCTGAAAGTTTATTTTCCAGTTTAGCTACTCTCTTGGCGATGTTTTTACGTTCTTGATCAGTTAGGTTTCTACGTTGGCGTGTTGTAGACGGCCCTTCATCTTTTCCATTTGTGCTTTCTTCCTGCTTTTCAGCGGTGGCGCTTGATGTTGTGTTGTTGGAGGTGGCGGGGAACTGAGCACGTTGAACCCTCATAACCGGCCCTCCTCCCGCGTTGTTGCTCCCACCAATTGCACCCCTCAGACTCGTCTCATCCAACATCCTAATCGCCAACTCCACACTTTCCGCTTTAAAATAAACCACCAGTGCTTCTCCCCTAAACACCCCCGTTCTTTCATCGTAATACATCTTCACCCTCGGCTTCCCCTCATCATCCTCCAACAAAACGCCATACCGCGAAAACACCCGTGCGATCTCCTCCTGTGTTGCATCCAGAGGTAGACCCGTGATGTAGAGTGATGTTATCGGCTTTGGTTTTTTACTCGGTGGTAGCCTCTCTGCTGGGGTAGAAGTGGGGTTGGAGGGGGAGGGAGGACGTTTCTTGCTTCTGCGAAGGACCGCTTGAGAAGGTTGGCATTCGTCTACCCCGGCGATCGAGTATGCAGCCTGTTGGGTTGAGAGAAGGTCTTCGTCGAGGACCTTGACCCAATGCCCTACGGGTTGTGTTGATGATGAAGAAGAGGGGTTGGAAGAGGAGGAGGAGGGGGGGTCGTCTTCGCTTTCGCCGAGGTCGACGGTGGGGCGAGAAAGATGTAGGAAAGCTTGCCATTCCCATTCTTGTCCGGATTCGTCTTCGTAGCGCCAGTTGCCAGAGACGCGGTCGAGGTAGACGCGCGGATCTTCGGAGCCGCCTGTGGCTGGCGGTGCTGGATGCATTGTGGTCATTCGTTAGGAGCGGATGAATGGGCAGAGACGAAAGAGCGAAGTTTGCAAAGCCAAAATAACACACACACACGCTCTCGTAAATTCGGAACTCGGCTATCGTTGACGTGCGGCGGGGCGGCAACAGCAGCACACTCACACTTGCATTCACACTTTCTACAACGTGTCATCATCATCAACAGCTTCACCCTTTCCACCACCTCCATCACTCGCATCCAGAGCGAACCGACCGACTCACCATATCTTCAGCGCTTCATCAGGTCGGATCCCGACTCGTGAGGGGACAAGGCAGCAACAATGTCCTACACACCAACTACATCCTACTACGGCCAATCGGTCAAAGATCGAACCACCGAATTCCACTCCCTCGTCGACTCCATCTCTTCTCGCTCCACCCAACCCACTTGCTCGAAACAGAAACTCTTACCCAACTCCAACCCAAAAGGAGAATTCGCGCGAAGAGCCCAAGCTATCGGGAAAGATATCGCTTCAACAACTGCCAAGTTGCAACGTCTTGCACAGCGTAAGACTCCCTACTCCTCCACCCCTTTTCTTCTCCTCGTCCCACTGACTCTCGTTCTTTTTTTGCGTTTACAGTGGCTCGTCGAAAAACCCTATTTGACGATCGGCCGGTCGAAATCTCAGAACTGACTTACATCATCAAGCACGACATCGCTGCAATCAACAAACAGCTTGCAGACTTGCAGGCGTTCAACAAAGCGAACCAATCCGGGAAAAGTGCGGATAGAGCGGAAGAGCACAGGGGCAATGTGGTTACACTCTTGCAGAGTAAACTGGCGGGTGCAACGACGAGTTTTCAAGATATACTGGAGGTTCGAACTCGAAATATAAAAGCGAGTAAGGATCGGAGCGAACAATTTATGTTCGGTAATACCGCAGCTGGTGTTGGTGCGATGGGAGAGAATTCAGGTAAGTTTCAATACCACCGTAGTAGTGTTAGGCATTTGCGGGATTGAAAGCTGATGAAAAAAAAAAGAGGAATTGGGGCTGATGCAGTTCTTCGTTCTCGATCTAAACCTTCTGGTGTTGGTGGAGCAGATTCTCCGCTATACCATCCACAACGAACAGGTTCGGCAATGGCGCATCGATCTTCCCCGCTCAACCCAGGTGCAGCAGCGGGTGATGGGTATGATCCAAAAGCAAAACCTCTACCCACAGCCGCGGGCGATGGCGACTTTTTAGCGCTTGATATGCGCCCCCCATCAACTGCACCCGGCGGTCAATCCGGAGATCAATACCTCCAGATGCAACTAATGGAAAACAACGAGAACAACTACATGCAGCAACGATCCACGGCAATCGAATCGATCGAATCCACCATCTCGGAACTCGGACAGATCTTTTCCCAGCTTGCACACATGGTTGCAGAACAGAGAGAAACCGTGCAGAGGATCGACGATAATGTGATGGAAGTGGTGGATAATGTAGGTGGCGCTCAGAGGGAATTGTTGAAGTACTATGCAAGTGTCAGCAGTAATAGGTGGTTGATGTTGAAGATTTTCGGTGTGCTGATTGTGTTTTTCTTGCGTAAGTTGCCGATCGGCCCCCCTTTACGCTTTGAAGAGGTGAGGGGAGAGCTGACACTTTTTCATCTTGTTTGCCGTGTGGTTCGGGATAGTGTTCATTTTGGTCTCTTAGAAGCATCCGTTTTGTTGCAATCGCAAACTTTCGCCGATCATCTCGCATATGCAACGATTGATTTGCGTATACAAGAAGGGCGAGGAAAAGAGGCATTAAGCATCGCAATTCCTCCACTCCGGCGGCATCCATTGTAAGCCTAGCGCATCAAACACCTCGCTTTCATCTTGCGTCTCCACCAACCCCGCCTCTTCGGCGACACCCAGATGGGTCAAGCCATCGAAGTTAAAACTATACCCTTTTTGTTTGGCCCACAGCCTGAGATCCCTTTCAAAAGTCACACTGCCCGTCCAACCCAGTATGGTTGCGCCATAGACTTTCAATGGGCAGAACACCAGATCTACCCTCCTGTGTACCGGGTTAGGGTTGGTCCCGGAGAGAGGCGGAAGAACGACTATGTTGGCAATGTCGATATGAACTGCTTCTTTTGCACCAGCGGGGTGCAGGTCCGAGTCTAGGGTGGCAGCCGGGGTTGAGATGTTTACCATGTGTGTCAGTAGGCCTTTTCCTTTCATTTCATTCAGTAGGCGCAGGTGGAGAGCGCGCGAGCGAGGTTGTGCGTGGCCGATGATGATGTCGAGGTCGTAGGTTTGCGTTTTACCTCGACGGTATCCTCCGCAGATTTCGTGTTTGACTTGTACACCATCGCCCAGTACGCTCCGGACCAGGTCCATGATGTGTGCGGTGATCGATCGACATTCTTCCCGACCGATGGGTTTGCGAAGATCCGAAAGAATACGTACACTCTCTCGTGCCGACAGATGGGTAGCCAGAGACTTGCCTCTATCAAGCACATCCGCAAACGATCTCGCCCCGGAATTATACGCTTCTCTAGCACCGATCGGTCCGATACCGTAGAGTTCGGTGAAGCTATTCATCACATACACCGCCCTGTCTCTTTTGATCACTTTCGCTTCTATTATCCTACCCTCCTCAACCCTGTTTCTCTTCTCTTCTTCCCCTAACCCGGCAGGTAAAGAATAAAACTGTTTGATAAGACTAAAAACCTTCTTCCCCACCCCCTTAAGCTTTTCTACCTCACCCAATCGCATCTCCAACAGCTGCCGGTCATAGATACCAGCCGGATCAAGTAAAGGATCTGGTATGCGGAACGGGTAGGCTTTGAGTGCGGATATGGCTCGCATATAGGCCATTTCGCTATATGTATCGCCCGTTAGACGTCGTTCCGTACGAATCTGCTCGAGTTCGGCAATAAGCGGCTGGTTCGGGGAGAAGAGCGGGGATGGCCGTCGACATGCGAATCGCGTGTTTTGCCATGGTGGGCAGGGGAAAGCGGGTAGGATCGGGTCGTAGTATCCTGCTGGAATCTCTTCCTTCGTAGGGGTTGGGAAGGGAGAGCCGGAGGAGGAGGAGGAGGAGGAGGAGGAGGAGGAGGAGGAGGAAGGGTGGCTTAGCGAGGGTCGAGGTTGTTTTGTGCCATGTGAGGTTGGGAGGAGAGGCGAGTCAGAGGGGCTACGTTTGCGTTTTCCGCCCACTAGATTGGTGTCGTTGCGGGTTGTGCTGTCGCCGACATTGCTAGTGGTGCAGCTTGTCTGCGGTCTGAGGATGACAGCATGAAACAGATCAGGATCGACCAAACCACCCTCTCTCTCCACTTGCTCTAACCAATCTGGAGTAACGACAAATCGTCTCCAATCTCTGCCCACACCGTCACCCAACTTCCTCTCTAACTGGCCCCCTTCCCCCTCCTCCGCAACCCGCTCTCTTTTCGCTGGAAACACGTTCAAATCTGCATCACGGAAATGCTTAGCAACCCTCTTCGGCGCCTTCAGCACAGTAATCACAACATTTGCTGCATCGGGAGAACTCGTCACTTGCGCCCCCAACTTTTGTGCTCGTAACTCTAATTCCTTTGCGAGCTGGCGATCGAGTTTGTCGTGCAGGATGTGGATGCGGGTCGATTGGGAGAGGATTCGTTGGATTGTCTTTTCCGAGCGGGAGGGCGAGCCTATGTGATCTTGGTATCGAACTACCTCGGATGCGGGAGGTTGAGGAGGGGCTAGGAAGCTGTGTTGGGGCATCTTTAGCGGAACGATTGCAGGGGTTTCGGCAAGGATGAGCTGCTGGGGCTATGTTCGTTCCCTTGCGTGTGGGCGAAGGATAGATGGAACGGTGAAGAGGCTAAGGGTTTTCTAAAGAAGAGTGCGGGTGGTTCGGAAGACTGGGCAGCAGCAAGTGGTTTGTAGCTGAGAAGAGTTGATCGATGGCGTAAGAAGGAGTAATTGTCCAAGACAGAGCAGCTGAAGGAGGTGTCCGGTGGGAAGAGCACCAATAAAAGTCAGCGAGGCGGAGGCTTGAAAGCCGAATTCCGTTGCAACTCGACGTGCTCTAAACCCACCTGTCATCTTGCTTGACTGCCGTCTTTGACCGCTCTCGAGAGGGCCGTGCTGCAGTTCAGAGGAAGATTGGGCCAGGGGAAAGTGATTGCTTTGCGAATGATGGGTATAGATACAGTGGAAGCCAATCAAGACGCTAGGATGCCAGTGTAGTATGCTAGGATAGACAGAAGGTGCAAGAGTCAAAGAGATCAAGATGCCGACGTAAAGCGCAAAGGGGTACCGTTGCGTAGCGGACCGGCGATCACAACGCAACCACCACCACCATCACCACAACCACAACCACAACTGCTGCTGCAATACCATTTTGAAGAATCAAAACTGCACCACTCCGCAACGCAACACCTTTAGAAGTCATCGAAGCGTTCTTCGCCTTGGCCCACTGTATCGCACTCAAATCGTCATCCCCTACCGCCGTTGGGCTCTCGGTTCCATTCAAATTGATATAAAACAATCTCTCCAGCCCCGCCTGACTCTGGAACATGCCCAAGCCATCATGGCTGACCCCTTCAATATAGTTGACCGAATGTGCTGTTGGAAAGCCACCTTGCATCTCTGTCAGATGCTTCACAAAATTCCTTCCTCGTCCCAGATGCGTCGTACCCTGTGCCAGAGCTTCACATCTTGTATCGCCTTTTCCGTGATCTTCTAGGCCAAATAGATAGGAGACGACACGGCGACGGTATCGTTGAACAACGCTTTCTACGTCGTTGGTTGAGTCGAGGGAGTCAGCGATAAAGTCGGAGAGGTAGGATTGCGAGTATGCGTTGAGACCGAACTTCCAATTGTTAAAGGTGGTGTTGCATTTCGAGTAGGATCGTGGACGCCAGTCTGTCAGGTATGCGTACGAGCCCGGGTTGGCTACGACAAAGTGCACAGGAACTGTGCCGGAGGGAACTGCGCCGATGAGTGCATAGCGTTGGACCATTTGCGCTCCTAGACTGTGGCCTGCAACGATGATCGTGTTGATGTTGGGAAACAGGCTCTTGTTCGAGAACCAAGCAACGGCAGCATCGAGCGCTTCGAATGAAGATACACCTGGTGGTTCAAAAGCTGTATTGTTTGAATCCATAATGGTAGCGGGATAGATCGAGTCTCCACCTTGTGCCCAGTTGCTTCCTCTCCAGACGAGAGTATTTGAGCTGGGCTGCTTGTTCTCGTCGACAGGATAACTTCCTGGATCTTGCTCGTTGAGGAAGATCGGAGCCATAACGACCACTTCATGCGACCGTAAACGGGCTTTGCGAGTAGCACGCTCTCTCCGTGAAGTGGCATTGAGAAGCGCTGTATGTGTTTGATCGAAGTAGGACCACGCATCACGACCTAAGCCATGAAGCATAATGACAGCTCGCTGCACCTTGGTGGCATTGTAGCCAGTGGTGATGTAGTTGTACAGGTAAAAATCGGTCGAGTTGAGACCTTGGAGTTGATCACTGGTGAGCTCGGAACCGGTGTAGGATGATGGTGGTGCAGCTTTGACGACAAAGTTGGTGTTCAGGGTGCGGTTTGCGTCTGTCGCTGGTAGCCAATCCCAAGCTTGTGCCACCGAGGAAAGACTGAATGCTGTGGTGAGCAAGAGCGGTATTGACGTTCTCAACCTCATCCTGATGGGTTGTGCGATTAGTGCTTTCCTTTTAGAGATGGAGCGTGCAGGGCGGATCGAGGAAGAGGTCTCTATATGTGCGCTGAGCGATCCTCTGGGAGCTGCTGGGAACCTGTGCGTGGGTAGATCAGCTTTCGATGAGACAGTGGATCAAAATGTGCGAATCTGGGGAACACTTTGCTGCTGTGCTGTGAAGGGGTGGATGCGTAGTCAAAAGTGCGCTTGGCGAGCAAGGGCGTTTGGACGGCAAGATGTCGAGAGGACGCTGCTATCCGAAGCGACACAGAGTGAGGATGGTGAAGGATTGTGGACGGAGCGGGAAAGGGACAATGCTGTAGGTGGTAGCGTACCAGGATTCAGGGAGAGCTGATCATGATGGAAGCACAACATGCAAGAAACAACTTTCGAAGAAGAAGCGTTTATCAACAACTTTTCCGCCCCGTTCATCCCGCTCGCTTCTCCGTCCGAAGCAGACTTGCATGATGGCCACCTGAGACTCTGTTGTCTCGACTTGCCAAGGGGAGGCAGCAACGGAAGAAGCGCTGTTTTGGGTATGCACCATGCCATGCGTCCCGGAGCTATACCACGCGCAGCCTGCATGACGATTTGCAACACACAAACCGCTCACTCTTCCCTCTTTCTCGTCCCCCCTCTGTGATTATGATCGCTGTCGCTGTATACGCTGCCAAGAGAAGGCCAAGTAAGTCAACTTGGACACAGGCACAAGTGGCCTCCTTCTTCCTTCTGTTCCTTGCCGTCGAGCATGTGAAGGAACAAAACACAATCCTTTGTGACCCGCCCCTTTACCACCCTGTCCGATAAGTGAACCAAACAAGATCCTCAGACAGGCTTGTACGTGCTCAATAGACCGAGCTCCAAGCCAGCACAACCCGGTGTTTAGGCTTGGGATGATCGCACGAACAAGCAGCTTATACAAACGCAGATCGCCTACATTTTCAACTTGTTGTCGCTGTCAAAAACGAGAACGCCGAGACCATCCATTGCCGAAGGAAACGATCCAATAGGATGATATATGCTGACATAAACGTAATCGAGGATCTGACGGAACCGATCTGTCCAGAGATCGGGTACAACACAGTCCCGCTCGAAGAAGGATACTTGGGGACTGTTACACCTCGCGTAGAAACAGAGTTGCGACTGGTTGGACTCCACATTTTTTTGTTGGCGTTAAGCTTAGCAGGCAAGCACAAATAGACTGACGAGATGCCTTGAAGTGCAGTCACGCAAACGAAACGCAAACGCACGGTCTTGTCAAACCATTCTTCCTTTCCTCTCCATTGCTCGCGATCAGCGCAAGGCACCGCACATCGACCGCAATCCTTCCTCCGCACGGAATCTCGCTATACGCAACAATGAGGGTCGTCGTAACGCGGCTCCCCTGGCAGTCGATCGAGGCGGGTCGTGCTGCTGCACTCGGATCTTCTAGCGTTGGCGCACGGACATCACTTCGAAGCTTCTCTGCGATCGCTTCCTCCTCCTCTTCGAGTAGTCAGAGATACGTTGCTGCTTCATCGTCAATACCCTTCCGTACTGCAAGCAGCTTCGAAGCAGCCGCAAGGCTACAATGTCGGCCAGGACTGCGATACTACCAACACATGGCCTCCAATCCAGACCCAACCGAACCGCCGAAACAATCCCTATCCAGCTCCACCACTACTCCACCCCAAAGCGCATCAGATAATATCGTCGCCGCTTCTACACCCTCCCCCTCAGCTTCTACCCCTTCCGCGCGAGCATCAACCCAACCCGCGGCAAAGAAACAACCAGATGGAGATGACCCACTTGGTCTCAACGCCCGTGAGAAAAGCCTCAAAGAACAACGTATGGTCGATTGGGCGATCATCCGCAAACTCGTTCAATACGTTTGGCCTAAGGGCGATTTCGGTACTAAACAACGAGTCGCGCTTGCGCTTGCCCTTCTCGTTGGCGGCAAATTGCTCAATGTACAAGTGCCGTTTTTCTTCAAAGCCATCGTCGATAGGCTCAACCAAGTAGTCAATGCGCCTTTGGACATGACCAATCCCAACACAGTCTGGGTCGTCGCAGGGAGTGCAATTTTGGGTTATGGACTTGCTAGAGTCGGTGCAGCTGCCTTTTCCGAACTGCGCAATGCTGTGTTTGCAAACGTTGCACAGCAGTCGATTCGGCGAGTTGCGAGATCCGTATTCACCCATTTGCTAGCGCTCGATTTGGGTTGGCATCTAACGAGGCAGACTGGTGGACTTACACGTGCGATCGATAGAGGCACCAAAGGTATCTCCTTCCTCTTGACCTCCATCGTCTTCCACATAGTACCGACGGCGTTGGAGATCTCAATGGTTTGCGGTATCTTATCGTACAAATGCGGGCCAAGTTTTGCAGCAGTAACAGCAGTAACGATGGCTGCTTATGCCTGGTTTACCATTCGCACCACTTCTTGGCGTACAAGATTCCGCAAAGAAGCAAACGCAGCGGATAACCGTGCTGCTACCACCTCAGTTGATTCCCTGCTCAATTATGAAGCGGTGAAATACTTTAACAACGAAAAGCACGAAATCGCAAAATACGATGCCGCATTGGCGGATTACGAAAAGAGTAGTATAAAGGTTGCCACCAGTTTAGCCGCGTTGAATTCGGGACAGAATGCAATCTTTTCAACCAGTTTGACGGTCATGATGTTGCTAGCCGCACAGGGAGTGACGAATGGCACTATGTCAGTGGGTGATCTGGTGATGGTGAATCAACTTGTTTTCCAACTTTCTTTGCCGTTGAACTTTTTGGGAACGGTGTATAGAGAGTTGAGGCAGAGTCTGGTGGATATGGAAACCATGTTCAATCTGGAAAACGTCAATGTTGCAGTTAAAGAGAACGCAGATGCACCACCCCTCAAGGTTACTGGTGGAGAGATTCGGTTCGAGAACGTTACCTTTGGCTACCATCCCGATCGACCGATTTTTAGCAACATCTCATTCGCCGTTCCTGCTGGATACAAAACCGCTTTTGTAGGCCCTTCCGGTTGTGGAAAATCCACCATCTTCCGCCTTTTGTTTAGGTTTTACGAACCTCAATCCGGAAAAATCTACATTGATGGACAAGACATAACCAAGGTCTCGCTCGAATCTCTTCGTCGTCATATCGGCGTTGTCCCACAGGACACTCCTCTGTTTAACGATGATATTCGACACAACATTCGTTATGGTCGTCTAGACGCTTCTGATGCAGATGTCGAAGCAGCAGCTCGCGCGGCCAAGGTGGATCAAATCGTTCAAAACCTCCCCCAAGGCTACAATACCAAAGTAGGCGAACGTGGACTTATGATCTCTGGAGGGGAGAAGCAAAGGTTGGCGGTGGCGAGGCTACTGTTGAAGAACCCGAGTATATTGTTCTTTGACGAAGCGACGAGCGCGTTAGATTCCTATACAGAGACAGAGCTCATGCGCAACATTAACGCCAACCTTCTGAGCGAGAAGAGGACCGCGATTTTTGTAGCTCATAGGCTGAGGACGATTAGCGATTCGGACTTGATTGTCGTGTTGCAGAGTGGACAAGTGGCGGAGAAGGGTACGCATGCAGAGTTGATGGATAGAAAAGGATTGTATTGGGATCTATGGCAGGCTCAGTCGACGTTGGGGGTGGGACATGGTGCGGGAGCGAATGAACATTTGCAAGATTTGGAGAGAGAACAGGGTCAAAGTCAGAAGACCGAGTCAAAGTGAGAGAGTCGCAATAGAGCAAGAAATGCATTGATTTGCAATGATCATGATTGTCTGGGTGTGCGTGTGGTGGTGCAATTGAGCGAGATGGCGCAAGAGACTCTAGCGAATGGAAATGTCATGTCTATCCACGATGGCCGAGAGGCGTTGCACTGCGTCTTTCCACGTTGGGATTGAGTGCCAGACGATGCGAAGGGATTCCGTGGTGGATTCGGTGATGAGGTCTTGTGAGATTTCGCGCACGAGTAGAGGTGAGCGAGTTGAGCAGAGGGCTTGCTGTGTCTGTGCGCTAGAAGCCGGTTCTGGCGAGCTCGACTCAGCAGCCGCTGTGACTTTAGCTGTGGTGATGGGTGCAGCTTCGGCTTCGACTTGGGATGTAGGCGTGGGCACAGCGTCCGAGGTGGCTTCAGCCACGGCGTCAGCTGCTGGTGTGACGGCGGAGTCGGCGCTAGACTCTGCTGGCACTGACCAAGACTCGGTTTCAGAGCGAGAGGCCGCCTCAGGAGTCGCGATTGGGGTCGTTGCCTGCGGAGCAGCTTCGGGCAGTGATGATCGCTGCTGATAGGTCTGCAACGTCATCCTTGTTGCGCTCTCGAGTGCCAAAACACCGCCTGACGGCAAGTTGAGCGTTGATGGAGGCAATGAGTTGGAACCTTTGGTCTGGTCAGCCGTTGAAGCAGTATCTTGATCCACAATCTCTATCCCTGAGCCAAGCAGGTCCTTCACCTCAGATTCACCTTCAGTTTCTTCGATCTCTGTTTCCGTTTCAGCTTCCCGCAACATTAAATACCTCTCAACCTTTTCCGTAGGTCGCGCATAAAGGAAAGAAGCGACACTTTCCTCCACTGCAGCGTGAGCATCCGCTTCCAGAGACACCAACGACTTTGCAGTGAGCCTGAAATCCGCTGACTTCTCTGGAATCATCACGTCGCTCTCGGCCTTCGAAACCCAACTGGCACGTTCGATGCTCCAACCACCTTGTGCGCCCTCTGCGGCATCAGCTTTGTTCTGTTGTCGTGCAAGCACGACTTCCAGCTTCCTTGCTGATGCCGAGTAACCCACATCGGCAGGATGATAAACCAGGACCATCTTTTCTGATGAGACCTCGGGTGTGCCTTTGCCGACAAGAGTATAGTTTTGCCCATCAAGCCAGATGTCCAGCGAAATGTTCTTTTGCGGTCGGAAGAGGGTTGCGGGAACAAAGCGAGAAGCTTCGCGGCCGAAGCGTGTGCGGAAGTTGCGAGACCAGTCGAGAGTTGGTTGGATCGGCCAGATGCCCGGACGTGGTGCTGCGAGTGGATCTTGCAAGCGGGACAGCGCCTCTTCTTCGCTTAAGCCCTCATCAACGAGAGTGAGTCCGCCACCGTTGAACAGTACGTAGCCGAGCTTTGCGCTGCATTCCACTTCCTCGGCTGTCTGAGCTTCAACAGTGCTGGTGTCACTGGTGTTATCGAGCAGAGCCTTGAACGGTTCCTCCAGTTGCATTTCACCCTGGTTACCCCATCCTTGCAACTTCATAGCCGAGAGCTGGGCCGTGAGAATCGAGAAGGAATTCAAGACCGGTACATGGGTGACACGGAAGGAAAGGTCAGATTGCGAGCCGTAAAGAAGGTCGTCTGCCTGCTTGATCCATGATGTCGGTTCGTTGTGTACGAATGGAAGCATTGCGTACTGCTTTGTTGTATCGAGGCCTTCGATGATGGCTGCTGCTCCAAGCCGTTGCATTGCGTCAGCATTCTCAGCATGGTACTGTCGAAGAAGAAGCACTGCCTTCTGAGCAGTCCGCTCGTCCAGATATGCTAGAGAAAGCTTGACCTTGCCGTCCTGAATGGGGCTCGCCTCAATGAAGCATCTGGAAAGCTGAGAGAGGAAGCGCACCAGCTCCTGCGGCAAAGCTTCACCTGAAGCAGCCTGAGCATCGCCAGACAGCAGGGTCACTTGCTCCTCCTTGGTCTTAATGGACTGCTTGAAGCTCTGCACCCAATTCTTCATGCGTTCTATGCCTTCCTCCTTGCCTCTGATCCAAAACCCGAGCTGTTCACTAGCATTGCCTGCTTGCTCAGCCTCTTTCTTCGGTGCTCGAGGAAGAATAGCTACTGGTGCTTTGCTCGCCTCTTGTCTCACCTTTGCAGATCCTCGTGCAAGTAGCAGGTAGAGCTCAGCAGGTCGAAAAGAGATGTGGACCGATTGCTTTTGCAGCTCCTCGCGCTTCTCTCGATCCGCCCGTTCTCGGGCATCCTCCATTCCAAAGCGGTGTATCATGATGCGTCGCACGAGATCATCTTTGCGCACTTTGGTGCTGTAGCTGCCTGGAAGCTTGGCTGCCCTTGCTAAAGATAGAAGTTGGTCTCGTGTGAACGAGGCGTTGATGCGTGCTTTCATTTTCTCCCACCGCTTATCCTCGGGATTGCTTTTGGAGGCTTTGGAGAAAGGGTTGCTGTTGTCTCTTCTCGAATGTTGTGGCTCCATCTGATATCGAATTGCTCTGGGTTTGAGCGAGTCGAGATACTCGAGCGTTGGTTCTGCGTCAATTACTTCCTCGAGCAGGACGCTTTTCTCGGCCGCTTTCGAAGAATTCGAGTTGCTGTTTTGTGGTTGTTGGTCTCCCTTGCCGAGCCTCAATGCCTCCTGCTCGCGTACTGTCCTTGCCACGCTGAAGTGCCGCGTTGGAGAAGCGACGTTTGAAAGGGTCGGATGCGAATGGCATCGGCAGGTCAAGGATGCCGGTAAGCGTGATGGACCGACGCCATTGCTGAGGATAGACGCTGCCAGCTGATGTGCGGGCCTGGCACAGGATCGTACCGCCATCGTCACAACAGGGTCAGAAGTAGCTCTCTTGCTGCTGCTGCTGTCCAGCCAGTTCCTTGTTGGAGCAAGCTAGAGCCAAGTAAGGTGAAGAGGTAGTGTGGGTGAAGGGATGTGGAAAAAGCCAAGGACGAGGCGACAGTTTTTGTCAGCTCGCCGAGAAGCAAGAGCAGAAATTCCACTTTTTTGGAAGAATTCTTCTTCCTGTCCAAAGGCTTTCTTGAAAGCTGCCAATTTCCGAACGAGACAACAGACGCTCTTTTTTTGTTTTTTTTTTTTGTTTTTTTGTTTTTTGTTTTTTTGTTTTTTGTTTTTTTTGTTTTTAGCCGAGCCAAACAATGTTAGGTCCTGCTATTCAGTCCGGAACCGCGAAAATCGCGAAAATCTCCACATTTTCGTTGCTCACGAGATCGGATCGGGAGATGTGGAAGGAGGGGAGGCAAGAATCTCGAGTTTTCACGAGTTGGTTGAGTCAGAAAGAGAGGCAAAGCAGCGGTCCGAGAGCCTTGAAGCGTCACGGCGTGTTGCTGTTCGTTGTGCTCATCCCCGCGCAAAGGCCAGCTTCCATTCACACTCTGTGTGGGAGAAAGAGAGAGCTGGTGACCCCTGTGAGTGCGCCCGCTGTTCTTCTCGGCGATCTGCTGGGTCAAATTCAGGCTTGTTGTCGTGCTTGTGCTTGGTGAATGCTTTCATGAGAAGTTAGCATACGTTTCAATCTTCTTCGAGGCTCCAACATCCCCACCATCAAGACCACCACCCACCTCGCCTCACCTCACAACCTCGCTTCTTTACCGCAAAGATGCTTGCTCCCGCTACCATCCGAACGGCCGTCCGAGCTTCGCAAGCTTCGCAGGCTTCGCGTGTCGGCTCTGTCTCGCTCCCCGCTGTGCGACAGTTCAAGAGCACATGGGCTCACGTCAAGGCCGGTCCGCCTGACCCGATTCTCGGTGTCACTGAGGCCTTCAAGCGAGACCAGGACCCTCGAAAGATCAACCTCGGTGTCGGCGCTTACCGTGACGAGAACGGCAAGCCTTACGTGCTCCCCTCGGTGCGACAGGCCGAAGAGCTCGTCATCACCTCCAAGGGTGACAAGGAGTACCTCCCTATCACTGGTCTCGCCGACTTTACCAAGAACGCTGCTATCCTCGCTTACGGCAAGGACAGCGCTCCCGTGAAGGAGAATCGGATCGCCATCACTCAGTCCATCTCAGGTACCGGTGCTTTGCGCATCGGTGGTGCTTTCCTCCAGCGCCACTACCCTGAAGCCAAGACCATCTACCTTCCTACACCTTCGTGGGGTAACCACACTCCCATCTTCCGTGACAGCGGACTGGAGGTGAAGCAGTACCGATACTACGACAAGAACACGGTCGGTCTCGATTTGAAGGGCATGATCGAGGACATCAAGGCTGCACCTGCTGGCTCGATTGTTTTGCTCCACGCCTGTGCTCACAACCCTACCGGTGTTGACCCTACTCTCGAGCAGTGGAAGGAGATCAGCAAGGTTGTCAAGGAGAAAGGTCACTTGCCCTTCTTCGACATGGCCTACCAGGGCTTCGCTAGTGGTGACACCGACAAGGACGCTTTCGCCGTTCGACACTTTGTTAAGGAGGGCCACCAGATCGCTCTCTCGCAGTCTTTCGCCAAGAACATGGGTCTCTACGGTGAACGTGTCGGCGCTTTCTCGATCGTCTGCGCTGACGCTGACGAGCGTGCCCGCGTCGAGAGTCAGATCAAGATCATTGTTCGACCTCTTTACTCGAACCCTCCCATGCATGGTGCCAAGATCGCTGGTACCATTCTTGCTGACCAGCAGCTGTACCAGCAGTGGCTCGATGAGGTCAAGGGTATGGCTGACCGCATCAACGGCATGCGATCGACACTCAAGAACTTGCTCGTTCAGGACCTGAACTCAAAGCTCAACTGGGACCACATCACCAACCAGATCGGCATGTTTGCTTTCCTCGGTATCTCGCCAGAGCAGGTTGCTAAGCTGGTCAACGAGCACCACGTCTACTTGACCAGAGACGGCCGTATCTCGGTGGCCGGCATCACCAACCAGAACGTCAAGCACCTTGCTGAGTCGCTGCACAAGGTTAGCGAATAAAAGAAAATGGCGCTGAGCCTTGATCAACGAAAAACAACCCCTTCAAGCAATCTAGAACTGCATTTGTGCTTGTCAAGTCAGTCATTTGAAACTCCTATGCGGTAGCGGCGAGGCCTGTGTCGCAGAATGATACTGCCAGCATCGGGCCTCCCTACAGCGCCTTGAAAATGTCACTATGCTTCCATGAGTGCGGGATGGTGAGCTGAGCAACATTACAGTGTGTCGGTATGCCCTGGTATGAGCTATAGGTGTAAAGATGGAAGTCGAGTGCCAAAAGGAGACGTATGACAGAGGCAAGGTGCGGAGACTTGCGGAGGGGTTCGGGATCAAGAACGACTTGCTCATTACTCGAGTTCTAAGGTTGCTAGGCTGGCTCTATTGAATGTAAACTACACAAGCATCAGTCTGATACAGTAGGCAGGAGGAGCTTTCAGGTCTCTGCAGTGTAAGTTATGTGGAGAGCAGCGAGGCTGAATATGCTGAACCTAACATGGAACGGAAAGGATCTTGATGCAGGTCAAGTTGGCCGGAAATGTTGGCAAGTGGCCGTAAGGGAGCAGCAGAGGCGGAAGAGAGTGAGACCGCGAATTTGACCGACGGTGAGAAGCAAGGCGAATGGAAGCAACCTCGAACAGTGCAGTGCCCCAGCCTTCTTGTCTTTCTGGCTCTTATCGATAGGAGGACCCTTCTTTCCCATCGGGCGGTCCGCGGTGAAATTCAATTTTCTTTCGCGATCCCTTCCGATGATGGGCTTTCGCTTCCAGATCTATGTTCCCTTTCTCTGCCCTGCCAAAAGTAGTGACCGACCAAAAAAAAATCAATCAATCCAAGAAAATAGTTGAGAATTTTTGGTGCTAAGTTACTGATGAGTCATTTTTGAGTGCTATTTATATAAGCATATATATATGTGCATGCTTGGCAGTCACCTTCAGCCTGTGCCCATCTATGACTAGTTCACCCCTCACATTGCTCCTAAGTTGTCATGGTAATGCCTTTGCATCCCACATGCATAGCCACTGACATGTGGTTTTGTATTGTCAGTGGTCACTTGCCCTCCACGGACCCCATAGGCTATGTTTGGTTCCAACATGTCTCCAACCATTGTTACATTTCCCTCAACTGTCTCCCTCAGCAGGGAAGTGGGGAACTGCTGAGCTGCTGTACCTTGCTGTGGTGTCAGTCCCAACCCCTGCCATGCATGTCGTAATACTTCCTTGCCTACTGGTTTGGTGAAGATGTCAGCCAAGTTGTCCTTAGTGCCAATATACTTGATTTTGACATTTCCATCTTGTACATTATCTCTGATAAAGTGGTACTTGGTGTTGATATGCTTCAACTTCCAATGTTGTGCTGGATCCTTACTGACCTGAATGGTGCCTGTGTTGTCTGAAAAGATTGTGGGGGTGCCAACATCAATTCCAATAGCCTTGAAGAGATGCCTGAAGAAAAGTACTTCTCATGCGGCTTTGGTTGCTGCCATGAACTCTGCTTCCACCACTGACAAAGCAGTGCAGTGTTGTAGTGCTGACTTCCATGCAACCAGGTTCCCATGTACAAACACTGCTGAACCTGATGAACTTCTTTGTTGTGCAGTTGCATCACTTGCCCAGTTCGCATCACTATGCGCCATTAAAAACTCTTGTTCCTTGTCACCACTATATCATAGATGGACATCCTGGGTGCCATCTAGGTATTGTAGTACCTTTTGTGCTGCATCGTAATGCTCTTTTGATGGTTGAGTCATATAGTGTGCAAGGGCCCCTACTGCTTGGCTGATGTCTGGGCATGTTCCATTCGAGAGCCATAGGAGCTTACCAACAATCTGCGGGTATTCCTTTCATTTGGCTGTGCTCACTGCTGTCTCTGGGGCCGGTATGTCTTGGAGCAGTATGCTGGATTTTCTCCTGTGTTTGTCTAGGTGTTTGTTCAGTAGTTGTTTAATGTAACTGGTCTGTCTGAGGTCCATTGTCTTTTCTTCATGATTCCTGGTGATCTTGATTCCAAGGAAGTGAGACACATTGCCACCCTCCTCCATCTTCCACTTCTTGCCTATTTCCTCCTTGATGTGTTTGACCATTTCTAGCTTTGGAGCTATAATCAATGTATCATCAACATAGATAATCAGTATTGCGAAGTTGTCCCCCTTTCCTCTGGTGTAGATACATGGTGTGCAATCAAGTCTGTGGAAGTTCGAGCACTGTAGGAACTTATCAAACTCCAAGTTCCACTCCTGTCCTGATTGCTTGAGTCCATATAACCCTTTCACTACCCAATAAGCCTTTCCTTTTGGTACCTTTGCCCCTTCTGGCGGTTTCATATAGATGACATGCTTGAGTGTGGAGTTGAGGTAGGCCATCGTGATGTCGAGTTGATGGACCTCCCAGTCCCACTACACTGCCAGTGACAACAGGGCTCTTATTGCACTGAGTGGTGCCACCAGTGCAAAAGTTTCTTCAAAGTCTATGCCCTCTCATTGTGTGAATCCTCATGTGACGAGTCTTGCTTTATGTTGGACAGGTACCCCATCAGCATCCAGCTTGAGACAGAGGATGATCTTAGAGTCGACAAGTTTGGTATTTGGTGGTACATCCACGATTTCCCAAGTTCCCATGGCCTCCAGTCCATCCAACTCCTTGCATATGGCTTCTTGCCATTGCTGTGCATCTTCACTGGCAAGTGCTTCTTTCATTGTTGGTGTGAGGTTTAGGGTGGTGGTGTTCGCTCCCCTGATCATGTCTTCAACTGCTATCTCCAATCTGTTGTCTTCAGTATTGTTGATCGGTTGTTCAACAGGTGCATGTTGGAGTGAGTCTTGCTTGTCAAGTTCTTCGATTTCTGGTTCAGGTTTGAGGTCATTTGCCTCTGGTTTGGCACTTTCTGCTTTGAGGCTCTCAAACCCAATTTGCAGCAGGCTTTGTACTTTAGGTCGATTGTGCCAACCTTTGTGTTCATGGAATGTAGCTGAATTGCTCCACCGGATGGATGGCGTGTGGTCTGGAGTGAAGAATTTCCATCCCTTGTGCTCATCATCATAACCAATCATGATTCCTGGTATGGCTCTCACACCATGCTTACCTGTGTGATCTTTCTTTGGGAGGTGAACCCATGTGAGGCAACCAAAGACATGCAATTGTTTTGCCAAGCCGTGAGCTGTCATGTGGTGAAAGTCTTCATACGGAATTCTGTTGGCATTTGCTGATGGTGTCAAGTTAAGTACATGTCCAGCAGCCATGATGGCATAGGGCCATAGTCCTTTTGGCACTGATCTTTGGACAAGCATTGTGTGCATCTTCTCTTGGAGTGATCTGATAGTGTGCTCTGCTCTCCCATTCTGTATGCTGACATACAGGGTGGTTTTCTGCCACTTAAGTCCTGCTTCCTGCTTCCATTCCTCTGCTGCTAAGCTTGACCATTCCATTCCATTATCACTGCGAATACACTTTAATGTGCAATCCATTGCTATCTCCACTGTTTTGGTCCATGCTTTTAGGGCAGGGAACACTTCTGCTTTGCTTAGGAGCAGTTTCACATACACGTAGGATGAGGCATCATCGACAACTACCAGTGCATGGTGATAATTTGGATGTCCTTGTAAGTCTGTCATTAAGTCAATGTGTATCAACTCTAGTGGCTCCTGTGCTCATTCCATTTTGCTGCTTGCCATTCTTGCACGTGTTTGTTTTGCTTGACTGCAACAGTTGCAGTCTCTTGCATTGTGCTCGAGCTGTGTGTCCTTTCCCAAATAATGAGCCTGGATTTGCTTAGTTTTGTTTCTGCCAGGGTGGCCGAATCATTTGTGCCATAGTTTGCTTATTGTGTGGCTTGCAGGCCTTGCTGGTGTCATGTTGTCATCAATGCCCTCAAGGGGGTCATTGAGCTGTGCTGCTAGGGAGTCACTGTGAACTTCCCATCTTTTCTGGCATTGGTTGGTCTTGCTTTTAACCATGCTTCCATCATGTTGGAGGATTGTAGCTCCAGATTCTTCAAATATCACTCATGCACCATTTTCAGTTAATGCTGGGACAGACAATAGATTCTTGCTAAGGTTGGGAATGTAAAGTACATCTGTGAGGGGTATTTTAACATTTCCAACTTGCAAGGTCACATCTCCTATTGCTTGTACTCACAACCATTCATGTCCAGTGGTATCTATGGATCCTTTCTTTGGCATTGGAGCAATGAGCTTATCCTCATCATGTACCATGTGATGTGTAGCTCCAGAGTCGAGAATCCATGTACTGCCTTGATTACAGTTGCCAGTGTTGCTTACGAAAAGGGTGCACCCAAATTCCTATCCCTGCTGAGTAGAGGTTTGCTCCTGGCCGCTGATGCAATTGATTGCAATGTGCCTGGGTTGCCTACATTTGTAACACTTAGCTGGCTCATTAGGGTTTGCAGGATCACATCTGCCTCTGTTGTAGCCTTCTTGGTTTAGGATTTGGCTAGGTCTGCTGGCTTGGTTGGTTATGTTCTTGTTGCTGGCTGTCAGCGGTTGCGCGCCTGAAACCTGAGATCTGTGGTAGTATTGATACTATCACCGATTCTGTCGAGTTATGCGACAGCACTAATGGTATTTCGATTCCTAGTGAAATATGCGACAGAGCCTTCTCTGTCACCTTTCTCGTTGGAATCTGTAGTTGTGTTATTGTTATGATAGATTTCGACTAACTGCTGTGGACACTCCATCCAGAGGTTGCTTGGCATGATCAAACTACAATATGATTCTAAGTGAACTTGATGTTGACACCAATGGTCTGGTGTGAGTATGGATTGATGACACCGACACGAGTGTCCAGTGTGTCGGCTAAGGCTTGAAGTGATCCCTGGACTGCAGTGGATGACTGCCTTCAGTTCTAACTATATCTGGACTGCTGGTTTGCTAGAACTGCCTTCAGATGTCAGGAAATGGTGATACAACACACATGCTTCGAGGAGGAGCAATCTGTTGATTACTACTATGCTGACTGTGAACTAATGATACTTATTGCCTGAAGTAATACTAGTTGGTTTGATGAGTGTAGAGTGGATGAGGATCCACTCGACCATTTGTGACGAGGAGGTAGGACTATATACCTCTTCGCAGCATTGCCAGTGACACTGCTCCTGCTCCCTCTCTCCAGAGGGTACCCTCTTCATCGAGTACTGCACAGGGATCTCCAAGGAGGCACCTCCTCCATATCAAGCCTTGTCCCTCCTGCCTTTCCTGAGCTGTGTCAACTTCATCAACACTGCTCCTCTTCTTCATGTCCCTTTCGCCAGTGTCCTATACACAGATCTCCTTCCTTTGACCGGTGATGGTTCTCTTCTACTCCTGTCCTGTGGGCCCCTGAGTGGTAACTGACCGTGTGTCACTGAACTCGGTCCCTCTCGCATGTGAATCATTGTATGGACATCCTTACTACCGATCTCCGTGGAATCTGCCACATGATCTCGCTTGCTGCAGATTCTGGTGGGATTCGTGATATCAATGATGCTCATGCTGATTTTGCTGTGGTCTGCCATAGAGCTGGTTCTATTGCTGATCTCAGTGAACTCTGTTGCAGCTCCTACGATATACCCGATTCCACGTTTCCTGCACTACCTTCATATGAACTTCGGTCTTTCCTCGTTCTGCGCACCCAGGCCCATGACACCGGCGAGTCTAGTTGCGGCTCGGATTCAGCCTGAGAGTTCGGCTTCTTGATGTTTCTTGGCAAGTGCATGGTAGGCATATTCATAGCTACAGCCCGGCTGTGCAGCTTTGAGGGAGTCTACTGTCTGAGTATAGAGCCAGTCATCTTTGACACAGTGGTACAAGGTGGACTTCTTAAGCTTTTCATCCATGTGACTGCCCAGTCTTGCTGTGTCATTCCAAATTTGATCTAGTTCCTTTCCAAGGTTGACAACATTTCAGTGTACTAGCTTGATCTCATGCACTCGGTCATGAATTGCAGAAAGTTTGACTTCATCATTGATTGTGAGCACTGCTTTGAGTTTCTTATACAGTGTGGAGCCAAGTTGTTCCTCTTTGCCTTGTTCCCGAATGGTGTATGTATGAATACTGCTCTCAGGACGAAAAATGGCTGCTCCGAGCGCTGATTCGCCAGTCCCCAACGCAATCTTGGAGCTGTTGTGTTGTGTTGCGTGTCTCTTTCTGCGTGTTCATCTCGCTCACGTACCCTTGAGCTTGAGCTGCAACTGAGCTGCTCCAGAGTCCACTTTCTTGATTGATTGATTTTTGATTTTCCCTTTTTCTTCTTTTCTTCCTGGCCCGATTCGCGAACATCCGACAAAGACAGACAGACAACCATCCTTCTCATCATCGCTGTTTCCGTCTACCTCGTCTTCCTACCGCCACCTCCATCATCATATAGACAAAGATGCAGGCACTTCGAGCTCTTCAGCGGTCTGGCCTCCAGAAGGCGGTCGCCGCCGCCGCCGCCTCCTCGTCTTGCTCGACCTTTTCGCAGCGATCCTTCCACTCGTCGCGACGTGCGCTCGAGTTCTCCAAGTTCAACATGCCCGCCATGTCTCCCACCATGACCGAGGGTGGTATCGCCGCTTGGAAGAAGCAGCCCGGTGAGGCCTTCTCTGCCGGTGATGTTTTGCTCGAGATCGAGACTGACAAGGCTACCATGGATGTCGAGGCTCAGGATGACGGTGTTCTCGCCAAGATCCTCGTCCCTGACGGCTCCAAGGCCATCCAGGTCAACTCGCTCATTGCTATCATGGCCGAGGAGGGTGACGATCTCTCTAAAGCTGATGCTTTCGCTGCCGAGGCTGCTTCTGAGGGTGGTGATGCTAAGCCCGCTGCTGCCAAGGAGGAGCCCAAGAAGGAGGAGTCCAAGCCCTCTGAGCAGCAGAAGCAGGAGTCCAACCCCGAAACTTCCTCTCCTTCCTCCTCCTCCTCGTCTTCTTCCTCCAGCTCCTCGTTCGGCTCGCAGAGCTCTGGCGACCGTATCTTCGCTACCCCCGTCGCCCGCAGGTTGGCACAGGACAAGGGAATCGCTCTCACCAAGATCAACGGCACTGGTCCTGAAGGCCGCATCATCAAGGCCGACGTAGAGAACTACAAGCCCGAGGCCGCTTCTACTTCCGCCCCTGCTCCCTCCAAGTCCGCAGCTGCCCCTGCTCTTGCTTCGGGCGAGGGAGACTACACCGACATCCCCGTCTCCAACATGCGCCGCACCATCGCTGCCCGTCTCGCCGAGTCCAAGTCGACGGTCCCCCACTACTACGTCAGCATCGATGTCGAGATGGACAAGGTCCTCAAGCTTCGCGAGGTCTTCAACAAGGCCGCTTCCGAGAAGGCCGGCAAGGATGTCGACAAGGCCAAGGCTGCCAAGCTCAGTGTTGGCGACTTCATCACCAAGGCTGCCGCTGTTGCGCTCAAGGAAGTTCCCGAGGTCAACTCGGCTTGGTACGGCGATTTCATCCGTCAGCACAACAAGGCCGACATCTCGATCGCTGTTTCCACCCCTACCGGTCTCATCACCCCGATCGTCAAAAATGTCGGTGGATCGGGTCTTGCTACCATCTCGGCTGCTACCAAGCAGCTCGCTGCCAAGGCTCGTGCCGGCAAGCTCGCTCCTCAGGAGTACCAAGGTGGCTCCTTCACCATCTCCAACATGGGCATGTTCGGTATCACCCACTTTACCGCCATTATCAATCCTCCTCAGAGCTGCATTCTCGCCATCGGCGGTACCGAGGCTCGTTTGATTCCTGACTCCGAGAGCGAGCAGGGCTTCCGCAAGGCTATGGTCATGCAGGCTACCATCTCGGCTGACCACCGAACCGTTGATGGCGCCACTGCTGCCAAGTGGATGAAGGCTTTCAAGGACGCCCTAGAGAACCCTCTCAGCTTCATGCTCTAAGCGATAGAGCACTGGCATCAACACCACACCACTCCTTCTCAAGTACAAAGCTGCTTCGTGCTGAGGGAGAGACACCTTCTTCCTGTATATCACCGATTCTCTTTTCACCTTGCTCTTTGCAGATTCCAATACATCAGGCATGACTATGGCACCAATTGTTGTGCAGAGCGTGTAGACCAAGTGCATGAATCGACTTGCCATCTTGTACGTGAAAGTCAGGAGAGAAGGCCTCCATCCCTGAGGGGGGGATGAGACGGATAGGAAGTGATCTGCATTGGCGTATCAAGACGCATGCCGTACCCTAGGAACGACGGGACAGCTGTAACACTGCCCTGCTCCTCTGGCTCCTGGTCGTTGGGTGAGATCGATTGACCTCATCAACCTCTAGGGGTCTCTCCCACTTGGTGTAGTCCTCCTCTTCGTACTCTCCGCATACATTCTTTGTCACCATCAGCGATGGCAATGCTCCTCTTGCGCCAACTTCATTCGATGCTCTCAGGAGTTCCTCCCACTTCATCCGAATGGCGTGATCCCCTTCGGCGACCCCTTCACATGGCTTCTGCATGCTGCCCGTCATAGTGATGACCTTCCCAAGGAGGAGTTCCCACCGAGTGAGAGGAACAGGAGGAGGACGAGCAGTATGGTAGAGGCCATGCTCCCCTCAGAAGGAGCAGGAGCAGTGTCGCCGGCGACACTGCAGGGGTCTATATATACTGCTCGTTCTCTCTGTCTCCTCAAGCTCTATCGAATCCCATACTGCAAGCAGGCAAGCGACATTGTTCATTGGGAATGTTGTGTTGTCTCTTGACTAGGTATTCTGTACCTTACAGAGCTCCTGCACAAGAGACCTGCCCTTCATTGACGCTTAGAGCACATAGGCCTGGCCAGCCTCGCTTCAAAGCTGTTCGAAGGTGATACAATGTAGAGAAGTTTTTGGTCCAGATAACTGGCAATCGGGGACAGTCTAAGTATGATGTCACTGCTGCTTTAAGATAGAAACATGTATACTCAATTGACTGAAAGAATGTGGTGAGAGCCTAGTGCTCTCTGCTTGATATACAGCTTGTGTGTAAACTGTCCCACAAATTTACATGTCACCATACATCACTCTAATGCTCAATAGCCATAAGTTGTATTGCCACACTGTCTCATATTGTCTGAAAGCTCTGCTTCTTCTCTCCAAGACTGTGTAATTGATATTGACATTGACTGAGAAAATTGGGCTATGAAGAAGAGTTGAGATTTATTTTTTTTTATTGTGGGACAGTTTATGGAGCACTCCTTGAAAACACCTTAGTACTTTGTATTCCCTCCTTTGGCCTTCAGAACCACCTTGATGCAGTCTGGCATACTCTCTATTAGCATCCTACATGTCTCTGGAGTGATTGCTGTCCATTCAGCTTTGCATCTCTTGAGCAGTTCATCTCTGGACTTTGCAATTGTACTATACTGTGAAAGTCACATTTTGAGATGGTGCCAGAGGTGTTCAATTGGGTTTAAGTCTGGCAACTGCACTGGCCATTGCATAACCTTAATGCTATTGCTTTCCAACCACATTATTGTCTTCTTTGACATGTGTTTTGGGTCATTGTCTTGCTGAAATGTGATGTTGGTGTATGCATGCTGAAGCTGCAAATCTGAGATTGTTTTCACAAGCTTGTCATTCAAGATATCAATGTATTGGTCTGAATTCATTGTACCCAGCACCAAGCACATGCCTCCCACCCCTTCTCATGTCATACAGCCCCAGATCATGATGGAGCTGCTGCCAAACTTGACTGTCAGCCTGACAAGCTTGCTGTTGAAGCCAGCATACTTAATCCAACAGAACTGCTTACCATCTGGTCCCAAGAAGTTGATCTTTGTCTTGTTGGACCATCCACATTCTTCCAATCCTCAACAGTCATGTCCTTGTGCTCATTAGCAAATTTGCAACAGGCTTTGTAATGTCTCTTGAGTAGCTTCAGTTTTTTCACTAACCTCTTGTCACAGGGACGGCTGGCCTGCGCAAGAGAGTGCACCTAATGATCAGCGGCAGTATGGTAATGTCGCGTAACGGAGCAGTATATGAAGGGTGCACAGAAGATCAACATATGAAGGGTGCGCCAGATTGATCAGAGTCAAAAACCATCGGGGATCAACAAGAGTAATTGGGTTGGCAGCGCACATGAATTACGAGATCGATCGAACCCCGGGAATCCAGATCAATCTCATGGGATCGGTCGGAGTCAGCTGGACTGGTATGCTTCAATGAGTCAGCTGATCCGAACAAGTACTCGGAGCTGTGCCGACATCGGAGACAGTCAGATCAGCATGCCTCAACTAGTCAGCCAATCCGAACAAGCACTTGGAGCTGTGCCAACGTCGAGAGATAGTCAGATCAGCATGCTTCAACTAGTCGGCCGATCCAAACAAGTCAAGATGGAACTGTGCTGACATGACCACATGACCAGGGGGTATGGTCATGAGGTTCAAAGGGAATTCACAAGATTAAGTCGAAAGGGGGCCATGCCGAAAGGGGGCATCACACATCAGACAGAAGGAGAGCATGTAGGCAAGAGGGCAGTGTTGCATAACCCTTATGCCGAGCAAATGGTAGGAGCACAGTATCGAAGGGGTTGATACCAGCAGGGTAAGGCAGTGCCTAACAGGGGACAAAGGCCCCTCAAGAGGAGCAGGATAGGTGTCAAGGGAAAACACTGACCAGACATATAAATACTCTCATTCTACCATAGCATACAAGTGGAGGGGCATCCACTCTGAACTCAACTTACTTACTCTATACTTACTCGGTTACATATCTTCACAATAGCAGTGCTCTTGCAATGACTCACAATGTGTGTGTTGTATCACTGTTAGTCAACAACTGTAGGTGGTGTTCTTCACACTAGCAGTCCAGTTCATTACTGTAGGCAGTGTTCTTCACACTAGCAGTCCAGTTCATTACTGTAGGCAGTGTTCTTCACACTAGCAGTCCAGTTCATTACTGTAGGCGGTGTTCTTCAACACCAGCAGTCCAGTTCCTTGCTGTAGGCGGTGTTGCTTGACACCAGCGGTCCAGTCGGTTATTGTAGGCAGTGTTTCACACCAGCAGTCCAGTAACTCATGTCCTCTGTAGGCAATTAGCATATCGCAGTCCAGACAATGTCCAAGAGCATTATCAACAGTACTACAAACACTCATACTGTAGGGGAGGGTGTATCACTCACTCACCAACAAACAACATCCATGCCGCACAACCTCTGAATGGAGTGTTCAAGGCGGTCAGTCAAGACTTACTAGGCGATGACACTTGGTTATGTTTAGGTGAATCATATCGAGTAGTCCTTACTCAATCAACCTCAGCTAGTCTCTGGCGCGCGACCGCTTACACCTCTGTGCTTTGTAACAACAGTAATGAAGTGCTTTTCTTACTGTGGTTGGGCATGCTTTGACTTGAAATGTCTCCTGCAGTGCATGACATGCTTTCCTGACCATGGAGGTTGGATTGAGCTTGAAATAGTGGTCCAGGAAGCGAACATGACAAGGCTGGAGTTTGTCACAGGATCAGTGGGTCAGCGTATGAAGGGTGTGCCAAATTGATTGGCAGCAATCATGGTAATGTCACAGGGTCAGCAGATCAGCATATGAAGGGTGCACCAAATTGATTGGCAGCAAATCATTGGGAATTGACAAAGCTAATTGGGTTGGTAGCACATATGATTTATGAGACCAACTGAACTCTGGGGTCCAGGTTAATTTCACAAGGATCAATCAGGATCAGCCTGATCAGCATGTCTCAGCAAGTTGGCTGACACAAGCAAGCATCAGGAGATTCAGGAAGGAGGATACCAGCATTAGAAGGAGAAGCATACAGAGATAACCACATGCAGGAGTGGGGACCGAGCTCAGCATCATGTGGATGGTTACTGCTTGTGACATCTGACATGGGACCGGATGTGCAGAAGCAAAAGTCAGATGAAGAGAAGCGCAAGAATCGCAGGATCGGGAGAAATGAGGGGTTGAGGCAGAGTTCACCAAGATCTGTAGTAGAGAGGCTCTATGACAGATCTTGTCCAGATCAGTATGAGCAGGATCTTACAGCAAAGCTCACTGGAACCTGTTGTATCCTAATTGTACAACAGATCTCATGGAGGACACTGACCTCACAGTCCACACAACAAGACAGATGTCAGGGGTCTCGCGCCTGAAACCCAGGTCAGTCTGTCGAGATACTTGGTGACTATCAAACTGTGCGACAGCTATTGTCTCAGTATCAGTCTCAAAGAGCTAGTTGCTTGGCAACTATCAAGTTGCGCGATGACAGCAGGTGGCGTTTGTTGTATATACTGTCATAGGTTTTGGCTGACCTCTGTGGACACTCCATTCAGGGGTAGCTCGGCACAATCAATATCAATGTGTAGATTATGATGACACCAAGGTCTGGTGTGAGTGTTGATGATGATGAGGTTGATAACATTGGTGATAATGTTGGTGGGTGTTGATGATAATGAGGATGATGGTGTTGGTGATAAGGTTGGTGGCATCAACACAAGTGTCCAGTGTGTTGACTGATGCTTGAGGTGATCCCCAGACTGCAGTGGACTACTGCCTTTGGTTCTATCTTGATCTGGACTGCTAACCTGCTATAGGGTGCCTTCGGACGTCAGGTAGTGGTGATACAACACACACACTATGATGAGGAGCAACCTGTCAGCGGTCGCGTGCCTGAAACCTGAGATCAGTAGTAGTATCAGTACTATCACCGATTCTGTCGAGTTATGTGACAGTGCTAGTGGTATTATGATTCCTAGTGTAATATGCAACAGAACTGTCTCTGCTGCTTTTCTCGTTGGAATCTGTAGTTGTATTGATGTTGTGACAGATTTCGACTGACCACCATGGACACTCCGTCCAGAGGTAGCTCGGCATGATCAAACTATGATACGACTCTAAGTGAACTTGATGTTGACACCAATGGTCTGGTGTGAGTATGGATAGATGACGTCAACACAAGTGTCCAGTGTGTCGACTAATGCTTGAAGTGATCCCCAGACCGCAGTGGACAACTGCCTTCGGTTCTATCGATATCCAGACTGCTGGTTTGCTAGAACCACCTTCAGATGTCAGGAAACGGTGATACAACACATGCACTTTGATGAGGAGCAATCTGTTGATTACTACTATGCTGACTGTGAACTAATGATACTTATTGCTTGAAGTAATACTAGTTTGTTTGATGAGTGTAGAGTGGATGGATCCACTTGACCATTCATGACAAGAAGGTATGCCTATATATCTCTTCCCAGCATTGCCAGCGACACTGCTCCTGCTCTCTCTCTCCAGAGAGTACCCTCTTTGTCAAGTATTGTACAGGTGTCTCCAAGGAGGCACCTCCTCCATATCAGATCTTGTCCCTCCTGTCTTACCTGAGCTATGTCAACTTCATTGACACTGCTCCTCTTCTTCATGTCCCTTTTGCCAGTGTCCTTTACACAGCTCTCCTTCTTCTGACTGGCGACATTTCTCTTTTACTCCTGTCTTGTGGGCCCCTGAGTGGTAACTGTCTGCATGTCACTTGAGCTTGGTCCCTCACACATGTGAATCATCATACGGACAACCTTGCTACCGATCTCTGCAGAATCTGCCACAAGGTCTTGCTTGTCGCAGATTCTGGTGGGATTCATGATATCGAAGATGCTCATGCCGATTTTGCTGTGATCTGCCATAGAGCTGATTCTACTGCCGATCTCGGTGAACTCTGTCACAGCCCCAACGATCTACCTGATTCCACGATTCCTGCGCTACCTTCATATGAACTTCGGTCCTTCCTCGTTCTGCGCACTCAGGCCCATGACACAACCTTGATAGATTGCTGCTATACTGACTGAAACTAATATATACTTATGCTGAAGTGATAACTAGTTATGATGGTTGTGTGTAAAGTGGATGAGGATCCACTCGACCTTTGATAATGAGAAGGTATGGTTATATACCTCTTCACAGCATCGCCAGCAATGCTGCTCCTGCTCTCTTCTCCAGAGAGTACCTTCTTCATCGAGTACTGTTCAGGGGGCCTCTCCTGCTTGCTTGGCACCCCTGTGCCTCTTGAGCTGTGTCGACTCCTTTGACACTGCTCCTCCTCCTTGCTATCCTGCTTGTTTGGCACCCTTGTGCCTCCTGAGTGGTGTCGACTCCTTCGACACTGCTCCTCCTCCTCAGGACCTGCTTGCTGGTTCCTTATACACTGCTCCTTCTCCTTTGACTGGTGATGGTTCCTTTGACTCTTGTCTCTTGAGCCCCCTGAGTGGTAACCATCTGCATGCTCCTTGAGCTTGGTCCTCTTCGTGGCTGTGCCTGCTCCTCGAGCTTGGTCCTCCTTGTGGCTGTGCCTGGCCCTCCTCGCATATGGCTCAGTGCTCCTTTGCATGTGAGTTCGTAGGAGTCCATGGTCTCCATGGAGACTGCACTATGACCATGCTCTCTACTGGTATCGACTAGATCTCTGATACCTGTGCTCCTTCCATATGAACCAGTGACCCTCCTGCTTCTCGAGCATCCAGGCCCATGACAACAGACAGCAAGGACATTGGGGTTGCCACCCTGATGAAGCAGGGGGCTGACTCCACAATGAACTCAGAGCAGGAGGATGGGTGAGATGAAAGGGGGGAGTGGGTTGCCACTCAGATCAGGTGGGAAAGGCCCCCTATCTGGTAATGAAGCAGCACAAAGACTCTCCATCTGCAAGAGGCGAGAGAAGCAGTGCTAAGAAGCAGTACTGTAAGACAGGCAGGACAAGGGGAGGAGGAGCAGCATTGGAGGAGGTCTTTCAGAGCAGGAGCAAGTTGTCACAGGGTCAGCAGGCCAGCGCAAGAGAGTGCGCCAAATTGATCAACAGCAGTCATGGGAAAGTCATGCAACAGAGCAATGTATGAAGGGGGTGCAATGGATCAATATATGGAGGGTGCTCCAGATTGATCAGCACTGAACCATCAGGGATCAACGAGATTAATTGGGCTGGCAGTGCATATGAATTACAAGATCGTTCAAACCCTGGGTTCCAGATTAATCTCATCAGGGATTGGTCAGAATCAGTCAGATCAGTATGCTTCAACAAGTCGGCTGATATGAGCAAGTACTAGGAGCTGTGTGAAAGTGACCACATGACCAAGGGGTTTGGTCATGAGGTTCAACAAGTGGCTAAAGGGATTCACAAGACAAAGTCAAGAAGGAGCTGTGTCAAAAGGGGGCATCACACATCATCAGGCAGAAGGAGAGCATGAAGGCGAGAGGGCAGTGTTGCATAACCCTTACACCATGCAAATGGTAGGGGTGCAGTACCAAGGGGATTGATGCCAGCAGGACAAGACAGTGTCAAACAGGGGACAAAGGCCCCTCAAGAGGAGCAGGATAGGTGTCATGGGCAACACCAATCGAACACATAATACTCTCATTCTACCATAGCATATGAGTGGATCCCCATCTACTCTATACTACTTACTCTATCTACTTTACTTACTCAGTTACATACCATTGCAATAGCAGTGCTCTTGCAATGACTCTCAATGTGTGTGTTGTATCACCATTAGTTGACAACTGTAGGCAGGGTTCTTCAACACTAGCAGTCCAGTGCCCTTGCTGTAGGTGGTGTTCTTCAACACTTGCAGTCCAGTCCCTTACTGTAGGCAGTGTTGCTCAACACCTGCAGTCCAGTCAGTTATTGTAGGCAGTGACTCACACCTGTGGTCCAGTAACTCCCATCCTCTGTAGGCAATTAGCATATTGCAGTCCAGACAACATCCAAGAGCATTATCAACAGTACTATGAACACTCATGCTGTAGGAGAGAGTGTTTCACTCACTCACCAATGACCAGTGTCCATGCCATGCAACCTCTGAACAGAGTGTTCAAGGCAGTCAGTTGAGACTTACCAGGCAGCAACATTTGGTTACAATTAGGCAAAACATACTGAGTAGACCTTACTCAATCAAACTCAATAGCACCCCAAAACTAAGTCTCTGGTGTGCGACCGCTTACACAAGTGTTGCTGGTGACACTTGGGAAATGGTTATATAACCATGCTTCCCATCATAGCAGTCAAGTGGATCTCCATCCACTCTATACCATAACATACTAGTTATAGCTTTCACATAAGTATACATTAGTATTCTGTCAACAGTTGCAATTGCAGAGCATTGCTTCTACTGTAGCATGTGTGTTGTATCACTGCTCATTGACATCATCCAAAGGCAGTTCATTCTGTGGTCTGGATATTGATCAACACCAAAGGCAGTTCATACTGTGGTCCAGCTCTCTCAATCATTAGAACCAAAGGCAGTCATCCACTGTGGTCTGGGGATCACTCAGTCACTCAGTTGGCACACTGGACACTTGTGTTGGCATCAACAACATCATCAGCACCAGACCTTGGTGTCATCACACAGTATCTCTTGGTTAATTGATTGTGCTGAGCTACCTCTGGACAGAGTGTCCACAGCAGTTAGTTGAAACCTGCAATAACAATCAAGCTACCACATATTCAAGCAAGAGAAGTCATAGAAGGCTTCTACAACAGATCTCAGCAAGAATAATAATAACAGCCTTTTACCACAGATCTTGATAGGATCAGTAGTAGTTGTAATTCTACTACAGATTTCAGGTTTCTGGTGCGCAACCTCTGACAGGCTATTGACTAAGTACCACTTCTTATATATCTACAACAGTGGAGTGGAGCATGACAGGGAAACTTGGCAGGGAAACTACCTCCTCCCTCCTCGGACATCTACTTAGCCAGTATGCCAGTGCAATACTTGGCAATTGGTCTGGCTCAAGCCAATATATCTGCTACCCTCTAACATTATCATGGGCCCTGGGCATGGGGTCCTGCCCCCCTCTGGGGGTTAAGCGCGGGGCAGACACGTTTGGCGTGTCTGATCTGAATCTTTGCGAAAATGCCGTTACAGATCTTATCTAAATCTGCCCATCCCGGAATCCCCGGATCCTCGTTTCTTTCCTTCGCCTGTCGACCAGCACCCTTGTTGATGCCTGTGCAAAGAAACCCTGTCTGTCGAACGGTTCGTGGAAGCTAATGCAATGAGCCAAGCATCATGACCTTTCAAGCACTGTAGTAGTCTGTCGTGGTCTTCTGCACCTTGCTAAGTGTATGTTCAGGCTGCTGGTTCTGGTAGAAACGAGTGCAGGCTACAGCAGATCCGCTGCATGCCTGTAAGGAAATGAGTCCGTGAGATATAAGGGTACCATCTCTCTCCCTTCCATGCTGATCTTCCATCGATACAAAAAAAACGTTCCACAGACATCCCTCTCTACACCAGTACATCGAACCAAACACAATGCCGTCCGCCGACAAGTACACTGACAAAGCAGGACGCCAAGGCGAACGGCAAGAAGGGTCAGAAGAAGGCTGAGGCCGAGTACCAAGACGATGGCAAGGAGGCTGAAGACGATGGTGGCGCCGAAGAGGAGGAGGAAGAGGAGGCTCAAGCCGGTGACAAGCGCGGTAAGGGCTCTAAGCAGCAGCAGCAGAAGGAGCCTCAGCAACAGCAGAAGAAGCACAAGACTCGCAAGCGAGCGAGTGCCTCGTCAGATGTGATGCCCGAAAGCATAGTCGCTGCCTTCAGCATTGTCGAGGCAGAGGACAGAGAACGGCGAGCAGTGCAGTCGCTGTCGATGTTGATGTTTTGGCGGATGGATGGATCAGAGCTAGGTCACGCTGTCACTGGGTTGATAAGAGTCGGATCGAAGAATATTCGCGATATGAGATGACGGTAATGATGATGATGGATAGCTGCCTTTCCAATCTGAGTCGGGAGTTCTGACAAGTGAGTGAGTGAAGAGTGAGAAAGCGCCAAATACGGTCGGATTCGCAACTACAAAGTCAAGTCGCAGAGACAGGAAAGTAGAAATTAAAATGTCATTTTAAAAAATAAGGAGAGCACATTCGCGTCTAAGCAGCTGCCTGAAGGCGCATGGCCAGTGTCCACGAGAGTGTGTGTGAGAGTTGAAAATGACGGATGGTGCGCCTCTGTGATGAAGATGGGCGCTGGCTGGCTGGCTGGCTGGCTGGCTGGCCTGTCTGACCCGCTGTTCTCTCAACTTTACACCGCAGTTCTCCCTCTCTCTCTCTCTTTTCTCGCGGATTCAAGGAATTCAAGGTTTTCGAGAGCGGCCCATCTCGTCGCCCATCGCATCCTCGACCTCCTTCGTCTCCAACCTGGTTCCGTCCCTAGTCTCTTCCCCCTTCCCCCTTCCCCCCTTTCCCCTTCCGCCATCCATCATCCATCATCCATCTATCGGCCACATCAGCAACCTTTCTGCTTTCGGACGGACCGCTCGGCACGTCATTCGTCCTGGCCGTCACCACCATCAGCTCCGCCAGTAACGCTCTTCTAAGCCGACTTCTTTCCGTCACGCAGACTCTTTACGGTTCGGAGTGTGGTCGCGTCGGTCAGTCGATCACTCCCTTGCACCTGTGACCCGGACCTGAAGTAGTCATTCGACACCGTCCGGATCCTGTTTCTGTCGAGACGACACTCCGCCGACCGCTGTGTCCTTGACATTGCAGCGATCCCACCATCTTGTCGTCTCTGCTTTTGCGTTGAGATCATCGTTTCAGCTTGCTTGTATTTGTGCCTCGACAACATCATCCATCCATCCGCCCTTTCCCCTCAGAACTTTAGTCGCCCGCTCACGCTGTAGGGAGGCTTTGCATTAGCATCCATCCCGTTCATTCCCCTATCTGACACGCACCTCCTATCAACGTTGAAAGGCATTCATTCGGACACTTTTCTGCTTTTATTGTGTCTGAGCAGGCACCATCCCCGCCTCCAAGTCACGCAATCCGATCGCATCCGCTCACTGTCGGCTCTCAGTACAGCTCCGCGGATCTTCAGAATCAGTCGCCCTCTCTCCGACGCTTCGTGAAGGTTTATCGCCTTAGCTTTCGACACCTTCCTGACATTCCGTTGCCCAACAGCGGCGACTGCATACATCGTCATCGACTTTCCCAGATTTATATCAGACGCGCCAAGCGACGGCGTCGATGCATTGCCTCCAATTCGATTGTCTCTCTAACTTGGCGTAAGGCAGCGTTCCGGAATCTGATCAACGGCACGACCATCCCACCGAGCTGAGGATCTAGCAAAGAGAGCTTCTCGATCCCTTCAGGCCGGAAAGCAGCCTATCCGAGAATCTCGGACTAAGGGCTGGTTCATAGAGCAGCGCGCCGCTGACAGTGGCTCGCGTCTCCTCCAACATGGCGCCTCTTTGCACCTCTGCAGAGGTCAACCTGCTCGTCTACCACTACCTCAAAGAGTCCGGCTTCCATCATGCTTCCTTCTCATTACGGCACGAGTCTCGCTTAGACGACGAACCGCTATCAAAGCAAGCCATCGTTGAGCCAGGTCAGCTCGTACGCTTCCTTCAGAAAGGTCTCATCTACGCCTCTGTAGAAGCGCATATCCAAGAGGATGGCACAGAGAAGCCATGTTCCTCCAACATCCGCTTAATCGGACCACCACACGTCTGCGATGGCAAATCACGACCTACACCTCCACCTGCAGCACCCACAAGGCTCTCGCCTGAGCCCGACCCGTTCGCAGCTCAACAAGCACGACCAGAGCACAAGGAGACAGCCACACAAACACCACCGGCACCAGCACCGGTAGCGAAACCAGTCAACGGCGTACATAGCACCAGTAGCAAGGCATCTACATCATCGTCATCGCTCCGTGCCTCTGAAGCTCAAGATCGTTCGTCCAAACTCGCTTCCTCTTCCAAGAAGAAGGTCGAAGACGCAGCCGAACAAGATGACGCTTCCTCTTCAACCTCTAAACCCAAAGATGCCAAGCGCAAAGCCTCGACATCGGTTGCGTCAGATGCGGATCGCGAGGACAAGCGTGTGCGCATGAACGAGTCCAGCAGCAAGTCAGAGGATGTCTCCACATCCGAAGCACAGCGTGAAGCAGCGGACAGTGCATCATCTCGCAAGGACCGTCGGAACGGCGAAGCACAGTCGCGGTCTGCGTCTCCGAGCGCAGACAAGAAGTCGACAAACGACCAGCGTAGCAAGGACAAGGACACCAGCAGCAGCAACAACAACAACAAGAAGGGCGGAAAGTCAGCGGCAGGAGAGAATGGCGAGGGAGGTAAGAAACGCGGAGACAAGGAGTCTTCATCACGCAGCAAAGATCCCAAGGCACCAATACCGCAACCAAAGGGTGACAACTACGTTCAAGACAACCAGATCATCACCCTGGCAGGACACACAGGCCAAGTCTTCATCTCGGCTTGGAACCCGACCGTCCCCAACATGCTAGCATCAGGAGGAGGTGATGCAACTGTCCGCATCTGGGAAGTCCCCGATAATGCAGGCGAGACGCCCGACGCTCCCACCATCTGCAAGCATCTCCCGGCCGCACAAAGCAAGGACATTTCAACCCTGGACTGGAACCCAGACGGTACGCTGCTCGCCTCGGGCTCGTACGACGGTATCGTTCGTCTCTGGACACCTCAAGGTGACCTGCATCTCGTCATGTCGATGCACCAGGGTCCTGTCATCAGCGTGCGATGGAACCGCAAGGGCAACCTGTTGCTCACCGGCAGTGCAGACGGCACCATCATCGTGTGGGATCTCAACAGTGGCAAGCCAAGGTACACCTTCCCGCTTCATAGCGACTCTGTTCTTGATGTGGAATGGCTCTCGACCGCCGACGGCTCGCTCAAGCCAAAGTCGTCATCGGATGCACCACCGCCCATGCCTCACGGCCTGAGCCCCTCGGTTGCCGACAACTACTTCGCGACGTGCTCGGCGGACAACAGCATCAATTTGTGCAAGCTCGGCGAACCCAAGCCGATCAAATCGTTCAAGGGTCACACTGACGAGGTCAATGCAATCCGCTTCGACCCATCTCAGACGCTCTTGGCTTCCGTCTCGGACGACATGACGGCCAAGATCTGGGCCTTGGACATTGGTGGAATCGGATCTGGAGGAGCAGGTGCCAGTATCGCTGGGTCTGCCTGTGACGGTTTGCGAAAGCGTGCCTCTCAGCGCCGGGGTGGAAGCGCACATCTGGAAGGCATGGATGTTGACGAAGACACGACACAGCGTCCATCGGAAGACAACACAGGCGACCGCGATCGTGAGAAGGACCGTGCCACACCTGGATCTGTTGGCGGAAGTGCTTCATCGGCAGTCGCGACCAATACCAAGGAACGCGCGTCGCCGGCACCAGGGAGCAATGGTCAAGCTGGTGGGGCGTCTAGCGGATCGTCCAACCTTATTTCCACAACCTCCAAGGGTCCCAATAAGGGGCTGCGGTTGACGCTTGCTGGACACACCAAAGAACTCTATGCCCTTGCTTGGTGCCCGACGGGACCTGGCTCTGCTAACCCAGATCAGCCCAGAATGTTGGCTACAAGCTCGTTCGATTGGACTGCCCGACTCTGGAATGCCGACAGCGGCGAGTGCCTGCGAGTGATTGACGCACACGAGGACAATGTCTACACACTGCGATTCAGCCCATGCGCTCGATACCTTGCGACAGGTGGTATCGACAAGAAGGTGATCATTTCGCGTGTCGACAATGGCGCTCTGGTGCAGCAGTATCTTGGAGGCGGTGCGATCTTTGACATTGCATGGAAGGACATGCACGACACCGTCGAGACCAAGCAGGAGGAGGGAGAGAAGAGCGAAGATTTTGCCAACAAGCCGCAACCCCTGGCGAAAAGACACCAGCTCGCCATCTCGCAGGCTGATCGAAAGCTCACTGTGCTCAACCTAGCTGATCTTGACTCTGTCACGTCTACTGCCACTTTTAAGGCGCCGCCTCCTGTCGAAGCCAAGGCGGAGACGGGCAATACGAGCGAGAAGCCGCCAAAGAAGAAAGCTCGGGGTGGTGTGTGATAGCCCCCTTGCAGGCAGGCAACATCGTGTATCTTCTATGTCAGGCCGTCGTAGTCATACCGAACACTGATTTGGCTAAGGACAAATCCAGGCTGTGTGCATCAGCAGAGCGTCAGTCAAGCAAATCAATGCATCTCTTCAACTGGGATGGTAGTATCTATCACCACCGAACCATGCTTCGGTCTGTACAAGTAATCAGAATCTCAAGGGAACATACAATCACAAAAGAATGATGCCACTCCTTGACTTGACTCGTGGGTGATTCAGCTGACTTGTCTGAGTCGATTCGATAGCTTCTTGCAAGTGCTCCACGGCAGTTGTGTCGTCTGCCAGTCTTATCGGCTGGCATATTGAGGGGTCAACCTTCATGAGCTCGCCACATGCACTCTTCTCGCCGTGTTCGCGTTCGCGGTCGCGGTTTGACTGCTCCACGCTCGCGGTGACAGCTAAGTTCACCTAGCCTCATACAAGGACTCGCATCTGTACAACACAAGAGCACATAGAGGATGGCAAGATCGCGAATCAGGATACAGCAGAGGCCCGATCCATTCGATCCACCGAAATCTGAATTTGTAGCCAAATCTGAAGTCGGCCGAAGTCAGCAAGAACTATACGAAAAGGAATTTTGTATTGCGGGGGGAGCAACGCTCTGTTGAAGTGCCTGAAAATTTCGCAGCAAGTTGATGAATTTGTAGTGAGAGTCTTGCCGTGAATACATGTTTGTATTTGAAAGTGTGGCAGAACGCTGGTTGGAATGTAAAGTTGGGAAAGCCATCGTCTGATGCCGTATTAGAGCTTCAAGATCACGGCTAGAGGCAAGTGCCTGCAGATAGCGGAGCCGGACCTGGGTGGAGAATGAGTGAGAACGAGCGCGTCTGAGGCAGCAGCTTGAGTCTCTCAAGTCAGTTTGGACCTGAGCTGCGAGACGGCGGGCAGGCAGGCGGCACACGGAATCGCGAGAGAGAGAGAGAGAGAGAGAGAGAGAAGCTAAGCGTGGTCTTCGAGTTCGAGACCATCAATTTGGCTTGCACTTCCACCTATCACCCTCTTCAAGACCACCTCATCACCTCTTGACTTTTTGTTCCCTTTCGTGGACAAAAGACATATTCGACACACATATCGCCCAACATGGCTGCTAAGGTTGGAATTCCTAGTGAGTTTCGCTGTGGCTCGACCCGATACAGCGACACGCAGCTCTCTTCCCGGCAAATGGCAAAAGGCAACAGCACGACGACGATGACAGACGATGATAGCGACAGCAACAGCGGCGCCGACACCGACAACATCAGCACTCAGGCACGCATGCAGATGTCGACGACATTACTAGCAGAGAATCAGATACAGAAGTTTAAATGGCACACACAGACGATATAGAGATACAGGGAAATGCATCGGTAGCAGGACGGACAACCATCGGAGGCTTAAGCTTTACAGATAGAATAGACCAGGAAGCTTGCCAACTATGCTTGATGCACATCCGTATCACGTCGCAGCATGGCTTGTCGGAAATAGCTTCGGGAAGGATAAGGAGACGTAGCAACTATAAGTTCGAGGAACGCTACTCAGACCATGGAGACAGTCACGCAAATGATTCGTCCGGCTTGCAGTGTCCAAACTATCATTACCACATTATCGTCGTCTCGTCATTTCACTCAGCCTTTGCCGAAAATGGAAGAGAACTGTAGTCGCAAATCCGACAGCTTTGTGGAACGATTATACTGACCTTTGCCTTACTTCGAATCTCGTTCGCACATCTCCATTTCAACTTCGCAGAGGATGTCGCTGCCGTCGCCTCTCCCCAGGTTGGCGGTGTTCGCCTTTTCGGTAAGTGGGAGTAAGTATCTACCGCAGCTTCATAAGCATGACTAGAACGCAGCAGTAAAGGGAGTGACAAAGGCAGGATCGCAGATGCATGGGAATCTGCAGCATAAGGTCGGGTATCGAGTAGATTTATGACAATAGCGTCAACATGACCGGAACAGCATGGAGAAGACCGGCAGGATGGAAAGCATTACAATAGTGCAGGTTTGTGTTCCGACATATGGTATTGTGATCAACCATAGTCTATCTGTTGAAGGGACCGGAGTGCTCTCTCCTGCTGCGTTGTCGTCAGTGCGCTATCGATGTTTCGTTTCAGTAGCAACAGTTGACTGACTAGCTTTTCATCTTTCATTCCCATCTCTTCCACTCACAACAGCGCCCAAGAGGTGGAAGTTAAGGACATCTCCTTGACCGATTACATTGCTCTCCGCAATGCCGTCTACACTCCCCACACTGCTGGCCGATACCAGAACAAGGCTTTCAAGAAGGCCCAGACCCCCATCGTTGAGCGCCTTGTCAACTCGCTCATGATGCACGGCCGCAACAACGGCAAGAAGCTCATGGCCGTCCGCATTGTCGCCCACGCTTTCGAGATCATCAACCTCCTCACCGACGCCAACCCCATCCAGATCCTTGTTGACGCCATCATCAACACTGGTCCCCGTGAAGACTCGACCCGTATCGGCTCTGCTGGTACCGTCCGTCGCCAGGCCGTCGATGTTTCGCCTCTCCGCCGTGTCAACACTGCCATCACTCTCCTTACCACCGGTACCCGAGAGTCGGCCTTCCGCAACGTCAAGTCGATCGCCGAGTGCCTCGCTGATGAGCTCATCAACGCCGCCAAGGGCTCGTCCAACTCGTACGCCATCAAGAAGCGTGACGAGATGGAGCGTGTTGCCCGATCCAACCGTTAAGCGGTTGTCTTGTTCCTCCGCAGCAGTTCAACAGCGCAGTTGGCCACGTCTTCTCTTTGTACGACCGTCACCATTTCGGGATTCCTTTTGTACTTTTTCTTCATGCGGCGTTGAAGAGTCGTGGACCAACTGTGACAAGCTGTCTGGATGGCCTCGCGTCCGTCCAAAGCGTTGGCGGAAGGTGTCAAGCGGCTTTCGATTCGTGGAGCTTTGACATTCTTCGTTAGCGTTCCGTTGTTTCCCTCCTTTCCTCTCTCCCTTCCCCGTTCTGCCGGACTGGTGCTTTCATCAGAACGGGTCTTTCCACGTATCAAAAAGGTTTGTCGGCAGTACCTTCATACCGACAACCAAGGATGAGTTTGTTCCCGTAGACTTGTCTCCGCATCTTTCACACACATGTCATTCTGTTTCGCATCCGTTGCGCATCGCTTGTCTTGTTCCTATTCTCCAAAAAAAGAATCACACCACACATATCACAGCATCAGAAGGCTCACAAAGAGTCCACAGCAATCTCATACACTACCTGTCTCCAAACGGTCGTTTCTATGTGTCTATGTTTGTGTGAGAGCGAGACTTGAGTCCAAGTGAGCGTTGGTCCAGAGTCTGGCTTGAGATCAGATGCAGATGGCCTTGTGGAACTGCAGCTTGGTGTCTAAAGCGAACGTGGCTGGCTGATTGGGGCAGGAAAGGTTGCATTGCCAGAAGGTGGTCTCAAGGCTCTTTAAAGCTTTGAGCCAAAAGAGAAAGCGTTCTGCAACCGCGAAATTTTTGGGATTCGGAGAGCAACACACACTTCTCTGCCTGCACCCGCTCCGCCAATCGCAGCATTCAAGCTATCATCATCCCTTGGCTCTACGCATGCACGAGCATACGGTCCTCTTCCATCTCGAATGAGCTTCCCTACCGTGGCAACAGGTCTGCTTGCATAGTAACACGGCGTAGTATGGGGCCGAGACTGATGTCCTGCCAGCAAACACGACCGGCACGATGAGCGCTCGAGACGTCGACCTCGAGTTCGAGAAGGCATATCAACGCCTCTTCTCTCGATCGACTGGGTCCGAAGGATCTTCAAGTGCCGATGCGAATGTTGGTTCAGCCTCGGCAGCCGAATCCTCGAAAGCGCCACCCCGCCCTGCCAGCTCCTCACCAGCAGCAGCGTCACCTGGACCTTCATCACGCCCCGCCAACGAACGACAACATACACCTCGCGAAGATGCGAGCACACAAGCATTGCTGCGGCATCAGCCCGCGCACAGAACAGCACCTACACCGAGCAGAGGTATTATTCCTGCGAGACCTAAGTCCGTGCCCCGCGAGCGGCCCGCCCAACCAGGTTCATCTTTTGCCGGCCTTGATGCCCTTGCTCGATACAGCAGAACAGACAACTCCAAAGGCAAAGCTCGAGCGCAGTCCTCTCATCTCAACACCCATGAAGATCACGTTCCAAGGAGTAGTCGCAGCCCGCTGATCTCAGATGCGAGTCTACCACAGCAGCAAGCATCGACACCAATACCTCAAGCAAGAGCGGTGACCTACTATCCATATCCTCACGCCCAGGCATCGTATCCAGCATCCGGCGCCTTTGTGGGGCCAAGCTTAACCTCGATACCCGGACAAGCAGTGGCATGGGCGCAGCCCGTCATGTCGGCTGGTCCAATGCCTGCGATGGCATATCCTGGATTCAGTGCCCAGGTCACCTTCTCTCAGCCTCAATTCTTTGCATCACATCCACCGCAGCAACTTCAATCAGCTTTGACTACCTTGCCACAGCAATATACCCATCAGCAAAGCATCCCTGCAACGCCTATAATCCATGCGTCCTCACCACCACAGCTTGTCGAGCAACAGCAACAGCAGGCTAGCACGTCACCGGCTAAACAGCAGCAAGAAGCAGACCCAGCAAAATCGGCCAAAATGACCAAGAAACGGCACAAGACGACCAAAAACATCCTAGAAGCAAAGATCAGAAAGATCTTGCAAGCGTCAGGGCTCGATTTCAGGACGAAGGGTGATACGTCGCCACGTCGTAACAAGGTGACATCGTCGTCTTCTGTCGTAGTGGATGGCTCGCTGTCTCCCAGCGCTCAAGCTAGACACTATGCACAAAGCGTTATGGGCGACTTTCGCGAGAAGCGAAGGGTCAAGCTCAATGATAAGCCGAAGAAGAAGGCAACTAAACCCACCACAAAGCCGCTGCTTGACGATTATGGCAATGTGATACGCAGGAAACGAGGTCGTCCACGTATTCGACCTCTTACTCCGGAGGTCGACGTCAAACCTAAGGTCATCAACGGTTGCATTGATGGCATCCCTCTAGTGAAGACCGAAGCCCAAGATGGAGTGTGGCCTTCTAAGGCTGCGTCGACGTACCCACCAACGTTTGACGGCTCCTTGCCAATGGCAAAGCACGCAGGCAAACCTTTTCGACTCGAAACGTACACGCTGTTCATCCATCAATCACGTAGGTTGCGCTGGTTGGTGCGTCAGGCAATTTCAAAGGTTGAGGTCGGATCGGATACAAGGACGAATTCTCCGCCAGACACAACGCAGTGGGCCAGGTGGAGCAACTCCATCGCTGCGCAGTTGCAAGGGCTTGGTGATGAGCCCCTGCCATCGTCCAACGCTGATACAGCTTCGGCTGGACACTCTTCACCCGCAGCTTTGCAAGCACAGTCACAATCAGATCCTGCTGGCCTCTTCCCACGAGAAAGGCGACGTGGATACGTAGCGTTGCGTAAACAGCTGCATTCAGCTGCTCGAACTGCCACTGCTCGGATCTGCATCCATCGCCTGATCCGATACCTTGCCAAGGTGGGTACTGCAGCTGACAGAATCGACTCGCATGTCGAACGCCGCAAGTATGTCGAGCGGAGATGTCGAGCAGCAAAGCTCCATAAGCACGCGTTTCGCTTCGCTCGGCCTACCACGCTGAATCTACGGAAGATGTGGATTGTCTGGGCTCGCACTGCTCACCAATCAAACCCTAGGAAGGTGGGAACAATGACGGCAGGTCAGCAGCGAAGAGCTTCATTTGCACCACAAATGCAAGTGCAGGAACTTGGTCCACTGCCACCACAGCAACCAGGAGTGCGAGTTAAACTCGAACCTGAATCTCCAACCAAGACTTTGCTCTTCGCACAACCTGCACATCAAGCTAATCTGGTAAGGGTAAAAGCTGAACCCATGTCAGACGAAATAATGACCCCACCACTGCTGACTAAGAGCGTAACGATCAAGTCCGAGCCAGGCATAGAGCCGGCATTGCCCCAGACGCAAAGTGAAAGAACCAATCCGCCGCTCTTCTTACGTCGAAACTTCCGACTCTATCGCTTACTCGGATTATCGAATCTGCCGCTCTCCTAAATGCACTGCATCTTTCGCATTTGTAACATCCCTCACCATCACATTCGCAATCACTCCACACAACCGGTTCCAACCGCACACGCATTCTTCTTGAACCGACTGAGACAGCGTCGTGAAACATTGCAAATCGAACCTATGAACTAAGAATCCAACCCAGCGGCGATCAAATGTTAGCCTTGACCGTTCCACCGTTCTTCAACTCCCTCAGCATTCTCATTACCTCTACCGCCTCTGCGCTTTTCGCGCCATGTTCTTTCGCTTTCTCTTGCACCACACTGTCCCTTGCTCGCATAAACGGGTTGTGCTGTCTCTCATCCCCAATGGTGTAGACTCCGGTGGTTACGCCTGCGTTCCTACGCTCTTTCAGATCTTTGACTAGCTTAGCAATTCCTTTTTCTTCTTTCGGGAGGATTGCGGCCGAGAATGCTACGTTTGCCTTTGTATACTCATGACCACAATACACCACCGTTTCATCAGGCAGTTTGCTGAGCTTGTCCATCGCAGCAAGCATCTCTTCCGGTGTACCCTCGAAGAACCTCCCACAACCAGAAACAAACAACGTATCACCCGTAAACACTCCCTTACCACCACCACCCTCTTTATCTTGGACAAAATAACAAATGTGATCTTGTGTATGACAGGGTGTAGCCAGACACTCGATACCTACTCCCTTCAACAGATCATCTACCCTATCTCCATCTTTCACTTTTTGCGAAAGTGCAGGAATCTTGTCCGAACCACCATAGATAGGCTTGCCAGGATAAGCTTTGGCAAAAGCCTCATTCCCACCCGAGTGATCGTGATGGTGATGTGTGGTGAGAAGTCCAACTACGCCATCCTTAGAAATGTCTAGCTTAGTAGCTGCAGCCTCAACAGCAGGAATGTCGTACGCATCCACAAAGACAGCAGAGCCATCGACCGAGGATTGAAGGATATAGGCATAGTTATCCTCTCGAACTGGGACCGGGTGGATTTTCATTTTGATCAAACAGAGCGAAGACGCCGAGAAATTTCGAGCCAAGTTAGAGGCAGAGTGGGTGGTGATTGGAGATTGGAGAATGGTTGAGCGCGAGAGTAGCCTTGAAGCTCGTGTGAGGATCATTGAGGGATGCTAATGGTGAGGATAAACGTTGCACACGACACAGCGGGACAAGTCACGGCTAAGCATTTCTCAAGTGTGTCAGCAGAGAGGGTGCTCGGGCCAACCAAATTGTTCATATTGGCGAGATCGTGCAGTGCAGCCTTTGGGCCTTCGCCGGCGGATTTACTCCACACAAAATCGGGGATGCTGTCACCGCTATCGGGTGCGTTCTCCTGACGATGCTTCGATATCAAGGTGTCAGTCACTGCCATCAAGATTCACCCACATTTTTACCTCAGTAGTCTGCCTTCACACGAAGAATGGTACTGAGACACGCAGATGAAATTGAGTTGCAATCAAGACATGAAAAATGTGTTATGAATCACATTACACTACATCCCCTAGCATCATCATCATTACCATCATCTTCATCTTCATCAGTCTCCACTCCACCATCTCCCGCGCTCCTCTCCGGCACTATCACCCTACTCCATCTCGCACCCCTCGTCTGCTGACCTGCACTTGTCCCCCTCTCAAACCCATTCCCGAATCCTCCACTAGCTGTGGCGATAGGACGCCCAAAAGCCATAGCCACAGCACTACTAACCTTTCCCCTCCCTCCTCCCTGTCTCCTCAAATGAGTAATTGCACGTTGTTCCGCCTTCTTCTTCTGCTTCAATCTCGCATCTACCGATTGCCAGCCCCAGAAACTCTTAAGCACCGCCTTGAGATCGTTACATTCATCATGGCCCCTCTCCCTGCCGTCGAGCGAGGTTCGTAGCGATCCGCTGCTGCTGGGAACCATCAAACTCGTGTTGTTCTGCTCTGTTCCCTTCCTCAACCCTAAAACAGCGGAGCTGGGTTCGGCATCATCATAACTAAACCCTCTAAACGCGAAACCTCTGCTCCCCCTTCTAGGCCTAATCGCACTCTCCCCACCATCCGCTTGAGTCAGACTCGAATACGTATCCCTTGAAAACGACCTACAATCAACCAAACTTAAATACGCATTCCTCACCTTCCTATATCGCGCAAGCTGCACAAATTGCATTGCAACCTCGTTATCCGCATGGGTATCGTCCACTTCCAGATGCATGAGATGCGGGCACCGGTTGATGAGCAAGAGCATGGCTTCAGCCGTAAGATGGTTGGCTGAGGATAGGATGAGATGGGTGAGATGGGTGCCAGTGGCAGGGATGAGGGCGGAGACTGCTTCCTGGTCGTATGACGGTGGCGTTGCGTCTTCGGGGGTTGAAGATGGTTGTCTGCGTCGGTTGGCGGATCGACGGGATATGCCGAGAAGCGAGCCTCGTGGTCGGGTTCCGTTCATGAGTGTGTCTCTGTCTGGTACGGCGTGGCCGAATGCTTCGGCGTGCGATTCGGGTGGGGTTAGAGCTGAGAGTACTGCGTCTGTAATCTGTGTTGCTCGTTCCAGATCAAGTTTCTGCAGCTGAGGCACCGTAGCAAAAAGCTTGACTAGACCCGCATCCTTGAGCCCAGCCCCAATGTTGGCCATCTCCAACACCTCGAGTTGAGGTACAGTGTGGGAGAGCGACATGCATGTGCGATCTGTCAACGCACGACAGCTCGACAGGTTCAGACTCCTCAAATGAGGGAAAGCCCTGCGCACAACTTCATCATCCCCTTGGCTACCAGCTTGTCTCGGAGTGAGCGTAACAAATCCACCCTTCTCACTGACCACATCGTCCTCACTACTGACCAAAGCCGCAATAGCGGCATCATTGACATCACTGCAGTAGCTGATGTCGAGAACTTCCAGATTAGGCCAGTGCCTGCCGAGCTGAGCCAATGTTTCTTTGTCCAAACCAGCAACTCCTGCCGCATGGAACTCGCGGAATCTCGAAACCATATTTCGCTCCTTGAGAACAGCCGGAATGTTGTTCTCGCCCTGCTGAATAGTGAAGATTGCCCGAATGCCCTCTCCGTCTACCCCACGGCAGCGGCTGATGTCAAGATAATCGAGATGGGTAGCTGTCGCAGCCAACATGCACAACGTCGTATTGTCGACACAGGGCAAGCTTCCCAAGTTGACCTTCTTGAGATTTGGGCATCGAGAGAGCACCATATTGAGCGCACTAGTCGAGATTTGTCGGCATCCCTCAAGATCCAGCTCCTCAAGCTGGCATGCAGCAAAAGGCACGCTTGTCGACGTCGATGTGGCACCTTGCAGCTCGTACTCTGTCAATGACCTCGGACGTTGTGCCTTGGACAAAGGGAGCAACACACTTGACCTTAGACCTGCATGACCGTGCAAGTCCAGTCTTCGCACAAAGGGGCCGACAGCCTTGGCAATACTGATCATCGCTTCTTCAGCCATGTCTGGGTATTTGGAGAATTCGAGATGCTGCCAAAGCTGGCCGTCAAGCACGTAACTCTGCCACTTGCGTGAGACACGGCTCAGACGAGCGAGTTCGCGGAAAGCTGCTTCTGCACCTACGTAACGTGTCTCGCTTGACTTTTGGCCACGCCAGATGCCCTTCTCGACAGCTACATGGTGTTCTTGAACATGCAGATCGATGAGGTTCTTGAAAATGGACAGGATGATCTCTCTAGGAAGCTTTTGCATTGGGTCTGGCTTCTTTTCAATGCTCTGCCTAGGATTGATAAGAACGGGGTTGCCTGAAGCAACCGCATCGACTCCAGCTTGCGGACTGCTTCGAGCGGCGTTCATCAAAGTCGGGCGTGCAGTCGAGTGAGAATGGACCCGAGCAGAGATGAGGGTCTCGTTGGAGATGGGAGAGATGACCTCTCGCAACACCGTGCGTGACGTTGCGGATTCGCCAGCCTCTTCTGTATCTTGCTGATGGACTTCCTCGCTCGGTGTGGCCGGGCTTGCGCTGCTACTGTCGCGGTCTCGGTTGATCGAAAAGATGTCTCCGAGACTCCTCAGGTTGACGGTACGGCTTCGACCTTTGCGCAGAAGGCTAGGTCGAGTTGGTGTTGTCGCACCGCTTCGACTAGAAGAGTAACCGCATGTGAACAGGCCACTGTTAGGAGCCGAGCTGACAGTGCCACGACTGAGTGGGCGTGACTCGCCACTGTTTCTCCTGGAGGAGGAGGAGGAAGACATTGCTGTTCTGAGCAAAGGGGAGGCATTCGAATGCCACTGTCCTTCTGTTGTTGCACCTGCACTTGTCGATGGTCGGATTCTCGGAGCCATGGCCGTGCGAGCACTGCTATCAGCAGCACCGGCGGTCGAAGGTCTCGAAGAGGCAGGTCCAGGAGGACGAGGAGCAGGACCCATTCGAGCACCGTCCACGTATGCGGTCGCAGTGTAGTTGCGAACTTCGATGCGTCGTCGTCCCTGTGACTGAGTCAGATTTGGCGCACTGTCGCTTCTGACGAAGGGTACCCTACTCTGGTAGTGTGCAGTGGCATAGGGACCCTGAGAGCTGGAAGAAGCGTCTGGCGTCTGCGTGCCTCGTAGACGACTTTGCAAAGCTGGAGGGAGGTTGAGCTTCTTGGCGATACGACCCGACAAGAAGCGGTTCGCAGCTGCTGCGCGGAAAGCGGACGTCTTGGATCGAAAAGTGCTTCCGGATTGGTGCGACAAGGGTGGCGTGTATTGAGGTGCTTCCTCGTAGTGAGGCAGCGTCTCCTCAGGGTACAGCGGTGACATAGGTGTGGCAGAGGTGTCGTGCCTTGGCTCAGCTGCGTCCTCTTCCTCGGTGGCCTGTGCATTCGCCTCGTTTTGCGTCGGCTCTTCCGACGCTGAGACGAATCTGGAATGGCCTGCCTCGATCGTGTCTTCGAGAGTGTCTCGCTGCACTGCGTCGACGGTCCTCACTTGGATCTGAGAGGACTTTCCCGGCCTGGGACTTGCTTCGGGAGATCCGAAATGGAAGCTGGTAGCATCAGTAGAGTTGGAAGTGAGCGAGCTTGGACCGAAGAAGTCGTACATGTTGGCAGAGCCCAGCGAGGATTTGGCTCGAGCGTGAGAGTGTCGGCCACGGTGATCATTGCAAGACGAGGGGCTCCGAGAATTGTCAGAATCGGCGCGCTGGGAATTGTTTGCTCTGGCAGGGATGTCCATCGGTTCGGGTGCTCGTGAAGAGGATGCCTCGCCTAGCACCATTGCCTCTTTGTTGTGGAACGATGCCGACTGCGAGAGTGCCTCGGCGTCGCAGGCCTTTTGCTTGCCCTTGTCCATAGTGCTTATCAGCTAGGTGTGACGTTCTATAATGGTAGGAGGTACTTGCGGAGCTCGTGTTCAGCTCCGTTGTGAAGAAACGATGAACGAAGGCCTTATCGGAAGGCCCGATGATGACCTGACTTAATGTGATGAAGGCGTGTGATATGGGGGCGCTACTTGGCAACGAGGAGGTTCGATGGTGGGGATGTGGTGAAGAGAGAAGGCGTGAGAGCAATGAGGCAGGGTCCAGTTGCGAGCTCTCTCGTGGTCACAGACTGGCGGAACTGCCGAAGTGCATGACATGACAGGGCAGGGCAAGGGCAGGTCAGGAGCGGCCAAGCAGCAACGGTTGCGGAAGGGCGCCGTGATAGAAAGCAAGAGCAGACCAAAGTTACAAGTCAAGTGTGTGATGTGTGATGTGTGATGTGTGTGTACATTCCGGACGAAAAGCGGGACTAAATACATGTTATAAGAGGCTAAGGGCAGAGGAAAGAACCTAGGTCCGTCACACAGTTCTTCGAGTCTGATTGAATGCAGAGCCGGCTATTCTTCCGATTGAGGGACTATAAGCAAAGCCGACCGAAGCCTTTCCGGCTCGAAACCGCCTATGAAACCAACACCCACACAGACAAACACACACACGAGAAGCTCTGGCCAAATGGAAGCCTTAAGAGCTGTGATGCTCGCCTCTCTTAAGTTGCATCCCACCTCTGTCTCGCTAGCTAGCCTTTTCTCGCGCTATCTGAATGTGACTTGTGACTGTCAGCAGTCGGCTCGCTCAATCCTCCACCTTCGCCAAAGTCACACTTTTTACGCTTTGACGATCGAGCAACGCTAATCGGCATTTCACAAAGAGTGCGGAAACAAGTTTATGATGCTAAGCTCGCCGGCTCCAGCTTCCGCACAGCATTGCGCCTTGTTGCCTTATCTGCTTTCTGCTTTCTCAACGTTGAAGAGACTTGAGAATGCCACTTTGAGACAGACAAACGGGACGAGATACCGCTCAACGCCTTGTGCGTTCGGGAACAAAAGACAGAAGCAAGGTCAGCCCGGCTTCCACCTTCGCTTGGGAAAGAGCATAGCTCGCAAGTGCAAAGGGCATCTGTTCCCATACTCGCCCTTTTGTGATTGAACCCTGAATTCCTATCGTTGACGGGCGGGCCACTTTCCTTTTCAGACAGCGGCCAGCTCCCGCGCAAAAAAGCACTTTTTTTTTTTTTTTTTTTTTTTACTTTTATTTTATTTTATTTTTTAAGAAAACTCATTCGACCTCGCTCCTGTCCCCATCGGGAGAGCTTCGTTCTCTTGGCCTTGTGCAGCAGCAGCAACGTTATATGTAGCTCCGGGACTTTTCTCCTTCGCTCTATCGGTCTCGGAACCGGCGCCGAAAGGGACGAATCGGGTGGTACTGGCAGTGCCCGTCAATGATGAGTGCAACTAAAAGTGCACGACTCGTCAAGACAGCTGTCGCGCTTGGCAATGCATGCACGATAAGGCAGGTCAAGAGGCAGGGTCTGCGCCTAAGGGAACCGTGGCTTCACTTCGAGCTTGGATTCTGCACAAAAACGCGAGAGTTTGAGCTTGTCCGAATTCGAACCGTCTCGAACTGAAGCATAAGACAGTCAGTCACACCTTTGCTCTGCGCCAAGCTGAGCCAGCTGGCGATACTACGTCTGCTGTACACGTCACCTCGTCAGTACCATCTGCAGCTGGGGTGAAGAACAAGCTGAGCTTGGATGAGCTTCACCGTCAGTCTTACTTCGAATCATTCTCACCAACCGGTCTCGATCGATGCGCTTCTTGCTTGAGCTTTGACATGGTCATTCCTAACAATGCCGAAGCCGACACACCCCGACTCACTTTCAACGGCTGATCATAGGCAGACAAGGAAGACCGAAGTAGGAGTACCGTCTCCGATGAGCACAAGGCAACGCTTCGTCCAGCAGCTGCCCAAAATCGAGCTCCATGCTCACCTAAACAGCTCGATTCGTCGCTCGACCCTCCGCGAGCTGGCTGCTACCAAAGGTGTTGACCCGAACAACGCCTTCATCCTGTCAAGATGGCCAAAGACGCTCAGCGAAGCATTTGATGTCTTTCGTGTCATACACTCGTGCGTCACCACTCTGCAAGATGTCGAGAGACTAGCATTCGAACTTGGTCAAGATCTGGAGGAGGATGGTGTGGTGTATGCTGACATTCGCACTACTCCACGGGCAATGTCTCTGGCGTCTGGGACTGCTACAGAGGTAGACCCTCTCGACCAATACATCAAGGCGGTGCTCAGGGGCTTCTCACGCTACACTGCCCAGGATCCGGGCCCTAATGCAAGAAAGGTCATCTTCAGACTCTTACTCTCGATCGACCGCGCAAAGCACTCTCCCACTCAAGCTCGTACAATAGTCGACCTCGCTCATCGCTACCTCAACAGAGGCGTAGTCGGTATCGACCTTTCAGGCGACCCTACAAAAGGCCAATGGTCCGACTTTGAACCATCTCTCATCCATGCTCGACCATTAGGTCTCAGAATCACCTTGCATGCAGGAGAAGTCAAAGACCGAGACCAAGAGATGACGTACATGCTTGACTTTCATCCAGATAGGTTCGGTCATTGCTGCTTTGTTTCGGACGACAACCTAAAGAGACTGAAAGAGTCAAAGATTCCGATAGAGCTGTGTTTGACAAGCAACTTGCTTTCCAACTCGGTGGCCGAGTTGAAGGATCATCATTTTGGTTTGCACTACAAGCCTTCGAGTGGAGGAGGGGGAGATTCGACGATCTGCTGTATCTCGACCGACGATAGCGGGGTGTTTGGCAGTCCCTTGTCGAAGGAGTACAAATTGATGATGCAAACCTTTGGGTTGACGGAGATGGAGGTGTTCAACTTAGCTAAACGGACACTTGAGGCTACCTTCCTAGCCCCGGCGGCGACATCCGAAACGAAAGAGAGGAAAGGATTGGATCAGGATCAGGAAGAATGGAACAGCATATTAGCTGCGTATGATGACTTTTACGCCTCTTGGAATTGGAACTAGATCCCCACCACAGCAAGTGTGGAGACACAACAAAAGGACATCCCCCTCATCACTCGATACACATCAATGGAATTATCAGAATCACAACCAAAAAAAAAGTCGTATGAGACCAAAATCATATTGTGTGCGTGTGCTTTTTGAATATTCTTACAAGATTAGCTGAAGCCCATGCTGTCGACGTGCACTAGCGACGAGGCACACGACCACGCATAGCCTTCTGCATAGTACCCGGAGGAGCCTTGGGACCGGGTTGAGCCTTCTCACTCGCCTGGTTCCTAATCGTCTCGTCCACACTCAGAATCAAGCAGGCAGCCTCGGCTGCACTCTGCAGGGCATTAATCCTAACCAGACTCGGCTCCCAGACGAACTTTTCCATCAAATCCGCCGTATCTTCTGCATCAATATCGATTCCTTCCCACTGAGCTCCCTGAGCATGCTTCATCCTCAACCTGTTCAACAGATCCGTAGCATCAAACCCAGCGTTATCCGCCAACTGCCTGGGAATGCATTCCAAACTCTTTGCAAATGCACCAATGATCAACTGTTGTTTACCCTGAATAGTCCTCGAATAGTCGCGCAGGTACTTGCTCAACTCCATCTCCGTAGCACCACCCCCTGCAACAACGTGGGAACTCTTGATCGCGCGTCGTACGATCATAATCGCATCGTGCAAACTCCTTTCCACTTCTGCAATGAATTGTTCCGCTCCACCTCTGAGGATAAGCGTACAAGTCTTAGCCTCAGAACATTCCTCGAAAATGTTGAATCGTTCACCACCAATCTGACGCTCTTCAAACTTGCCACAAGTACCCAAGTGCCTGTCGGGGTTGATATCCGAACAAGTAGACTGAACAGATCCACCAACAGCTTGCACTACCCTCTTCATATCATCCGCAGGAACTCGTCCAGCGCAGAAAATATCCCGATCCGCAAAGTACTGCGTAGCCAAATCACCAATTGGCAACTTCGAAAGGACAACTTTGGCTCCGGTCTTGACGATAGCTTCGAGCTTGTTAAAGATGATTTGCCATTCTGCGTCTACGACGGCTTGGTATTCGGAAACTTCGTTGATTCGAACTTCCGCATTATCCTTTTCCGCCTTGAGTTCGAGTTCGACGTTCAAGCAAAGAACTTTAGGATTCTTGAACGACTTGGGTTGTTGTTCAAATCCAGCATAAGCAAAAGTCTTTTTGAAAGCAACACCGTTGACGAGCAAGGAATCTTGCATGCCTCCACCGGGAACCTTCTTCATTCCAATCAAGCTCTGATCTAAATCATCCTGGTCGAGCGAAGTAACAGCATCGACAACCATCTTGCTGAAGAACGGACGCTGAGATACGATGAGCTTGGAAGACATACTGGTTCCGGCACACTTGATCAGGAGATCACGGAAAGCTTGCTTGTCGGACTTGTCGATGGTGACAGCCATCTCTTTGATTCGGTCTACGGCGAGTTGCACGGCTTTGCGATAGCCCTTGATGATGATATGTGGCGCAACACCTTCCTCGATGAAAGGCTTGGCTTCTTTGAGCATCTCACCCGCGAGCAAAACGACCGAGGTGGTACCGTCACCAACCTCAGCATCCTGCGCACGGGCAATGTCAACCAAAGTCTTAGCAGCAGGGTGGACAATGTCGAGAAGCTTGAGAATGGTAGCACCGTCGTTGGAGATGGTAGCTTGGCCACGCTCGTTGACGATCAGCTTGTCCATACCACGAGGACCCAGTGTCGATGCAACGCAGGAGACAATGGAAGCGCAAGCACCAATGTTGTGGAGAAGTTGCGAAGTGCCTTGCGACACATCGGTGTCCTCACGAAGGAGGATGATGGGTGCGTTTGGCATCATGCCGCCGAGTCTGCCCGCCATGGTGGATGTAGTACTGTGTGCTGAAGAGCTTCGTAGTGGAACTCTTCGATGCTGGGAATATGGTTGTGCTGAAAAGACGTGCGATCCTCACTTGTGCTCCTGGAGGCTGGTGACGAAGTTGGATGCCAGCTGTGTCAAAGTCGAAGAGAGGGGGTTACAGAAGAGTCGAAGAAAAGCTTCGCGGATCCTCTTGAGCAGTGTTGAGTGTAGATGGAGGTAGCAAAAAGATGGTGTTGCGATCCAAAGCAACAGAAAGCGAAGATCTGTGCAAAGTTAGCGTGCGTGTTGGTCTTTGTGCTTCTTTGTTCTCTTTTGGCTGATGCTTCTCGCACGACTTTGACTGAGAGGCTCAGCACCGCGATTTTTTTCCTCTTGAGTGTGGTGTGCGGTGCGTTGCGTCAACTCAACTCACTCTTCGCGGTTCACCATTTCTTCTTGCAGCTTCTAAAAAAACTCGACTCTGACGGCGCGCGACCCTTTTTCTTCTCGTGTTTGATCGAAGCCTCGTCCTTTTTTTTCAGATCTGTTAGTGTCCCAAAGCTTAACAAAGAGAACATTAGTTTGGCCCGCTTTCGCCGAGAAGACCCCCAAAGGCTTGTAACTGATAAAAGGTGAGGAGGACAGGTGCCGATGATCAACGATCGCCGATGGTCAGAGCACAGTACCACTGCTATTTAGGGCAGAAACACTTATACTCGATTGACTGAAAGAACGTGGTGAGAGCCTAGTGCTCTCAGCTCGATATATATACATCTGGGTGGCACATGCCGAATGTGGGTGTATCCTACTTAATGACGAAGTCAACGAGCGGGACTCAGGTTGTACCCGATCTCTGATCAGATCGACTTTGCCCGATCTCTTCCGTATCGGCTTATGTCAACTTTCATCATCATATTGGATCGTTACCTTCGGCAGTAACTCGCTAGCACGCATCGGCACTCGTGGTGTAGCAGAAGTTCGAAATATCCATTACATGAATCGTATCTCATATGAAAAAGTGCCGTGCTCTAAAGCGTCCAATCCTCGACCCAGTGATCAGGCATCAACAGCAGCGCCTTATCAATAAACGTCAGGAACCTCGTTCTGTAATCCGGCGGTGTGATGATCGTTGGCTCTCCCTTACCTGCACCACCCAGTAGCGCTGTCTCCTTGACAAAGCTCTCTACCCTCTTATCCCATGTATATGTCCGCACAAAGTCAATGATACCCACCACAAGCTGCTTGCTCTGCCTATCAACTCCCACCATCAGCGAGTAATCCATCACATTCATGTCCGCCAAGAAGAGCGAGTCGTTGTATAGACTTGCACGTAGCAGCTTCTTCGAGTGTTCGCGGATGAAGATCGGATTGAGATGGTTGGTCTCGATCAGGTTCTCGTCGAGGAGCACCTCGCTGTCTTTGCCTGTTTCTGGGACGTAGCGATTGCGTGTGCTTCCTTTGAGATCGTACGATCGGATGCCTTCAAGACCGTAGAAGAGGTTCTCCATCACAAAGCAGTCCAACTTGATGCTTTTGCCTGTTTGAGGATTGCGGAAGCCGATTCGGAAGCAGCCAAAGATCTTGGCCAACGCTGTCCTCCGTCCTCGCGAAAGGCATTGCGACATGTAGGCAAAGTACTGAGGCGCAAACTTGGAAAAGGCATCCATCTCGAATCGCGAGAGCTGCTTGACAACGAGTCGATGATCGCGCGTCTTGAGGAACGCTGACCCTGACTTGCCACCAGACGAGTCCCATTTGAAGCAGCGTGAGAGTGACTCGACCACCGACACGTCACATGCACACGTCCTGCGCAGCGCATCAAACTGCTCAGCGAACAAGATCTTGCACCAAAGCCGGGTCGATCCGGACTCGAACTCGCAGCGGAAGTGTCGACCCTCCTTCTTGAGCGTGCCCTCGAGCTCATTGGTATCCATATCGACGATGCCCCATCCGTCCGTCGAGCCATCAACACTTGGTTTGTCATGCATCGAAGCTTGATCCTTCTCCTTGACCCATGGCGTCTCATTGCGCATCCCCTTCAGCCGCTCCTTGTACTGCGTTGAGCTCAAGGTGAAAGAAACGATCGATGTAGGCTCGTCTTCACGGAAGATGATATCCGAGTCCGCAAAGACGTGCTCTGAGTTGAGCATCGGATACTCGAGCGGCACCATCTCGCCTGTGCGGAAAGCCCAGAAACCAGAGAGTGTCTTGAGGAAGCTTCTCTCGAGACTTGGCATGAAGTCCGAATCGGATGTGAAACCGCTGCGGAGGTAGGATGGCAATGTGAGCTGCGCACTGTTGTTGGTGGTTGCCAAGGAGGAAGGAGCAATCGACTGTGCATCTGACTCGAGCTCGCTCACAGCAGGAAGTGAGATGTTTGTTGCTCGGCCAGTCTCTTGGCTGGCAATTGTGCAAGCGTCATCAACGAGCGAAGAAGAAGTTGGCGTCGCCGCAGTGGCTGCAGTCGTCACAGAAGCAGAAGGGTCGATGTCTGCACCATTGGTCTTGGCAGAAGAGGATGTCGGAACGCGTGTTCCCTTGATCGTCGAGTCTCTTTCGCCTTCCTTGCCCTTGCGCGCCAATGCAGACTGCTTGATCGAATCGCCGCCCTCTTGCTGCCCTCCATGCTTGCGAGCCTGATCCGAGCTGGTCCTCTTCCGCTGCTTGGCGAGTGCATGGCTCTGCGGTCGATGGCCCAGTGTCATAACCAGACCATTGCGTTTAGCTCCGAAGCTGGTCGCTTCCGTAGAAGCGTCCTCATCCGAGTCGTCGTCCTCGTCAGCTTCGCTCTCGTCGTCGGCAGATGCACCATCATCCTCGCTGTTCTCTACAGCTGAGTCGGGCTCGCTCTCGTCATCACGAACGGCTTCTCGTACGCTACTGAACACCTCGACTCTGGCTCGAGTCATGGCGACGGGACGAGCTCGCTTGGCTCTCTGTGCAAGCAAGAGACGATGCTGTCGTTCACGCTCCCTCTCTGCCTCCTTGCTGATGCGATCAAAGTGCTTCGCGATGGTCGAGACGCGACTGCGAGTTCCAGGAGCGTTCTCGCCCCTTCGTGCCACTGGCACACGGCTACCGGCAATGCGACTGCTTCCCGCGCCATCAGACTGGTAAGCACCACTCTGACTTCGGTTGCCTGTCGCAGCGGACGCTGCAGAGGTAGCTGAGGCAAGTGCAGCTGCTGCCGCTGACGCTCCTGATCGTCCGATGATGGCACGCGGTCCAGCTTTGAGCCCTTCACCCTTTGGCGGCCTGTAGCTGGATGGGGGAGGAAGCTGAGCACCCTTGACTGGTGTCGCTGATCCGCTCCTGCTTCCAAGCGTCGCGGTGGAAGTGCTGGAATCGCTTCGTTTGGCTCGAGGGAGACGACTGCCGCGGCCATTTGCATTTGTAGCCGTGGTGGGCGAGTTGGCATTCGAGTCAGGTCCGTTGTCGTGCGATGCTGAAGCCTTGCGACTCCTCAAAAGCTCTTTGGCGTGAGTCGACACCACTTCTTCGGTCTTGCCGCGACGCAGGCTTGGACGCCGGATAGAGCCATTGACACCCGCTCGAAGGGCAGCTGCATCGGTCGAGCCAGCCTGGCTAACTCCTGCGCCGGAGCTGGAAGCAGGCAGACCTGTAGTGTTGCGTCTCGGGCAATCGAAGCGACGAATCAGGCCAGTCACCGAGCCGACCAGCTCGCTCTCTGTGCATGAGCTCTCGTCTGCTCGTGGGTAGCCAGCCGGATCGAACAAGCCTCGAGACTTGCCATAAGTCGGTGAAGCAGGTGCCGTCACTGAGTTGGAAAGCGCTCGACGGCTGATCATGGGACGCACCTCGACTGGCGAGAGGTCTGCCGCATCTGTCTCGTCGTCAAAGTTGCCGTCGCAATACTTACTTGTGTCCGCACGGCCCACCCTGTTGAGCTGAGTCGGGACAGTCTTAGATCGCGAGACCGCTTCCGACGCATTGTCGCCGTTCGCATCAGTCTGCACCGGGGCCGGCACAAGCTTGCCAGACTCTCCCAAAATGGGGGGCACCTCGCTGGCTGGCGTATCGACAGTATGTGTGACCAAGTCAGATAGCATCGGCACTAGCGACAGGTCTGCACCTGCCAGCGCGAGAGCTTCAGCAGCTTGCATGTTTGCACTCCCTGCGTTGGTTTTGTTTGCCGACTTGGACTTCTCCTGATCCGCCTTCTCTGCATCACGGCCTTTGGGTTTACTTTCAGCAGCGTCTGTCGAACTCTCGTCGATCTCAGCAGCAGGCGGCAGAATGCTCGAGCCCGTTTCGGACCTCGCCGCTTCTGACGGATCCTTCTCTGAGAACAATCGCTTGAGATGCGTGGTCGTGATTCGACGAATGTCCTTCTCGGACGGAATGCAGTTCTTTTCGAACTCGATAAAGTCAATGTCCCACTTGACCACCTTCTCTTGCAACATCCTACGCGCTTGGTTGAGACACAGAACATCAGTCGCCGGACTGAACTCGTAGAGCTCAGCAACCAGCACTTCCACCTCGCGACGGTCCAGCTCGCATCTCTTGATCATCTCAGAGATAATGGCTCTGTTCTTGTCGCGGTTAATGCCAGCCGCTTCGGAGCATGCATCATTTCCGAATGCACGAATGCGCACCATGACACTGTCCCAGTAAGCCTGACTCTTGCGGACGAAGGCAGCCGTCTCCTCGTTTTTGATGTTGCACTGTACTTCGGGGTTGATGAAGAGCTTGAAGTGTGGCATTGTGACCTCGAAGAGATCGTCAACCTCCTCGGAGTGGAAGCGCACTGCCATGTTCTGGTAGGCAAAGTAGCGCACCTGGTCCCGGTAGAAGTCATGCTCGCACAGTTGGGTCTTGCAGTGATCGTGTCGGTAGAAGTAGAGCTCGAGATACTTGGCAAAGCTGAAACTCCAAGTCTCGGCGGTTACGAGCGCAACAGGCGTGGCATTCTCGCAGACCTTGCAGTAGCTCCAACTGAGCAGCCTGTTCTCCTCGTTTGGCAGTGGACAGACGAAGCGTTCGAGAACCACCTGGATGCGAATGCGATTGTGCACAAATGTGATGTAGTGCAGCACGTTGTTCTTGGCGCAACCCTTTGTTGCGCAGCCCTTGGCACTGTTGGCAGCCAAACGCTCGATGTGCTCGCCGAGCGTCTCATCATGCTCGCCATAGAACTCGATCGACGCGAGACTGGGCCCCTCACACGGTCGGGGTGTGAGCGTGCAGTGACGTGTAACGATGAGCTGGATGCGCTTGTGGTTGAATGGCGAGACCGATTCGGGCTGGATGTCGAGATAGCCTCCCCACTCCATCAGCGAAGCCCGATGTCTGTCGACCGTAATTGCGAACTCGGAGTCTTTGGCAATCTGTGATGGCACCTTCAGAAGCGCGAAGAGGTCGAAGACGGGCAATTGCTCCTGCTGCTTGATGGTGTTGAGCGAGGATGCTGTGCTTGGAGCCACCGTCGCAGTGGACGGTTGACTTGTATGAGAGAGGATCAAGCCAGGACCAGGCGAGGTTGTACGAGTCGGCACCTCGGAGGCAGGCGCAGAGACAGATCTGCTGATCGACGTGTCAGCTGATGCAAGACTCTGTGCAGTATCGGACGCAGCTGAGATCGATGCAGCGCTGTTTGCATCCTTCTGCCGATTCTGCACAGGTGATGAGGGTCGAGGTGTAGGTGTAGTCGTGTTAGGCCCGCTTACCGCGGGACTGGCCGTTTCGATCGTGACCGTTGCGTCGCTAGCTTCCCGTCTCTGAGAGGCAGACTCAGTCACGTCTACATTTGCCTTCTCTCCGGCCTGAAGCTGCTCCAGTTGAACTGACGTAGGGACTGGCTGCGGTGTCGAAGAGCGAGGAGATGAGGGCGATACGTCCGAGCTGCTCTCTTCACCCTCTTCGACGATGGTATCGTGGATGCGAGCACCAGGCACTTCGTACTTTGGCGTCAGGTCTTCGGCAGATGGAGATTCCATCGGCGCCTCGACTTCAGCTGCATCTCTCGGCGAGATGCCCGCAGAGTCACTCGTCTTAGTCGGCTTCGGCGTGGGAGTGGAGTCGTCGTCCACTGCTTTCGCATCCAGCACAGCGTCATCAGGGAGCTGGTTAATAGAAGCTGGTGGTGTCAGAGCTCTGTCCTGTAGCCTGCCCTCATCCTTCAGAATCCTTTGCAGCTCTTCTGCCTCTTGTTGCGCCAGCAGCTGCATGAGACGATCGTTGACGCGCTTCAGCTGCAGAATGGGATAAGGTGCAGGGATCTGGATGCAGACGGAAGAGGTGATCAGCGTCGTCTCGTAGATGCTGAGAGCTCGCAGGATACGAGCACGCGACTGCAGCATGAAGGTCTTGTCGTCACCAACTCGACCCAGCTGACTCGATGCCTCCTCGCCCATCTCGAAGTCACGCTCAGCTGCCAGGCGCTTGAGCTCATCAGCAGCACTGTTCGAGGTGTCTGCCTCGACGGTGCCACATGGATGCGATCCATTCAGAAGACTGCTGTCAGAGTAGATGGTCTCCATAGCAGCACCTTCGTCAGCCATGACGTGGCCTTCCAAGCGCAAGTTGTAGGCGACAAAGATCATCATGGCCAGAATTTTCTTGACACTACTGAGTCTATCACCGTCGGCACCACGCAGCACGATGGTACAGCCGAGCTGCTTGGGTGTGCCTTCAAAGCGCATGAAGCTCTTTCTCCACGCCGGCGCAGATGCATGCTGGAAGGTCTCGACGTTGAAGTAGCGGCATCGGCCGATGCGTGGGTCAAGGGCGAGTCGATCAATCGAAGTAATAATGTCGGCCTGGGTGCATCTACTGATGGCTCGGATCGCATCCGCCTTGACGCTCCAGACGACGACGATGCCTTCCTTCTCCAACAGCTCGAGGGCGATGCGAGAGACTGTCTTTTCGACGACGACAATCTGCGGACGCAGGGCAATGATACGGGCCACGAGAATGCGGATGAACTCGTGCTCCTGCGCCATGAGTGGCTCAAGCGACATGAACTGGTTGGGACCGCGGTGATAGTCGAGTGGGAAGCAAATCACGATGATGCGTGCGTTCGTCAGCGGGATTCGAGAAGCCATGCGCTTTGTAGCGACGTGCTTTGTACAGACGTAGCCGTCGACGTACTCGGAATCGTCAGGCTTGCCTCCAGGGATGCGCTTAATCTTGACGAATTCGCCAATGTCGCGACTCTGATCTTCGCGTGCATCGGGCTTGACACGTGAGATGGTGGTCAAGACGAAGGGCAGAAGCACGTCGCACCATTTGCGCTCGTTATGGATACCAGATTGCCTTAGAGTCTGTGCCATCATCTTTCGGAGATGCTCGAGCGCACGATGTGTGATCGATGCCTCCAGCAGTGCTGGTGTGATGCCTTCAGAGCAGATGCGGAGCTCGCGATAGAATTCCGGGGTTTCATTGTGGTCTACCGCGACTTCTTCATCTTCGTGGGGATGCTGCAACGGAGGAACCGGCGACTCGTTGCGACCGTTGCCATGGAAGCGGGATCGGATCAAAGCACTAGCTTGAGAGGGGTCAAGGGAGGCAATAGTCCGCAATGAACGCATGCGAGAACGAGTGACGGGTCGTGACGTCTCACTGACTAGACGTAGACGTGGGTAGTCAGAAGTGGACTGAATGGCCGATGGAGTGTCATTCACAGATGGTCCCGAGGACGGGAAGACTACACCTGCAGTGCCATCTTTGACCTTGGACGAACTTGACGCTGCGGGCTGTGCGGGAGCAGCTGAGTTCGCTGGTGATGGCACAGCTGTCGAGGCAGTATCGTTGATATCTGGCGTCCGATTCTGAGGCGTATGATGCGAAGAGCCGACAGCGGAGGAGACGCGTTCGATGTTGGCTTCTGTGAGCTGAGAAGCGGCTGGCTGATCGTCTTCTGGGTCTGGCTCGGCAGGTACCAGCTCTTCTTCATCCATACCTTTACGGAAGGGTGCCACTGGGGTCGCGTCCGGCTTGCGTTTGCGTGCCTGCTCTGTTGCATTGGCCTTCTTTTGCCCTCCTGTAGTGCCGTTGTGCGCCTCCGTCCCTGCAAAAGAGTCATTGTCAGCGAATCCAAAAGATGCTGATATGCTCTGATGTATGCCAGCACTGAACGAGGATGGACCTGCCGATGCACTGGCAAAGAGGTGATTTGCCGCAAACTGCGCCTGTGGACTTTGGATCTGCGCTTCCAGAGGTGCTGAGATCATGTCCTTATCTGGTTGGACTCGATTCGGATTCTTGCTGGCTCTTTGAGCGACGTTGAGCTTTTGCTGATGCTGACCTTCGCGCTCGTGTCGATCATACTCTTCGAGCATGCGCTTGCAAAAGTTGCAGACGCGGATCATGCCTTCGAAATTGAAGCGCTTGCCCTTGATGATGTGAGCTGCACATCTACCGCAAAAGATCTGACCGCAGATTCGACAATGATGCTTTCGGCGAAAAGGTGTGAAGACCGATAGACACTCTCGACACTCCTTTGCGTTCTCATCAGCCATCCAGAACTTGCGGCTGAGACCTTCGCCTCTCATCCTGCGCACAATGGCATCCGCACTTGTCTGCAGGCCGATCTGTGCTTCAGATCTGTTGCCCAGATGCTCATCGATGGTGTCGACTCGGTGAAGTCGAGTTGAGCTGCTCCTCACTGACTTGGTGTCATCTGCCAAAATATCCTTCGATAGTGGGAAGCCAGGAATCGCAGACCATCCATGCTTTGCCAGGTGTGATCGATCAATGGCGCCGTCGATGCCTCCACGCAGCATGAAAAGGGTATCGCGTGATGAGTCCGGATCCATGTCGCCATCGTCGGCAATGACAGATTCTCGATCATCGGTGCAGCTGCCTGCAAGCCCTGCGAGAATCGAGCGAGCATGGATGGCGGTTGCAGGCGAGGTGAATGTGACAGCCGGAGCTGGAGCTACTCTGCGCAGCTTTAGGGGCAGACGGCTGGAGGTAGACGAGCCAGCGTTACTTGTGATACCCGATATCGAGCGCGATGTGCTGATCGACGGAGAGCTGTTTGAGGGGCGGAGGCCGCCATAGCGAGCCATCTGGCCTGACTGCGCTCTATGAGCATCAGCCGTGGTAGTATCGTTGCGTAGCCTGGATGGCCCAGCTTCGGCAGGACCTGGGCGACCTGAAGGCGAGATGTTTCGTGAATTGGCAGCTTGGCTGCTTTCAGGGTACTCATCGATGTTGCTGAGTCCGCCTCTTGCTGGACGCGCGATGGAAGCCTTTCTGTGTTGTGGCATCGAGGCAAGTCGATTGGAGCCGATGCCGGCATACTGTAATAGATTGGATGAATTGTACGCAGCGAGCTGTGATGCGCCTGTAGATGGAGATTGGGGCAGTTGTCGACTAGTGGACTTGGCTGAGTAGGTCCCCGAGCTGTGACGAGAGGCTGATGGCGTGTCAAGCTGGTCGCTTCTGGCTCCGTGAGCGGAGTCATTCTCGACGGTGAGCCCGCCGGCTAGCGCAGACTTGACACGGCTCAAGAGGCTGCCGAGCGCAAACGTGGACTCCTGCTGGTTTTGGGAGTCGTCGAGGAAGCCGAAGGAGGTGAAGCCTTCCTCATTCGAGTTGGGCGCCGGCGAGCGGTACCCTGCTGTTGTCGTCATGATTGGCCGGGATGGTTCTGACTCGCCTTGAAATGGTGTGGCAACGAAGAAGCAATAGCTACCTCTAGGATGGTGGAGTTGTTGGATTGTGCAGCATCATGATCAACTGTCCTGATGGTCGTGGGTGTGGAGGGGCCCCTTTGCTCTCCTAGGTAGCGCTGTTTTGCTGACCTTGCTCCCCTGTTGCAGCTGCGATGGCGGCAGTCTGACAGATGGCTAAGCAAAAGCGACCTGGACAAAGGAAGGCTCAAAGGTCGTTAAGGGTCCGGGCGCTGACAGAGAGGCACGCAACTCAAGCTTGAGGAGGAGGCTCTGGCTCACACGCACGCGGCTGGCTGAGCTTCAATTGAAGATTTGCAAGTAAAACGCGACCGATCGGAGCCACTAGCAAGCTCACGTATACAGCCATGTTACTTCTTGAAATGCTTAGTTTTCATAGAGTGAACCTAAATGACAAACACATATATATACTCCATTCGCCACTCTAGTGATGTCCGAAACAAGACATGTCACTTCATCTGTACCCCTGCATTGCTATGATACTGTGTGCCACCAGACCATCACCATGATGACTACCCCTTACTTCATTGTGTTCCTCACTTATGTGGGCTCCCTGCACTTCAGTGTCTTGGCTGTGATGCATGCATATTGCTTGAGATGCCGACACATCTTCAACTCCCCCTTTCGATGGGATCTCCAAGCCTATCATCCTGGCCAATTGTGAAGTGTTGAGTCCCTGCAGAGGCTTTGTCAGAACATCTGCAACATTGTTTGCTGTTCCAGTGTACTTGATCTCCACATCACCCCCTTGCACATGATTGTGGATGAAATGATACCATGTGTCAATATGTTTCAGCTTCCAATGTTTGGCTGGGTCCTTACTCACCTGTATGCACCCCTGACTATCTGTGTATAGTACAGGCTGAACATTTGTGATCTCCAAATCCCAGAGCAGGTATGAAAAGAACAATGCTTCTCTCACTGCTTTGGAAGCAGCAATGAACTCAGCTTCAACTGCTGACAATGCTACACACTTTTGAACATGAGACCTCCAGCTTACTGGACATCCATATACATATGTTATCGACCCTGAAGTACTCCTTCACCCATTTGTGGGGTCAGATGCCCAGTTTGCATTGGTATATGTCATTACCAGTGCACCCGAGTGCTCGTTTGTCGACCCTCCTAGATGCAATTGATATCCACTTGTCTGGTTCAGGTACTTTACCACATGGATCGCTGCCTTCCATGTGCTGTTGATCAGGGTCGACATGTATCACACCAATATGCCAATGGCAAAGGTGATATCTGGTTGGGCTGTGTTTGATACCCATAACAGTTGACCAACTAGCTCTTGATATTCCTTTGCTTGTTGAGGTTCACATCTCTCACCCCTGGCAATGTTTGCTATGCACAACATGGGTATCCAGGATTTTTCACTTGCTTCTCTTAGCCATTTGTTCACCATTGCTTCAATATATGCTGTCAAATCCAGAGATACCCTCTTCTGTTCTCTATCACATGTGATCTTTACACCCAAAAAATTTCTTTGATCCTTCTGTTGTCTTGCATCTCCCATTTGTCCATGATTTCCCACTTGGTGTGATCTACTTCATCATGACTGGGTGATGTTATTAGCATGTCATCCATGTACACTGTGATGATCATAATCTTGTCACCTGTCCCTCTTGAGTATAAACATGGTGTGCTCAGCATGCAATGGAACCTGATCATCCAGAGATGTGAGTCTAACTCAATATTCCATTCTTGGCCTGATTGTTTCAGACTGTACAGACCTTTCACTACCTTCAGAGCCTTTCTGGATGGTATTTTGATTCCTGGTGGAGGCTTGAGGTATACATCATGATGTATGGTAAAGTTTAAGTATGCCTGTTTTACATCAATAGAATCTATTTCCCAATCCTGTGTTGCTGCAATGGCAATCACCCCTCTGATGGATTGGATGGGTGCCACTGGTGCGAAAACCTCCATGTAGTTGACCCCTTTGTGTTGAGTGAAACCTCATGCCATGAGCTGGGCTTTGAACTTTGTCAGTACAAGGTTTGCATCTGTTTTGATCTTGAGTACCCAATGCATGTTGACAGTGTTTGCACCCTTTGGGAGGTCAGCAATCTCCCATGTGCCCATTGCTTCCAATCCATCTAGCTCTTTTCACATGGCTTCTTCCCAGTGTTTTCTATCCTCTCCACTCCTTGCTTCATGTATGGTTGGATCTAGGTTCCTTTTCTGTTCCAGTTGCATCGCCATGAGTCCCAAGAATTTGCTGTCAATTTGAGTTTCGGCAATTGGTTCTGGTTCCATCATCTCCACCATTCCTTTGCTTGATCTCTCTTCCAAACCTGTCTCCATATCTATGTATTCTTGCAATGGTTCCTCATGTGCTTTGTCAAATATATTTTCCTCATTGTACCCTAGGTCTTTGAAATCCTCCTCTGTCATCATTGCTGGAGGTGTCTTCATGTCAACCAGTCACCACTCTGTCCTGTCTGACCAGCATTTGAATTCCATGAATTTAGCTGAATTGTGTCATGGGCCTGGATGCTCAAGAAGCAGGAGGGTCACTGGTTCATATGGACGGAGCACAGGTATCGAAGACCTAGTCGATACCAGTAGAGAGCATGGTCGTAGTGCAGTCTCCATGGAGACCATGGACTCCTATGGATTCACATGCAAAGGAGCACTGAGCCCATATGCGAGGAGGACCAGGCACAGCCACGAGGAGGACCAAGCTCAAAGAGCAGGCGCAGCCATGAGGAGGACCAAGCTCAGATGGTTACCACTCAGGGGCTCGAGAGACAGGAAGTCGACACAGGTCATGAGGAGGAGGAGCAGTGTCGAAGGAGTCGACACAGGTCATGAGGAGGAGGAGCAGTGTCGAAGGAGTCGACACAGGTCATGAGGAGGAGGAGCAGTGTCGAAGGAGTCGACACAGGTCATGAGGAGGAGGAGCAGTGTCGAAGGAGTCGACACCACTCAAGAGGCACAGGGGTGCCAAGCAGGAGAGGCCCCTGAGCAGTACTCGATGAAGAAAGTACTCTCTGGAGAGAGAGCAGGAGCAGCATCGCTGGCGATGCTGTGAAGAGGTATATAACCATGCTTTCTCATCATCATAGGTCGAGTGGATCCCCATCCACTCTACTCACCATAACTAGTTATCACTTCAGCATAAGTATACATTAGTTTCAGTCAGCATAGCAGCAATCTATCAAGGTTGCTCCTCATCGTAGTGTGTGTGTTGTATCACCACTACCTGACGTCCGAAGGCGCCCATAGCAGGTTAGCGGTCCGGATATAGATAGAACCGAAGGCAGTAGTCCACTGCGGTCCGGGGATCACTTCAAAGCATCAAGTCAACACACTGGACACTCATGTTGACGCCACCAACCTTATCACCAACACCATCAACCTCATTATCATTGACATCACCAATCTTATCATCAACACCATCAACCTCATTATCATCGACATCACCAATCTCATCACCAACACCATCAACCTCATCATCATCAACACCCACACCAGACCTTGGTGTCATCATAACACTGATATTGATCGTGCCGAGCTACCCCTGAACGGAGTGTCCACAGAGGTCAGCCGAAACCTACGATAGTATATACAACGAACGCCACCTGCTGTCACTGCACAACTTGATAGTCACCAAGTATCTCGACAGACCGACCTGGGTTTCAGGCGCGAGACCCCTGACAAATTGCTCCAAAAAATGTTCAGGCTGTAGAAAAGCCAGCCCTTTCTCTCTAGACTGTATCCCAAGAAAATGGATGCAATGGCTCACTGGTCTAGTTTCTTATTGTCCCATTTGACTTTGGGTATGTTTACCCATGCCAGACAACCAAACACTCATAGGAGTCTCAAAACTCGCTCTGGCAACTTGCTGAACATTGCTTGATAAGGGAACTCATTATCAACACTCAGAGTGAGGTTGATTTTGAATGCTGCAGCTCTGATTGCATATGTCAGGGGTCTCGCGCCTGAAACCCAGGTCGGTCTGTCGAGATACTCGGTGACTATCAAGTTGTGCAGTGACAGCAGGTGGCGTTTGTTGTATATACTATCATAGGTTTCGGCTGACCTCTGTGGACACTCCGTTCAGGGGTAGCTCGGCACGATCAATATCAATGTTATGATGACACCAAGGTCTGGTGTGAGTGTTGATGATGATGAGGTTGATGGTGTTGGTGATGAGATTGGTGGCGTCGATGATAATGAGGTTGATGGTGTTGGTGATAAGGTTGGTGGCGTCAACACGAGTGTCCAGTGTGTTGACTTGATGCTTGAAGTGATCCCCGGACCGCAGTGGACTACTGCCTTCGGTTCTATCTATATCCGGACCGCTAACCTGCTATGGGCGCCTTCGGACGTCAGGTAGTGGTGATACAACACACACACTACGATGAGGAGCAACCTTGATAGATTGCTGCTATGCTGACTGAAACTAATGTATACTTATGCTGAAGTGATAACTAGTTATGGTGAGTAGAGTGGATGAGGATCCACTCGACCTATTGATGAGAAAGCATGGTTATATACCTCTTCTCAGCATCGCCAGCGATGCTGCTCCTGCTCTCTCTCCAGAGAGTACCTTCTTCATCGAGTACTGCTCAGGGGCCTCTCCTGCTTGGCACCCCTGTGCCTCTTGAGCTGTGTCGACTCCTTCGACACTGCTCCTCCTCCTCATGACCTGGTGTCGACTCCTTCGACACTGCTCCTCCTCCTTTGATCAGTGACAGTTCCTTTGGCTCTTGTCTCTCGAGCCCCTGAGTGGTAACCATCTGCATGCTCCTTGAGCTTGGTCCTCTTCGTGGCTGTGCCTGCTCCTTGAGCTTGGTCCTCCTCGTGGCTGTGCCTGCTCCTTGAGCTTGGTCCTCCTCGTGGCTGTGCTTGGCCCTCCTTTGCATGTGAGTCCATAGGAGTCCATGGTCTCCATGGAGACTGCACTACAACCATGCTCTCTACTGGTGTCGACTAGGTCTTCGATACCTGTGCTCCTTCCATATGAACCAGTGACCCTCCTGCTTCTTGAGCATCCAGGCCCATGACACTACCCCCCTCTTAAGAGCCGAGCTCCGTCGAGGCATGCTCTGGTCTGGTTCATGCTGACTCCTCCTCTTCCTTGACAACATCGCCCCCGTCATCCTTCCTCCTTCTCTCAACGTCATCCTCCTCTCTCTACTCCTCCTGTTCTCTCCTCCTTTCTCTACTTTGTCTACTCACTCGTCCCCCCTCCGACACCTCATACTCCTGGATGAGGTCGGGACAGTTGAGGTTCTCTACTGGTTCCCATGAAGCAGCTTCTTCTGAGTACCCTCTCCACAACACCTTGTACTCTGTAGTCCCATTGTGTGAACGCTTGTCGATGAGTGCTTCGACTTCGAAGTCGAGGTCCTCATCTGGAAGTGGTGGCATGGTGGGCTGTTCAGCACGTTGAGGAAGAGAACTTGTTCTTGCTGGCTCGAGCATGGAGACATGGAACACATCATGCACCCTAAGGTTTGCTGGCAATGTGATTCGGTAAGCTCGGCGTCCTACCCGTTCCTGAACTGGGTAGGGTCCTGCAAACCGGGTATCCAACTTGGGTGTGGGTCTCCGTGTCTTCCAGTTTCGGCGGTTGATATAGACCATATCACCCACCTTAAACTCAATGTCCTTGTGCTTCCTGTTATACTGGTCTACTGATCTTCGTTGTGCCTCTCTGATCTGCTCCTGGAGGTACTTGCAACGCTCCTTTCCATCCATGAGGTACTCGAAGCGACCTGGATCATTGACTCCTAGTCGTTGAGGGATGTCAGGATGAGCTTTGGGGTTCCATCCATAGCATGCAAAGAATGGTGAGACACCAATGCTGTTGTGGACCGTGTTGTTGTATACAAAGGCCGCAGTGTCCAGCAGGTTGGCCCAGTCATTCTGCTCATAGTTGCAGTACATCCTGAGATATTGCTCTATGACCTGATTGACTCTCTCTGTTTGACCATCAGTTTGAGGATGGTAAGCCGTGCTAAGTGAGTGCTTCACACCCATTTGCTCTGCAAATGCCTTCCATGCTCCTGATATGAACTGCCTGCCTCGGTCCGAGACCATGTGATCTGGATATCCAAAGAGTCTAACCATGTGTCCATATAGCAATACTGCAGTCTGTTTGGCCGTGACTGTCTTATGGGTTGGAGCTAGTATGGCAAACTTGGTTAGCCTGTCGACAATGACTAAGATAGAGTCATAGGTCTTGGAGTCATACTTCTTCGATGTTGGTAGTCCTTCGATGAAGTCGAGGGATATGGAGCCCCAGGGCCTGTCTGGGGTTGCTAGTGGCTGTAGCAAACCATATGGACGATGACGAGGAGCTTTGTACCTAGCACATACAGGACAACTTGCTACATAGTCTGCAATCCAAGCTGTCATGTTTGGCCACCAGTAATGTCGTTGTGCTGCCTTGATGGTAGCATCTCTTCCTACGTGTCAGCAGTGATACCATCATGGCATTGGGTCATCACCATGAATCGCAGATGCTCTACAGAGAGAGACTGTCCATCTACCTCTTTGGCACTCCTTGAGTGTCGGTTGTTGGTCCTCCCTGGCATGATCACTTTGGGGATAACCAACCTTCCTCCACTGTACCATAGGTCATCCCTGACCTCGAAGGGCTTCTTCCTATGTATCTCCTGTAGCTCTTGGTCTAAGGGGTGGAAGATCTTGACCAGGTCTTTGAGACCTTTTGATGCTATGGACTCCATCGAGATCATGGGGGCCACTAGGAGCGAGTCATGGTCTGCTGTCTCCTTGAACACTCGAGGAGGCAGTAGTTGCCTCACATTGTGATCCTGCTCTTCACCAGCTGGTTGCATGTCTGTCCTTCTGGTGAGAGCATCGGGTTCACCACCTTTGTCTCCTGGTCGATACTGCAATATGAAGTCGAAGTCTGCTAGTAGTATGGCCCATCGAGCCTGTTGACCTGTGATGCGTCTCTGTGACTTGAAGTACTTGAGGGCTTCATGGTCAGTGAGGATGACCAGTTGGTTCGGTAGTCCAGCTAGCATGTGTCGCCACTGAGTGAGGCAGGCGACCACAGCTAGGAGCTCCTTATCATGGATCTCATAGTTCTTCTCGGCAGAAGACATCTTCCTAGAGTAGAAGGCCACAGGATGCCATCATCCTTCATGCTCCTGCTTGAGCACTCCTGCTATAGCAAAGTCACTTGCATCAGTCTCCAACCTTGTTGGAAGGTGGTAGTCGAAGTGCTGAAGCACTCCTGCTGATGTGAAGGCCTGGATGAGCTTGTGGAAGGCCTGTTGGGCCTCCTCTGGTAGCTCGAACTTCTTGAACCGTTCTATAGGCTTTACCAGTGCTGTCAAGGGCTTGGCTATGCGAGCAAAGTGGGCTATGAACCTTCGATAGAAGTTGGCAAAACCCAGGAACCTCTGGATGTCATGGATTGACTCTGGCATTGGCCACTCCTTGACAGTGCGCACCTTTTCTGGGTCCATCTCTATGCCTGTTGGCTTGATGATGTACCCCAGGAACTCAACTGTCTTGGTGTGGAACTCACACTTTGACAGCTTAGCAAAGAGCCTGTTGCTCCTTAAGCGAGTGAGGACCTCAGTGACATGCTTCACATGTGCTTCTTCAGTGTCACTGAAGATCAGGAAGTCATCTAGGTATACTACCACATATATCCCAATGATGTCTCGGAAGATGTCATTGATGAATGACTGGAAGTGAGCCGGAGCATTGGCTAGGCCAAAGGGCATCACTAGGTACTCATAGAGTCCCAACTGAGTGCCAAAAGCTGTCTTCCATTCATCTCCTTTAGCAATCCGGATGAGGTTGTATGCTGCTCTAAGGTCTAGCTTGGTATAGATCCTTGCCTTCCTGAGTAAGAACAGCTGCTCCTCGATGAGGGGCAATGGTGCCCTGTTCTTGACAGTGATCTCGTTGAGACCTCTGTAGTCCACACAGAGTCTGAGACCTCCATCCTTCTTTGGTACGAAGAGCACCGGTGATCGTGCCGGGCTCTTCGATGGTCTTATGAACCCCTTCTCAAGGTTCTCATCCAAGTACCTCCTCAACTCGGACATCTCCTTGGGTCCCTTAAGGTATAGGGGCCCTTGAGGTGGCTTCCCTCCTTCTATCAACTCGAGGTGGAGATCATGCTCGGTATGATGGGGCAGCTTGTCTGCTTCCACCTCATCAAACACATCTCGCAGGTGTTGGTATGGCTTTGGTATGTCTGCAGCCATCACCACCTTATCTACCTCCACCTCCATCTCGACTCCTTTGTCTGCGCCTGTAGGTACAAAACCAAAGGCTGGGAGTGATGATGGTGGCTCCTCTAACAGCATGAACCCTATGGGTCCATCTTCCAGAGCTGCTCGTAGTATGTGCTCTGCTGAGACAAACTCGTTACCATGAAGGGTTGGTCTCCTCATGGTTAGGTCCCCTGCTCTTGCTGCTTCAGGGGGTCTCCTAGGGGGTCGGTCCTGCTCCTGAGTCTTGAACTCCAGCTGGCCCGTATCCCATTGTATGGTGGGTTTGAGCCTCCGTAGCTCAGTGAACCCCAGGATGAGGTCATAGTCCGCAGTGTCGGCCACTGAAGCTTCGACCACACCCAGATTGTGTGTATCAATAGATACCTGCATGCTCGCAGAACTATTGATGGAGAGTTGGTGCCTGGTGACACCATGGATCGATCTTGTTTTTATGGGTTTTGTGGGTATTTGGTACTTACTAATGAAAGAATCTGAGACTATGGACAAACCAGCACCGGTATCAGCTAGTATCCGAGCAGGATGGTCTTGAACCATTCCAGAGAGCTCCAGTACTGCTTTGCCTCCACTGGTAGAGAAACATACTTGACAATCTTGATATATACAGAGTGATGGCGAGGAGGTTTGTAGAGCAATGCATGCCATCAGTGCATCACCCCACTGACGTTTCCCTCATCGTCATCATCATCGTGCTCCTCCTCGTGATCGGGGTCCATGGGTTGCTGGTATGAGCTGAGGTCCATGGCCTCGGGGTCACCCATCTCAGTACTGCCTGTGTGGCCATCTCCTGAGTCGGTGGCCTCCTCGAAGGGGTCTGCTGTGGTGACCATAACCTTTGGTCCCATGGGTCGAGAGCTAAGAGGGTTTACCCTCCTGCTGGGGCAGTCTCTGGCCCAATGGCCGATACCCTTGCATACATGACAGGTGTTGATACCTGATGGAGCAGGGCTTCCTTGCTTCGAGGGTTGGGTGGGATGATGAGGAAGGGGTCGGTTTAGGTTTTGTATAGTTGCTTGTGTAGTTGCTTGTGATGGTGATCGAGCTGGATAAGGTTGAGTGGGTTGTCGGATGGGGATTGAACTTTGATTTGGCCGAGACCCAGTTCTTAGTGGAGGTGACGTGGCATTTGGAAGTGAGTGTCTAGCCGAGGACTGCTGTAGTAGCATCCTCTGTCGATCGATCTCCTCGACCTCTCGATACCACTCCCATCTCTTCCCAGGTGGATTCCTCTCGAACTTCTCCTGTATGCTACGAGTGAGACTACCTCTGAAGAGGTCAATCACTAGCTCATTGTCATCTAGGTTGACCTGTCCTTCCAAGTCTCTGAACCGCTCTACATGACGTGTGGCGGCACCAGGAGCATCACTTGTGAGTCTGAGAGCCAACAGCTTGTTGTATGCCTCCATCCTAGCATTGCGTGGGTTGAACTGCTCTGACAGTCGCTCTGTGAAGTAGTGCCAATCATTGAACAACCTTCCTTCTCTAGCTCTATCAATACGGAGCTTGGAGGTCCACCACTCTCTTGCTGTCCCTTCCAGTTGAGCACCCATGTGATTGATCATCCTAGACTGCTCATACACCTGGTTGAACTTAAACCATGCTTCGGCTTCTAGAATGAAGATCTCCATGTCTCGGGGATTGAACTTTGGAAAGGGGGTGGCAATGGGCTTTGACCGGTTAAGCTCTGCCATGATGCTGGTATCCTCCTCGTGGTCCAGGGGGTAAGGGTCCGTCCTAGTCCTGCTGTAGGGGTCCAGCTTAGTCTTGACATATCTTGGCCCAGTAGGTGAAGCATACTTCTCGTAGTTGATGTCCTCCTGCTCCTCCAGGTTGAATGAGACTGATCGTCTTGGTCGTGGAGCTGGAGTAGGAGTATGTGGGTCTCCTATCATAGACTCATCTCCTCCTCCTGCTTGGTCTTCTGAGTGAGAGAGGTCCATTGTCTCCTCCCTGCTCAGTTGAGCTCGTTGTAATCGTTCCTCTCGATGACCCTGTCTGGTAAGCTCTAGCTGTGCTTCCAATAGAGTGAGTAGTCTATCGAGCTTATTGTTGAGGTCTGGGTCCGTCATGGTGATCGTGAGGAGCTGCTTGAACGATCCACTCTAATGTCAGGGGTCTCGCGCCTGAAACCCAGGTCGGTCTGTCGAGATACTCGGTGACTATCAAGTTGTGCAGTGACAGCAGGTGGCGTTTGTTGTATATACTATCATAGGTTTCGGCTGACCTCTGTGGACACTCCGTTCAGGGGTAGCTCGGCACGATCAATATCAATGTTATGATGACACCAAGGTCTGGTGTGAGTGTTGATGATGATGAGGTTGATGGTGTTGGTGATGAGATTGGTGGCGTCGATGATAATGAGGTTGATGGTGTTGGTGATAAGGTTGGTGGCGTCAACACGAGTGTCCAGTGTGTTGACTTGATGCTTGAAGTGATCCCCGGACCGCAGTGGACTACTGCCTTCGGTTCTATCTATATCCGGACCGCTAACCTGCTATGGGCGCCTTCGGACGTCAGGTAGTGGTGATACAACACACACACTACGATGAGGAGCAACCTTGATAGATTGCTGCTATGCTGACTGAAACTAATGTATACTTATGCTGAAGTGATAACTAGTTATGGTGAGTAGAGTGGATGAGGATCCACTCGACCTATTGATGAGAAAGCATGGTTATATACCTCTTCTCAGCATCGCCAGCGATGCTGCTCCTGCTCTCTCTCCAGAGAGTACCTTCTTCATCGAGTACTGCTCAGGGGCCTCTCCTGCTTGGCACCCCTGTGCCTCTTGAGCTGTGTCGACTCCTTCGACACTGCTCCTCCTCCTCATGACCTGGTGTCGACTCCTTCGACACTGCTCCTCCTCCTTTGATCAGTGACAGTTCCTTTGGCTCTTGTCTCTCGAGCCCCTGAGTGGTAACCATCTGCATGCTCCTTGAGCTTGGTCCTCTTCGTGGCTGTGCCTGCTCCTTGAGCTTGGTCCTCCTCGTGGCTGTGCCTGCTCCTTGAGCTTGGTCCTCCTCGTGGCTGTGCTTGGCCCTCCTTTGCATGTGAGTCCATAGGAGTCCATGGTCTCCATGGAGACTGCACTACAACCATGCTCTCTACTGGTGTCGACTAGGTCTTCGATACCTGTGCTCCTTCCATATGAACCAGTGACCCTCCTGCTTCTTGAGCATCCAGGCCCATGACAGCATACAGCCAAAACCTCTTCAGCAGTCTCCTCTGCATTAGCATTGTTCTCATCTTCTCTCCAAGGGTCCTGTTCATTCTCTCCACCCATCCATTTTGTTTGCTGTTGTACCCCATGGTGGTTTGCCACTCTATGCCCTTTTCTAATGACCATTCTAATGCATTGTTGCTTTTCCATTCAGTTCCTTGGTCGGATCAGATTGCTTTTAGCTTCCGATCCATCTGTGTCTCCAGGAATGAAACATTCCTTTTGAGTTGCATGAATGCATGACTCTTTCACATCAATGGCTGTGCATACACATACTTGCTATGATCATCAATTAGCACCAGAGTACACATATACTCTGTCACATAGGACGAGTCTATTATTAGGTTGATGTGGATGAGATCCAGGGGCCCCACAGCTCTTTCACTGCTACCTTGCCCCATCTGGGCACTTGTGCTCTTAGATCATATGCACTGCTCACATGTCAGAGCAGTGTTTGGATCCAAATGCATGGTATGCTTATTCTTTAATTTACTCATGATTGTCCTGGCTTTGTCTCTTCCTGGGTGTCTGAGATGCTCATGCCATAGTTGTTCCTTTGAAACTTTCAGTTCATTCTTAATATGCTTGAACTCCTCATCAACACCTTCAAACAGTGATGCTGATGTGGCCATCATGCTTTCTTGCCATGTGTCACCTTGGAACTCCAAAAGTCCTCACTTGTGATTCTTTGCAATTTTAAGTGTCATGCTGTTTGTTAGAACAATCTGGCTGCTGGTTGTGTCCAATATCACTTGTGCTCCTTCATCCATTAATGAGTTCATTGACAGAAGGTTAACATTAAGGTGCTTCACATATAGTACATTTTGGAGGGAGATTTCCCCGTAATCTGTTGATATGCTTGCATCTCCTATAGCTGCCACTTCCAAAACCTTGCTTCCAGCAGTAATTATCTGCTTTCAGCAAGTTCTTGGGTGGATGAGCATGCTATAGTTGTTTACCATGTGATAACTTGCCCCCGAATCCAAGATCCAATGAGCTGTTTCCTTGGTGTTTGGGGGGTCTTGTGAGAGGGTGAGGGAGCACCACACTTCCTATTTAGGTTTGGCAAGGGGAGAGTCTTTGGGGATGGTAACCAAAGTGTTGCATTGACTAATGCCATGTCCCAGTCACTTACAGATCCAGCATTGGATTCAGCATGATCTTCCTGCATTCCTTGGGCTCATGTGGCTATTGTCAGCTTCAGCTTCAGTCTCTCTGGTCCATTTGCTTTGATCATCGTTGCCAGTGGTCCAAGTGCTGGCTTGGCAGGGGTTGATCTTTTGCATGGGGATGCTCTCAACAGTGGTCTGTTGGATGCTCAGTGCAGTGGCGAGGGTGTTGAAATCGATTTGATGGATGGTGGCAACTGTCTCCTTGTACACCGGATGCTGGATCATGCATTTCTGCAGAGCCAAGAACAATGTGTCATTGGCAAATGGTTTGCCAAGGAGACTACTTTTGGTCTGTATTGACCAGATCTCTTGAATTAGCTTTCTAGCATCCAAGTGAAACATCTTTATATCACTGAGCTGCAAGATGAGTGCAAGTCTGTGGGATGTCTTGATGGCTTCATTTGTGAGGCCATTTTCGATCTTTCTCCACACTTGGTTAAAAGTAAGATAATCCTTGATTACATCTAGAACAAGGTAATTTACATTGTGTTCTCCAGTAGTGTCGATTGTTCCATGCAGGGCATTGATTAAAGCATCATTGAGGGAGCAGCTCCATTTTGGGTGCTTCTTGTCATATGTTCCCTCAAGGTGTTTCATTGCATGCAGGATGGATTGGAGGAAAGACTTTATGTGGGCACTCCAACTGTGGTAGTTGCATGACATGAGTTTCAGCACTGGTTCAAGGAGCTTTGCTAGGGTGCAAAAGCTATATCACTTGTCGCCATCATCAAAGTCAGAGTCAGAGTCAGCATCTTCGTTGGCTTCATTATTGATAGCCTCCAGCTTGTTTTCATTTGTGGCATCATTGTTGATTCATGCCTGGGTGGCCTTGCCCTTTCTGCTCCCTTTGGTCTTCGAGCTTGTGCTAACCTGGGTTTCAGTGTCTTCTACCATGTTCTGTTGATTGTCCCAGTTAGCTCAGATGGTAGTGCTTCAGACTCTTAATCAATTGAAGATTTGCAAGTAAAACGTGACTGATCAGAGCCACTAGCAAGCTCATGTATACAGCTGTGTTACTTCTTGAAATGCTTAGTTTTCATAGAGTGAACCTAAATGACAAACACATATATATACTCCATTTGCCACTCTAGTGATGTCTGAAACAAGATGTGTCACTTCATCTATACCCCTGCATTGCTATGATACCATGTGCCACTGGACCGTCACCATGATGACTACCCCTTACTTCATTGTGTTCCTCGCTTATGTGGGCTCCCTGCACTTCGGTGTCTCAGCTGTGATGCATGCATATTGCTTGAGATGCTGATGCATCTTTAACTGCTTCACTTCTTGGCGGGAATTCCTCGCGCCAAAAGTCAGCCAGAAAAGTGGAGGAAAAATCGCGTTTGGACCCTGAATTGCGATCGCATGTTGCGGCGCACGCCTTTGATTTGTGTCTGATCACGGTCTAACATCTGCATCAAACACCCACTTTGTCTCTTCCCATGCAAGGTGTTCTTGAGAACGTTGTCCGTATGTTGGTAGTTCGAGACGTCAAGTCCTGCGTATAACTACAGATGCAAAGGCTGGCAAAATATAACAGCCAAAGGGGGCTTGAGGAGACCTAACTTAGTCGCAGCTGTCGATGATTTTAGTAAACCGCGTTTCTGTAGCCATAGGAAAAGAAACATGAAAAAAGGTGTCAGAAAAAAAAGAGGAAAAAAAAAAAAAAAACGGTGAAAAGATGACCACGATATCGGCAAGTGCTACAGGAACCCGATTGATCGATCTTGCTTCACCTCAACCTTGAGGCATCTCCGATAAGGCCGAGCTACAAGTGCCATGGTCTCATCCATGCCAGACCATGCTAGCGAGGATCACGAGACACACCTTCCGTCAGCTGACGACTCAGTACCACCAGGCGGACTCGAAAGAAACAAACACGAAGCGGGCGTCCAAGACCGTTTGCGACAGAAGCAGGCATGCGAATCCATCAGATGGGACATGTGCTCCTATGATGCTGGATCATGGAATCGTTCTTTTTCGTTTCATTTCTAATGCGATCGGATGGTAACCCAGAGACCGGGTCCGGACGCGCTCGAGCTGACCTGACCGGATATCAAACAATAGAGGCAGGAAAGGTATGATGAGGTAAAGCTGGAAGAGGATCTTCTTTGGAGAAGGCAAGTGACGTAACGAACTGCCGAGCATAGAAGCATGATGAACAAGGTCCGGGGCCGAGACCAACACGAACAGATCAACAGATCAACACTTTTCAACACACGTTTTCGCGTCTTGGTATCACTCGTACGAGCTCCATCGCTTTCAACAGCAGCAGCACCATCGATATCGATGAGGAGGCATGTGTGTAGCTCAGCGCCATGGTCTTCGCCGCCGTCAGCGACGCAAGGGGCTAACGAACGCTGCAGCAAGCCTCTTGGTGTTAGTTAGCGCACATTGTGCCCCCCCTACAGCAACGAGGCGCTTCAAGTGTGCCTCGAGAGAATGGCGCTTGCATCACGTGATCAGTCATGGAGGCCTGCGCGTCTGGGCTGGACTCAACAATCGAATTGTTCCGCTCTCCGCTCCTCTCTTCACCAAACCCTTAGGGGGGGGGGAAAGAACAGATTCGCATGTTCTTTTCTCCCTTTTCATGTCCTGTCAAACGTTGATTTTAAAAACAGGTCTTTGTTTTGTATTCGACAATGCACAAGGAGCGCAGGAACGAGCGGCAAGGGAGGCTCTACAGGTAGGGCAAAAACGACGAACCAGCGCTGCTAATAGTAGCCCCCCCTTAACCCCCCCCCCTTTGAATTCTGCAAGCGAGCGCGAGCCGATGCCTTGACACCACTCAAACACACTCACACACTTGCTTGCTTGCTTGTGCAGGATTTATGGGAAGTTGATGCACACTAAAGCATAGGCTCTCCCTTGTCAATGCAACGCACAACGCCGCACAAAGGGGTCCGATCGACGAGGCTGAGCGGCGTTTCCTCAAGCCTTCATTGTTGTGGTGTTGCCAACGATGCTCAGCCGCAGATACCGTTCGATGATGATCCACCATCATCTCGTGCCGGGTCATACCACCTTCCAACACCAACAACAACGATGAGGTCTCCGCTTGCCAACTTCCGCCTCCTTTTTTCTCCACAATGTGCAGATGAGCTATTACTTGTCCTCATCGTCCGTGAAAAGAAACAAAGCATAACCGCACTTCCGTTGGGTACTCGATCTGCACCGTACAGACAAACCATCTTAGCTCAGGAGCAACACCGCTCGCCGAAATCTCGCTTGTGTCGATTGCTTTCGCCTCCCCGCAAAGTTCGCTCAAAGGTTGCGTAAGACGGAAAGATTGCTCGCTAGGCGTTGATCCTCCTCGATCTCCCCTTACTATATGCAGAGTGATTCTACGCCTTGTTTCGAGGGCTGCGTTCCATCGTCTACCAAAACTCTACCTTAGCGTCCTTTCTGGTCGGGTTCCTAACTCTTCATCATCCCTTCATCACCAACTCTCTCTCTTTCCTTTACCATCACCATCATCTCTCTCCTCACTTCCAACTTCACTCTCTCCCACCACTACACCATCTCATTGTCGCCAGTGCAATCGCCAACGTATACATTCATTTCTTTCCTCTCCCTACGCTCTCTGAACTACACATAAACTAACCAAATCCCCGCGCTGAAATAGCTGCCCCGCCTCCCACCTCACAATCATTCATTTATCCGTCTTTTGGCGTGCACAAACACACACACACACACACACACAATGCCCTCCTCACTAGCAACCAAACTCTGCGCCGCCCTCCTCCTCGCCTCTGGCCTGGTCGGCACTCTCGCCGACGAACAACAACACAACTACGTTCGCTCTCCTAAGCACTCTCGTCATCACAACTGCAACTCCTCCTCCGACCCCTGTAGTTCCAACCTGGCAAAGCGAGGCTCGACATACTCCGGACGAGCAACTTACTACGCAGCTGGTCTAGGTGCTTGTGGAAACTACAACTCTGGATCAGACTTTATTGTCGCCCTAAATGTTGCACAGTACGGAAATTTGGGTCAGCGTTCCTCTTGGTGTGGAAGGACGATTGCTATTACGTACAATGGTAACACGCAGTACGCAACCGTGCAGGATGCTTGTCCTTCCTGTCCGTACGGAGGCTTGGATATGAGTGAAGGCTTGTTCAAAGCGTTTGCGAGTACGAGCTTGGGTGTCTTTCAGATGAGTTGGACTGCTGCTGATGGGAGTGATAACTCGAACAACGACAACAACAACAACAACAACAACAACAATAATAATAATAATAACAACAACAACAACCGCAACAACGGGGGGAGACAATCAAGTTCCAGTAGTGCTCCGGCTTGGACACCGAGGCCGCAACCAACAACGACTTGGCAAGCACCAACTACCACTTGGACCCCTCCTGCTCCTACATCGACCTCAAAGGCTAGCTCGAGTTCGGCTGAACGATCGTCGTCGTCTTCAGCAAACGCCTCTTCGAGTGCTTCTGCTGCAAGCGCCAGTCCAACAGGAGCAGCGGCGGATGGAGAGAATCCAACAGCAAACAATTTGCATAGCTTTGCCTTGATCTACCAAGGGTTGAATCAGATGGCGGTTGCTGCTGCTTCCTAAACCGCCTCCTCCCTTTTTCTTTGGTACTTGCTGTTCGTCGTCCAAGGTAACGGGCTTCACTTTCCTCCTCTCCTCGTTTATATCTTTTGCTCGCGGTTGTATTCAAACGCTAGAGCTGTATCACATCTCATTCTCATCGTGCTCTGCTTCGTAATCGCTGTTCCTGTATCAGTATTAGTCCCTTGCTCTCACCGACCTGTTGATCCGCCTCGGCCCATTTCTTTCTGCGGAATAGCATATTATCGTATCCCATACCATTCATTGTCTGCTGCTTGTGTTGTCTGCGTCCCATTACGCCTTCAAGACGATGTCAATCCGAGTGCGACGGTACTCTAAGTTCATATCCTGCAGCAGGTGGCTGAAGTGCAATGCAGTCTGTAATGAGTGCAGATGTCCAAAATGACTAGAAGTACAAGATTTCGTGTTGAGAGTTGCGATGACTCTTTGCAGAACTATCAAACCTAGGTAACGAACGTAGCTACTCATTATCCAACTGCCCATCAAGTTCGTTCGCCAAATCATCCAAAAACGAATCACCACCATCTTCGTCATCCTCTTCCTCTCCCTCCCCCTGCCCCTCCGCCGATCTTTGCTTCTTCTGCAACCCATCTTCCCCTTCTCCATCTCCCCTCCCTCTCTTCTTACTCCCGACGCTATCTGAAAGCCCAACTATCGGTTCATCCCCATCGTTGATCTCCCGCAAGTCCCCATCGGTAGCTAGCATAGATGGAGAGGGGGAAGAAGTATTACTAGCCGTAGTAGCAGAGTCTAGATATGCATCGACTTCGTCAGCTGCAGCACCCCAATCCATATCGTTTAGTTCATTTTCAAAGAGTGCTTCTCCTTGTTCGCCTCCATCTGCATCTGCGAGAGCTTTTTCTTGCGTCGCTTTCTCCCTCTTTTGGGATTTAGCTTTCTCTTTCTCTTCCTCCTGCCGTTTCTCCTCGGCCACTCTCGCTTGAGCCCATTCGAAAGCATCTAAAATCTCATGTTCCCAGGGTAACCTATACAACGCTTCATCCTGTCTCTCCCACCTACTCGTCGAGACGTGGAACCAGCTTGGCCAGACTAACTCGACCTTCCCCGCCCTCGCCAATCTCGTTGCATTGACAACCTTGAGTGTGCCTTGTCGAGCAGCAACGACATGGGTTGTGACTCCTTCTTCTACTTCGAACGCGGGGGTGGCGCCGAATTCGCGTGCGAGAGCCCAAAGATCGGATGTCTCGGGATTGTGACCGGTGGGGATCATCGAGGAGAAGACGATGGTGCAACCAGCCAAAACCTTTGTCTTTTGTGCGGAGATGAGGTCTACGACGGATGGTTTGGTAGTTGGGGTCGGGGTTTGGGATTGGAGTTTGTCATAGGCAGAATACCATTCAGTGTGAATGGAGCCGAGGATGGAATAGACTCGGTCGAGTTCGGTATCGTCGTCTACTAGAACTGCGTGTGAGCGGTGTGGTGGTAGAGGTGGGGGTGGGGGGAGGGGTGGTAATGTTCGATCTGATGATGATGGGGGAGTGCTGCTTTCTGTTGCTTGTGTCTTTTCCTCTGCTGTTGTTTGCGCTGCTACCGCATCGCTGCTTTCTGCCTCTGTTGAACTTTCACCAGCCGGTGTCGCACTACCGCTCCCATTCGGCGTAGCTGTGCCAGACCGTGATGCAGACCCATTTGTTTTACCTAGTTTCTCATCCAAGGCCTCTTGCATCTTTGCTAATGGTCTTGCTTCTCGCTGTTCCGCCAATTTGCTTTGCAACTTTTCGGTTTGTGCCGCAAATTGCAACGCCGTTGCGCGGACTTGTGCTACTTCCTCCTCCGTTTTGCCTTCTTCCCTCGCCTTCTGAAGCGCTTCTTCTATCGTAGTATCAGATGTTGCGGTAGTACTAGCGCTGCTCGCTGCATCTGTATCCGATTTCGCAGAGGGAGAGGAAGCTGCGCTCGACGCATCATCCAGCTTGCTCGCCGAGGTAGAAGCAACTCCTGCCCCCACTGCTACTCCTGCTGCTGCTGCATCCGGTACTGCACCGGGCGGAGCCGGCGTTGGAGGCAAAAATGTAGCATTAATATCCCCAATGCCCACAAAAAACTCATACGGCACTACCGGCAACAAATTCGGACTCCTACTCCAAACATCCTCTCTATCATCAATGATCACCACCATACTATGATCCACGGGGAACAACCTATTCAAACTCTTCCTCACCAAACTTCCATTTTCATCCCTCGACAAGATCCTATTCCCAAAAATACTTGCATCGGGATCGATCAGCTTGCACACGCAATTCGCGTACGACCTCGTTCCCATCGTATACACATGCAACTGGTACTTCTCTGATAGTTTCTTGACTATTTCGGGCACTCCAGGTCGCGGTTTGACGTAGTACCAACACGCTCGTGATGCTTTTAGTGCTGCTGCGGAGTCTTTGGGAGCGGAGTCGTCGTCGTCATCTTTGATCTCTTCTCCGTCGATACCGAGACGGAACTTGCCGACGGACTTGAGCGCTTCGTAATTGGGATTGGATTCGTCTTTCATCCATTCACCAACGGTGGGGTCGACGGTTGCGTGAATTACGGTTTGGTCGAGATCGACGATGAGTGCAAGTTTGCGTTGGGAGAGGAGATGGGAGGTGGTTTCGGAGTCAAGGCGTTGTGCTTCTTCGGCAGAGACTTTGACGGCGGCGTGGGAGTGCATGACGGAGAGAGAGGCGGATTCTTCGGATTCAGTGTCGACAGGTTGGCCGCAGAGGGCACACATGCCAAAGAGTTGCACTGGGTGCTTGCATTCTGCTGCGTCTGCTTGGGACATTGTTGCAGGAGGAGGAGGAGCCCTTAGGATGGAGGGCGGTGGTAGGGAAGGAAGAAGCTGCAGACCACGTGAGGTCGGGTAAGACAAGGGTTATTACCGGAGGTGTAACGTGAATGCCTCGCGGTTGTAGGAAGTCGGTGCAGATAGTCGAGACATGGATGTCTGCCTAGGTTTGCGTGTTGTTGAGCGCGTCGATGCGAGTCGTTGAGGTCAGATGCAGGGCTCTTGGCCGGGTCGGGGCCTTTACGGCTGCTGCGTCTTTGTTCGGATGGTGCTGAGGATAGATGGATGGTAGCTCGGTGTGGATGGTGAAGAAACGCGGGGGGGAGCAAACTAGAACGCGAATGAGGTTGCGTCTGTGCGTAGTGGAGTCCAAAAAGCAAAAAGGGATTTGCCGGATGCTCGGACAATTTTCGTGGTTGGCCTGCCTCCTCTTTTTATCCTCAAGCTTCCGGCTTTCTTTTTGTTTTCTGGACATTGCATGTCTCGGCGCGTTGTCTTTGCTTTGCAAGCTAAGCTCTGTTGTGTGTGCCGAGAGTCGTGTGGCTGTCGTGTCCAAGTGAACAGTCAGCCTAAAACAAAACACCCGTCGCAGCACGTCGCGTGGAGAGCGAAAAAAGGCTGAAAATCGCTCCAAACGGTCGAGCCACTTTTCTCACAGCCGAAGGGTCCATCCGAGGCTGTTAGAGCGACCTTTACTTTGCCGACAGTTTTCGAAGCAAGTGACAAGTGGAGGTGTTGGTGTCAATTTTTTTTTTTTTTTTTTTTTTTTTTTTGGTCGAAGCGAGAAGAAGAAGATTGGCCGCTGCCCGCTGCCCGCTGCCCGCTGCCCGCACGACTTCGATACATCACTCGAGACCATACACACACCTCCCACGCACTGCAAGTAGAGGCATCAGGATGGTCAAGAAGCCATCGAAAGCGCAAAAAGCCAAGCTGCGCAAGGGAGGTGGAGGCGCTAGCACCGAAAGCATCAAAGCTCGGGGCGGCAAAGGTGGCCGTGGTCGTGGACGAGGCGGTGCTGCTACTACGGGCGGAGGTCGACTAGGTCGCTCAGCTCTCCTCCCACCAGATCAGCAAGCAGCATTCGAATCACGTCGTCGTATCGTACAACTGGAAGAATCCGCCTTCTCCAAGCTCTCCCCTCCCGTACTCGAACGACTCAACATCTTAGCATCGTACGCTGACCTACGCCGACCTATCCCAGACGAGCTCACTCACTTTGACTACTCTAGATTTGGTCGCGCTCGAGCAGAGAACCATCAACGGACCGTTGATCAGGAACCATGTAAAAAGGATGAACAAGAGTTGCATCCCCTCGCAGGCTGGCTCAACACTTCTTGGACGGGCACGGCGAAAGATGCCATCTCGTCAGACGAAAGCGATGGAGAGGATCAAGGGGAAGAAGATCCAGGAGTAACAGGTATCGAAGGAACTGGCGAGCTACGACTACCTAAACGACCCAAATGGCGCTCAGATATGGACACGAAAACCATCCATGCTCAAGAAACCCAAGTCTTTCGACAATGGCTTCGCAAGACAGACGCTGTGGTCGAAAGAGCGTTCTTCGCCTCTTCACCTCTCTTTGCTGGCTTAAACTCTCACACTCGATCTCAGGACAAAGCTGCATTCCCTTCCTCCTCCGCTACGCCCACACCAGGCATGGGCGGGAGTAGGATGGTCTCCAACATCACCTCCCAGGACGCCATCGCTCAACTCCTCACCCACCGTCCCCTCCCCGGAACCTCCGTCATCGGCAGCTTATACGAGCGCAATATCGAAGTCCATCGTCAACTATGGCGTGTATGCGAACGCTCCGACCTCGTCTGCGTCCTTGCTGATGCCCGATGCCCGCTTCTCCATCTCCCACCCAGTCTGATTGGTTTCTTGGAGCGCTACATGCGGTTGAAAGTCGTCATTGTCCTTACCAAAGCAGATATCGTACCGAAGAATATCGTTGAACAATGGAAGAAGTATCTCAAAGAGCTGTATCCGAGATGGGAGGTAGTAGCTACGGAAAGCTATGCGAAGATGGAAAGGATCGAGGGACAAGGATCGAGGACTAGATTTGCGCCTTATTTGTCGCCGCATTCGAGGAAGGAGCTTTTTGCGGCGTTGAGGAAGGCGCATAAGGATTTGATTACGCCCCCGAAGGTGATTAGAGAGGATAAGGAGGGGAAGGGGAGGGAGTGGATACCGCCTTGTGCGACTGATACGGATTGGGAGGGTGTTGAGAGGCGAGTTCAGATGCATACTGAAGGGCTCGACTCCGACACGGAGGAGCAAGCCACCGATGCCCCTGTACAGGCGCTTGATGAGGATGCGCCGAACACAACAGAACCATCAAAGAAGGAAGGTGGTGAAGGGAAGGAAACACGCGCACACCTCCCCTACCTAACAATCGGACTCATGGGTCAGCCCAACGTCGGCAAATCTTCCCTCCTCAACGCTCTATTCGGTTCCAAAGTAGTTCGTGCTTCCAAGACTCCCGGCAAAACAAAGCACTTCCAAACGTACTTCCTCGTCCCTCTTCCCTCCCCCAACTCCTCTTCGTCCCCCTCTAACCTCAACACGCCAAAAGAAAAGGCTGTGGGTGAAGAAACTCATCGAGGTCAAATCCGACTCTGCGACTCCCCCGGCTTAGTCTTCCCCTCGCTTATTGGAATGGAGATGCAAGTCATGGGCGCAATCCTTGCTATTTCGCAAGTGCAGGCTATTACGAGTTGTATCCGTTTCGTTGCCGAACATATTCCGTTGGAGAAAGTGCTTCAGCTCGAACATCCACCCGACGATGATAATGAAGGAGGGACAGGGGAAGAGGAGGGGGAGAAAGTGTGGACAGGAGTAAAGATTTTGGAGGCGGTGGCGAGAAGGTACGGTTACAGAACGGCAAAAGCCAATCGATGGGATGTCAACAGAGCGGGGAATTTGGTGATGAGAGCGGTGGCTGAGGGAAGGATTAAGTGGGCGTTTAGACCGCCTTCGTCTGACAGACGGAGCGGAGAGGGGATCTGGTTTCCTGACTTTGACCGGGATGCAGCTAGGGGTGCAGATGGTGCAGGGGAGGACTTGCTCACTGCTCCGAACACCGACGATGACGATCAGGGTGAAGATGTGGACGAGAAGAAAGACGAAGGGGAAGAAGAGAGCGAGGATCAGGACGACCCAGAAGCAATCGCACGTAAGGTTAGATTCGATTTCGGTTCGATAGAAGAGGACGATGATGAGGAAGACGATGATGCTGGAGGATTCGGTGGTAGCACAAATTCATTGTTCAGCGCACTTGCTGTTGAGGATGGAGGTGACGATGACGAGGAGGATTCAGATGAGGAGGATGATGAGGACGAAGAGGAAGAGGAAGAGGAAGAAGAGGACGAATAGGAGCATTCAAACACCTCACTCAGCATACAAACATACTCACGCACGCAATCTGATACCCACTTGCATTTCTCACCATGAACACTTGTTTCTCATGCTTGATTGTCTTGACACTCTCTTCGCGGTTCTGGCTCGGCAGCGTCGAACACATTCAAGCACCGGCAGTCACACAGTTCTGTGCACAGCGACCTCATACAGTTCTGCCAGCTTCCACAATGCTTTGCTTTATCGTCTATTGCCAACGATTCCATTGCTACATCAATAATCTACGATCTGCCCTGATCAAGCAGTCGATGAAGAGCCCTACTAGATAGCTTCTGTCTATTCGCGAGCGAACCAAGGATGCAAAAACCGCAAGTTCTCCTTCGCCTTCTCCGGAATCACATTTGACTTGGTCATAATGCTCCACTTCATCGAATCCTTAATCACCTTCACTGCCTCCTTATCATCCTCATCGACCTCCTTTGCAATTTTATCCAACAAAGTTGTCGTGACGACATTACTAGCATCCACATTCGCCTTCAAGCTTTCCAATACTTCCGTTACGTTGACCGCGGCACTAGAAGGCCTCCAAGCGTCGTAGTCAGTCGCAGTGGCGATCAGAACGTAGCTGATCTCAGCTTCTCTAGCGAGCTTAGCTTCGGGGAGGACCGACATGTTGATGATATCTCCGCCCCATGCTCGGTACATGAGAGACTCGGCGCGGGTGGAGAATTGAGGCCCTTCCATGCAGACTACTGTCTTTCCTGTGTGAGTTTTGACGTTGGGTGAGTGGGATGCAAGGGTGGATTTGACAGTTTCGTAAACGATAGGGCGGAGAATTTCGCAGAAGGGGTCACCGAATCCTGCATGAGCAACTACTTTCTCTTCTTCGCCAAAGCCGAAGAAGCTCGCCCGTCGAATGCCTTTGGTTCGGTCAATGATTTGGGACGGAATGACGAAGTCTTTGGGTGCAATCTCTTCGCGCAGAGAGCCGACAGCACTGAAAGCCAAGATGGTTTTGACACCGAGGTGTTTGAGAGTGGCAATGTTGGCGAGGTTAGGGACGTTGGAAGGCAAGATCGCGTGTTCGCGACCATGACGAGCGAGGAAGGCGATGTGATTACCGGCCGTAGTCTTGGCGATAGTAATGGGCGAGGACGGGGAACCCCAAGGGGTGGTGACGTTGATTTCGGCAAGGGGTGAGATCGAATCGAGCTTGTAGAGACCAGAACCGCCAATGACACCGATGCGGATGGCGGGACCGTCCCATGACGTGAGGGATGGGATTGACATCCTGCGATATAGTGTACGCTAATGCAGCGAGCGATGCTGCGTGATGAGGATCGTCAGAGATGGTGATGGTGAAAGACGAGAAGATCGCAGGGTCGGAAGCATCAGATGTTGTAATAAAGGAATCACTCGGCGACTATGATCGGGAGATATCTGTCACATGTTCAAGCTAAAAAGCAAAACACTATACTATATTGACATGCTAGAAGTGAATGTGGCGGGAGCCTCGAGCTTCCTGCTAGACTTATATACAAATGTGTGGCACATGCCCAACAGTGGGTGTATCCTACCTAATGACAGTGTGTAGCAATGAGTGGGACATGGTTGCATCCAATCTCTGTCTTGTATTGGTTCAGCCCAATTCTCGGTCTGATTTGCCTCACCCGATCCTGATCAGACCTACTTTATCTGATTGCTGACTGAACCTGCTTTGCCCAATCCTCTACAGATCTGATCTACATTATCCCTAGATCGGACTAGATCATGCTAAAGATAAAGATCCAGTGCGACACTAAAGGATGACGCAGAGCTGATCTGATCAGAGATCAGGCAGAGCCAATCCAGTTAGATGACTGATCTGATCAGAGATTGAGCTGAGCCAATCTCAGCAGAGATTGGGTGCAACACACTCCTGCTCATTGTCATGGTAGATCATTAAGTAGGAGTACTCCCACCTTTGGCATGTGCCATTCACATGTATACAGCTTGCATGTAAACTGTCCCACAAATTTACATGTCACCATACATCACTCTAATGCTCAATAGCTATAAGTTGTATTGCCACACACATCACTCTAATGCTCAATAGCTATAAGTTGTATTGCCACACTGTCTGATATCATCTGAAAGCCCTGCTTCTTCTCTCCAAGACTGTGTAAATGATATTGACATTGACTAAGAAAATTGTGCTATGAAGAAGAGCTGATTTTTTTTTTTATTGTGGGACAGTTTATGGAGTGCTCCTCAACAACACCTTAGTACTTCATATTCCCTCCTTTGGCCTTCAGAACCACCTTGATGCAGTCTGGCATACTCTCTATTAGTGTCCTACATGTCTCTGGAGTGATTGCTGTCCATTCAGCTTCACATCTCTTGAGCAGTTCATCCCTGGACTTTGCAATCATACTATACCATGAAAGTCACATTTTGAGATGGTGCCAGAGGTGTTCAATTGGGTTTAAGTCCAGCAACTGCACTGGCCATTGCATAACCTTAATGCTATTGCTTTCCAACCATGTTGTTGTCTTCTTTGACATGTGTTTCAGGTCATTGTCTTGCTGAAATGTGATGTTGGTGTATGCATGCTGAAGCCACAAATCTGAGATTGTTTTCACAAGCTTGTCATTCAAGATATCAATGTATTGGTCTGAATTCATTGAACCCAGCACCAAGCACATACCTCCCACCCCTTCCCATGTCATACAGCCCCAGATCATGATGGAGCTGCTGCCAAACTTGACTGTTGGCCTGACAAGCTTGCTGTTGAAGCCAGCATTCTTAATCCAACAGAACTGCTTACCATCTGGTCCAAAGAAGTTGATCTTCATCTCATCAGACCATACCACATTCTTCCAATCCTCAACAGTCATGTCCTTGTGCTCATTAGCAAATTTGCAATGGGCTTTGTAATGTCTCTTGAGTAGCTTTGGTTTTTTCACTAACCTCTGTGCTTTGTAATGACAGTAATGAAGTGCTTTTCTTACTGTGGTTGGGCATGCTTTGACTTGAAACATCTCCTGCAGTGCATGACATGCTTTCCTGACCATGGAGGTTGAACTGAGCTTGAAATAGTGGTCCAGGAAGTGAACATGATGAGGCTGGAGTTTTCTTGGCCAGCCCCCCTTTGACTTTGGAACATCAGCAGAGGTGCTTTTGCTGATGCAATTCACAGTAGACTTGCTCATACCAAGTTGCTTGGCAACTGAATGGGTAGATTCCCCATTTTGGATGTGAAAGAGTGCCAATCAGTGCCTCTCTGGGGTGGTTTTTGGCATGATGGTATAGATATGATGGTGTCAGACTGGAAGCCCCACCAGATCACTCACAGTCATCTGATTGAGCTGAAACTTTCCACATCACTACTTTCGATGTGTATGAAGGTGCCCACCAAGTTACATTGCAAGTTTCATTGTAGTCAAAAGCCCACAAGGTCAGGAATGGAGTGGTGTCACTATTTGGGAGCATGCTCCATAAACTGTCCCACAATAAAAAAAAATTTGGCTCTTCTTCATAGCACAATTTTTTTTAGTCAATGTCAATATCAATTACACAGTCTTGGAGAGAAGAAGCAGGGCTTTCAGATGATATCAGACAGTGTGGCAATACAACTTATAGCTATTGAGCATTAGAGTGATGTATGGTGACATGTAAAATTATGGGACAGTTTACGTGCGTGCTGTATCATCAATTTACCCTTCAACTAAAAAAGGAAAGCTGAAATTTAGAAGAATGGGAGTCACGGGCTCGTGCACTCGCACGTCATTCGCAGGCTCGCAGCTTTTAGTTGCCGAAGAAAGCTGAGACACGTGCACTCCCTCCTGACATCTCAAGGTATTGCCGCGGAGAAGATCGATTGATAGCCTGGGCACCACATCACAATCGAATGGACGACGAGGGTATGCAACGATAAGATCATAGATAATGTGGACAAGCCTGACAGCTGCCTTGCTACACTGACGACCGTTTTTCGACCGACTCGACACCACCATTCGAAGTCCCAAACAGCACCCTCAAGTCTTCCCTCCTCTCTTCTCTCCTAGCCCCCGCTCCAATCTGCCTCTTACTCCCGACCTTCTCAGCCAACATCATCTTGCGTTTCTGCAACCGGAGCATGTTCTCCTCAATACTATGTCGCATAATATACTTCGTTGTAATGACTGGTCGTGTCTGGCCCATACGGTGTACGCGATCGAGACCTTGGTTCTCCACTGCTGGGTTCCAGTACGGGTCCATGAGGTAGGCTCGACAGGCAGAGACGAGGTTGAGGCCTGTGCCTCCTGCGCGGAGAGAGACGAGAAGGACCTCGATGGTCGGGTTGTTCTTGAAAGATTCCAATGCAGCAGAGCGGTCGGAACGCTTCATTGTACCGTCGAGTCTGGCGACACGGATGCCGGTGATCTTGAGCGACTTCTGGATTCGGTCGAGCATCTTCGTCCATTGAGAAAAGACGACGCTCTTGACTGGGTCGTACGAGTCTAGAGCATCCATGGCTTGATCCAGCTTTCCTAGCAACCCGCTCTTGGTGATAGCGGCCGGCGGCTTTTGAATGACGACCACAGGGTCCTCAACTTTGCGCACTTCTGGATCCTCGGATGTCGAAGGTTCGATGTGAACCAGTCGAGGTGCTGTGGGATCGTAGAGTGCCGAGTGAGGATTGCACTTCGAAAACGGCAGCAGGTCGGTGATGAGAGCGCGGATCTTCGTGGACAGATCCTTCCTGCCTTCGAGCGAGATATCGCCACGAATCTCCGTCGAGCCACTGCCATTATTGCGTGGCGCTTTGCGACGAGGTGTTTTAATCTTGCTGTCCTCATCACCGCTGCCCCAGTCAAAGTCGCTCTCGGGCTCATCCACACCCTCGTCGTCATACTTGTTGATCTTAGACTTCTTGTCACCCGTATCTTCGTCATCGTTCGGATCGATGAAGTCTTGGTCGCCGTCGGCGACACGCTCAGTCTGATCATCATTGATCCCCACGAAGTCGGTAGGATCCAGCTCGATGGCGTCCATAGCAAGATTCAATGAGTAACTGCACGTGGGGCAATTGCCGACATCGGAAGCTGCCACATTCGGCCAAGGAAATCCATTCAAGCGGCGGAAGCACGACGAACAGAACATGTGTTGGCATCGTGTTACTACCGGTCGTGCTGCACCTTCCCTAGGTGTTTCCAGACCGTCCCTCGACATGATAATAGAGGATGCAATGGATGCCATGCCTGGCTCGATCCTAGTGCGCTTCCTCTTGCCGTTGCGAGTTTCACCAGTGACGTCATCAAGAGCATCTACCAGCTCCTGAGTATCGTTGCCAGCTCCGCCGCGATCCGCGCTCATGGAGAGGTCGCTCTGGCATTCAGAGCAGTACGCCATCTCGCTGTCGCGGAACAGGATGAAGAGGATCGCTGCTCGCTCTCGACTGAGACCGTCCTGCTTGATGGCCTCGGAAAGGTCGGCTCCTGCACTCATGCGCTTCGCATCTTTGCCAGCATCGACCATGGAAGGGTGGTCGCAGGTCATGCGCAGGTTGAGAATCTCGTGGAGGATGGTTGCATAGTTGTTGTTAACCGTGTCACCAGCCATCATCTCCTCGAATTCTTCACGATACCGGTTGTGCAGAGCCTGGTAGCGAGCCTTCTCTGTCTCCTCGAAGTCCAGGTACTCCGTCTTGCTGAGCTTAGGCGGCAAGGTGAGCAGCTGCTTGCCGTCTGCCGTCTTAGTTGTCTTTTGTCGACGCAGAGCAAGGAACTTCATCAAGATCTGTACGTGGCCAAGGTTGGCGGGGTCGATCGGCTCGTCGTCCTTTCCTTTGGATTTGAGACCATGAGACTCCTTGTGACCGCAGAATTCGTTCCAAATGGCTCGATCGGTAAAAGGATCGAGACGAAGGAATTTGACCAGCGCAAATAGGTCGTTGATAGTGTTCTGGATGGGTGTACCAGTAAGGCAGAGCCTGCGTTGTGCTGAGAGGTTACAGACGGCTTTCGACTGCCATGTTCCAGCGCCCTTGATGATATGTGCTTCGTCCAGCACAATGCGGAACCATTCAATATGTTGCAACGGGTTGAGGGACTCCTTTGCAGCTTTGCGCTTCCGCTTCTTTCCGTTGTTCTTATCCGTCTTGCCTCGGCCAGCTTGGTCACCGATTGGGATGCCGTTTTCATTGACCATGAATACCTCATCGTCATCATCAACCGCGTGCTCGTCGTCAGAACTACCACCCTTTTTGCCTCTCTTCGGGTCCCGCACGTCATCAGTGACCCACATCGACTGGTTCGAGAATTCGGACCCGAGCGTCGAGTAGGTCGTAAGCACGATGTCATGATTTGCAATCCACTTCACGCTGTTGGATCGCGAAGAGCCGTGGTAGATGTAAACTGAAGGACGCTTCTTGCGCGCCCAGTGCTCTTTAATCTGCTCCTCCCAATTCGAAATCACTGACAAAGGGCAAACAATGAGTGTGGCGCGGGTACGACGCTCGAGATGCTTTCGACGCACGATTTCGGGATCCGTCTTCTCCTTTGCCTTCTTCTTGCCGTTGGCAGTTGTGTTCTTGGCCGCAGGAGGGGCGTTGTGAAGAGCGAGCGAGATAGGAGGCGTTACGTCGTCATCCGACAGATCAGAGAGATCAAACTTGTCGTCAAAGTTCATGTCATCGTCGAACGAGGACTCGCTGCTACGACGCTTGGCACCAGCCTTGCCTTTGCCCTTGCCGTTGCTGAAGCTTTCGACTTTCGCCTTGCTGGCACCCTCTTCATCCGAAACGCCATTCGCTTGCATCGCCTCTGCAAGATCAACACCAGCCTCTCGTGGTACCTTCGAAGCACCGAAGACCTTGGCTTCGCGCAGGGTATGCGCAATGAGGGCGAGCGTTGTGATGGTCTTGCCAAGACCCATGTCATCTGCGAGGATGGACCCCCGGCAGATGCGAGGCTGAGCCATGGTTTCGCGGTTGGTGATGAGATTGCGCCAAGCTCGGACCTTGCCGTTCATGCCTTTGCGCACCTTCCACAGCGAGATAGAGTCTTCGTCGACTTCCTCCTGCACCTTGTCCTTAGCTTTGCCCTTTTCCAATGCACTGCTTGAGGTCGATGCCTTGCTCTTACCCTCGGCCTTGACCAACTCAAACTTGGGCTCTTTCGGAGCGGAGGATGAATCGCCTCCCTCTTCCTTCTTTTGGTCTTCTTTCCGCTCGACCAGAAGCTCCGTCCATCTTCGATCCCGTTCGCGGTTCAGCAAGAAGCCCAAAGCTTGCTTCTGATGTTGAAGCAGTCTCGTCGAGATCAGCTCGGTTGGCTCGACCGCCGCAAGCTCCTCTCCGCTGCGAATGCTTGTGTAGATAGCATCGACTTGAGCCTTCTTCTCCTTTTCCGTCATCTCGCGGTTCTGCACACTTGTACCCATCCCCGCGCCACGATAGATGCCATTATACGTGTTGAGCATGTGATCATTGCGCATGCCGCCCGCAGGAGGGTTGTGCGGGTTCGTGTACTGAGGCTGCGTCGGATAATCCTCAGGATGGTATGACGGCGGGTGCTCCAACTGGATGCCCTGAGAGGCCAAGCGTTCCGAGATGAGGGGAAGATCAGGGCGACAAGCAAAGACGAGGATCTCGAGGTATTGCAGGAAATTCTGTGCTCTTCCGATAGGTACCAAACGACAGCGAGCCTCGCATCGAATCTTGTTGCTCCGAAGAAGCGGCTCCATCGAGGTAACGTATTTCTCGGCTAGAGAGCCGAAGGCTTGCTCGACATAAGGGCCTTGCGCGAAAGCCTGCTCTCGAGGCAGGTGCGGATACCTGGCGAGTGGCGGCACGAGCACGCTGACGTTGATATCAGCTCGTTGTGGAGGCATGGCGATGTAGCTCCAACCGCCTGGCAGCGTCCTGCTTGACGGAGGCAAGCTGTTCGGATCAGGCAGGTGGAGCATGACGGGCCTGTAACCTTGCTCGGTCCAGAAGCGTGATGCGTTGGGCCAATTTTCACGCGTAAAGTTTGGATCCTGAGGTGGCTCCTGCCCGGCGTTACCGGCGTAAGTTAGCGCAGGTGGCAGACCATACATGCAGAGAACGACGGCATGGATCAACCCGGCGCAGACGATGGCGTTCGACTTGACATGGTCGATCTCAAACTCCTCTGGCGCTGGCCGCTTGAGGCCGACGATAACCGGCTCGTCATCATCATCGTCGATCTCGATGGGTGCAGAAGGGCCGGGAGATGACGAGGATGCTGCATGCTCTGCCTTGGGAGCGCTCCCGCCATTTAAGAGAGCCTGTGCTGTGTGCGCTGTGGAGGGCATCGACGAGCCAGAGGCGATAGCATTGCCGTTCGATTTCGATATGACTGGCTTGTCCTTACCGTCTTCCTCATCGCTGTCGAAGGTCAGATCAATGGTCGTTTCTACGCGCGACGGTCTAGGCGCTGAAGACTGCTGTGGAGTTGGTGCAACTGCAGATGCGGCAGCTAGGGGGAAAGCTCCGGGCATCGACGGAGTGGGCACATGGACCGAACTGGCAGAGCCCGCAGTGGTTGGTGGGGCCTGCCATGAGAACCCACCGTTGGCGTCCAAAAACTGGGTTGGAACGCGAGCTCCGCTACCACCAATGATCAGCCCATTTCCGGCCGAGGTGGCGGGATTCGAGGCTGCGGGTACCGCAGCTTGAGCATGTTGGCGTGGGGACTGCCACACCGTCGGTCGTGAAGTGCTGGACGACGAGCCGCTAGAAGCGCCTGTGCCGAACCCTGGCGGAAGTTGACGCTTCTTCAGCGGAGATGCGGGAGGCTGGTCGATCGAAGACGGCCTGACGAGCGGAACAGGCTCTAGTGGTTTGGACAATAGCTCGGAAGGATCATCGATCTCTTCCAGCGTGTCGGAGCTGTTCCCGTGGTCTGACATCTTGCTTGAACACAGACGCGATCCTTCCGCTGCTTCCTAAATGTTCACTACCGTTCGTATCTACGACCAGCGCACTCGAGTGATGTAAGGGGCGACGAAGTGCTGCCAGCGTGCGTCGTGATGCTCTATCGGTGGCGGGCTTCCATGCTTCGTCCAGGTAGCGGCTCTTGTTGCTGAAGGTCCGGTCGATCGTAAGGTTGCTGATGGTCGGCAGCGGAGGCGAAGACCGAGGTAGGTGTTGAATGATGGATACTACTTCAGGGCTGCGGAGTGTGTGTCTGCGCTGAGCGCAGGCGTTGCGGAGTTCCTGATGAGATGCGGGAAGAGGTAAGGTGCTGAGCGCTGGAATACGGGTATACGGATCGGCGTGTCTATAGTAGAGAATGATTCTGAGAATCGAGTCAAAGGTATGGCGAAGCCGAAGTCGAAGCCGCTGAAAGGGAAGCGAGGGTATGATGGCGGTGGTGGTGGTGGCTGTAGTAGCAGTCGAAGGCTGAGTTGCGGATAACCAAGTCTGAAAAGAGCGACAGCAGAATGCTCGATCTCGAGTTCGTCCTTTGATCAAAGAAGGTGATTGCAACGGTTGTTTTGTGATGATGTGATATCAACGAGAGTAATGATGGAGAGGAACTCAGCCTTGGTCGTCGCCGAGGTGATGGTCAAAAGAAGAAGGAACGGAGTGTCAAGGAGTCGATTCGGAAGAAAGCTGCTGCTGCGCGTCAGTCATTTCTTCCTCCACCCACACCAAAAGTTCAACACCTCACCGCCAACGCGCGCCTTTGGACCTGACTAACAAGTCCCTTTCGTGAGCTTTTGGCATAATGCCGCGGAAGCACCTCTTCAACTCTCCTGGCCAGCTAATCCTTCTCACTGCTGGCGAAGATACCTTCGCATTTGATCATCAAGCAAGGGATAGGTCCGAGTACTTTCATGTCTCCGCCTCAGCGGAGAGGAGTGGGGTCGAAGCGGTGCGGCTGCCATATGAGGCAGGGAATTTCGGTGTAGTAATTCTCCGCGTGGTCTCAGAAATCCAGGCTTCTTGCATGCCTACCTATTTGTGGCTGAGTCAGCGAAAAAACCACTCAGCTATCTCTCCAGATCGAGCGAAAGCCAAAACAACAAAAAAGCTTTCCTATCGCCCTCATTCAGCGCTTGGGTCTTCCGGCTGAGTCTTCGTCTTCGACCACGCCCGAGAAGCGGTAGAATGGCGATCAAAGCGGGATCGCTTCCAGAACGCGGCGTGGGCTATCTCTTTGGATCAAGAATGGAAGGCTTGTATCATGTGACCTCGAACAATCGCAATCTGGCTTCTACGATCTGTCTCAAGGTGTAGCATAGCATTGTCGAGACTGTGTTTTGTGACCACCCGCAAGCGTTGAGATGGAAAGCGTAGCGTGAGAAACGTCGTAACTACAGCATTGTGTAGCGGGGATATATATGCAAGGCCACGAGGGGCATACTTCTGTGTCGAGAAGGCTGAAAAGGCACAAAAGGGAGCATCACAAGACCCTGCATTTCGCGTGTCACAGTCAGTTGAGGCGTTTCGGATTGCTGTGATGGTGTTGTTCTAAAGGGGGTATCAAAGTTTTTGCGTTTTTAAAAACCCGGGTTTTTTGAAAAACGCACTTTTCAAAAAAACGCAAAAGCTTACATAAGCTGCGCCAAGTGAAAAACAAAACCGCGTTTTTGAAAACACAGCTTTTTCGTGCGTTTTCAAAAACGCAAAATCGAGTTCACTCCACAACTGTGAAAGTATGTGAGCACTAGTTCGGTCTCACACCTTCGCCGCATTTTCACACTCGGATCCATAGCAAGTTGTCGAGGCCAGTCCAGTTGAAGAGCGTCGTCGTGATCAATCAAAGGTGCATCAATGTCAAGATCACAAGTATCAATTGCAATGATTTTAGCATACTAGGTACAAGATGAATTGTGTGCTTTATATAGGTCATGATTGTCAGGGGTCTCGCGCCTGAAACCCAGGTCGGTCTGTCGAGATACTCAGTGACTATCAAACTGTGCAACAGCTATTGTCTCAGTATCGGTGACTATCAAGTTGCACAGTGACAGCAGGTGGCATTCGTTGTATATACTATCGTAGGTTTCGGCTGACCTCTGTGGACACTCCGTTCAGGGGTAGCTCGGCACGATCAATATCAATGTTATGATGACACCAAGGTCTGGTGTGAGTGTTGATGATGATGTATGGTGTTGGTGATGAGATTGGTGATGTCGATGATAATGAGGTTGATGGTGTTGGTGATAAGGTTGGTGGCGTCAACACGAGTGTCCAGTGTGTTGACTTGATGCTTGAAGTGATCCCCGGACCGCAGTGGACTACTGCCTTCAGTTCTATCTTGATCTGGACTGCTAACCTGCTATGGGCGCCTTCGGACGTCAGGTAGTGGTGATACAACACACACACTACGATGAGGAGCAACCTTTGATGGATTGCTGCTATGCTGACTGAAACTAATATATACTTATGCTGAAGTGATAACTAGTTATGGTGAGTAGAGTGGATGAGGATCCACTCAACCTATGATGATGAGAAAGCATGGTTATATACCTCTTCTCAGCATCGCCAGCGATGCTGCTCCTGCTCTCTCTCCAGAGAGTACCTTCTTCATCGAGTACTGCTCAGGGGCCTCTCCTGCTTGGCACCCCTGTGCCTCTTGAGCTGTGTCGACTCCTTCGACACTGCTCCTCCTCCTCATGACCTGGTGTCAACTCCTTCGACACTGCTCCTCCTCCTCATGACCTGGTGTCAACTCCTTCGACACTGCTCCTCCTCCTCATGACCTGGTGTCGACTCCTTTGACACTGCTCCTTCTCCTTTGATCAGTGACAGTTCCTTCGGCTCTTGTCTCTCGAGCCCCTGAGTGGTAACCATCTGCATGCTCCTTGAGCTTGGTCCTCTTCGTGGCTGTGCCTGCTCCTTGAGCTTGGTCCTCCTCATGGCTGTGCTTGGCCCTCCTTTGCATGTGGGTCCGTAGGAGTCCATGGTCTCCATGGAGACTGCACTACGACCATGCTCTCTACTGATCTCGACTAGATCTTCAATACCTGTTGAACCCGTGACCCTCCTGCTTCTTGAGCATCCAGGCCCATGACAGACACCAGCTATCTGATGGCTGGTGTTTTGGTGCTTGGCAATCAGCCTGGGCAATGCACTAAGTCTGAGTGAGTGAGGTTGGTGATTGGATGTGGGCTTGGTGAAGGCTGTTTGCTCTGATCAACTGCATGCATCTACACTGAGACAACATGGGCTTTAACTCCCCCCCTCACCAACTGAGCAAGTGTTTGGTCTGATATCAACAGTTCCTAGTCAAGTTTGAGTATGTGTTAGTAGGTTCCTGGAGATGGGCTTTGTGAGGAAATCAGCAATGTTGTTGTTAGTCCTGACATATTTGATTGTAATATCTCCTTCTTGTACATGGTCTTGAATAAGATGGTATTTGGTGTTAACATGCTTGAGTTTGGAATGCATCACTGGGTCGTTTGCCACTTGGACACAACTTTCACAGGACCTGCACAGAAGATCGGGTCTGTGCACGAAGATCTGAGATGAAGATGAAGATGTGGTGCACCAAAAAAGGTGCATGAAATGTGACATCAACTGTAACACAGGTTTCTGGTTGATTTCAGGGAAATCAACCACATTGAGGGTTTCTGATCAGTTTTGCTGAAATTGAGTGCAACACACTCATCAGGTTGATTTCACCAAAACATGTTGCACAAAGCCCCATCAGTATGGAATGGACCAACAGGATACAAGAAGGCAATGGGAGACTTGGTAGGGAAGGCCACCATCATCAAAGGTAGGATAGGGCACAAGGAAGGGTCTCATGTGCTAAAGGGGGTCCAAGTTTAGCCAAGAAGAGGACCAAGCTCAGGAGCAAGCAGCAGGTTACCACATAGGGGGATGTGCTCTTGATTGCATAAGGGTTGGTCACAAGGTAGACTGCATGGACAGGAACAAGACAATAAGGATGGTCACACAGTCAGAGAGGGCCATCAGATAGGGGCAAGGAATGACCTTGGATTGAGAGGAGAGGGAGTCAGACCAAGAGGGTTGGCATTGGTACCATGAGGAGGATGGGCAGTGTCAAGAAGAATCAACACACAGCCCAAGGAAAGGAGGGGTATGAGGAGGATGGAAACACTCCTCCAGAGGAGTAGGAGCAGTGCCACAGGTGGCACCTCTAAAACACATAAATACTACTACTACTTCACCATAGCAAACAAGTGGATCCTCATCCACTCTACTCTTTACTTTACATACTCTTACTTAGTTACATATCATTGCAATAGCAAGAAGCCTTTGCAATGACATCTTGAATGTGTGTGTTGTATCACTGTCAGATGTCAAACTGTAGGCAGTGTTCTCTCAACACCTGCAGTCCAGTTCATCACTGTAGGTGGTGTTGCTCAGCACCTGTGGTCCAGTCAGTTATTGTAGGCAGTGTCTAAACACCTGCAGTCCAGTAACTCCCATCATCTGTAGGTGATAGGCTTATTGCAGTCCAGGCAATGTCAAAGAGTATCAAGTGACAGTACTGCAAACACTTGTGCTGTATAGGAGAGTGTAACACTCTCACCCCAGGGAGTAATGGATGTGCTGCATAACCTCTGAATGGAGTGTTCAAGGTGGTCAGCTGAAACCTACCAGAACACAACTGTCTGGTTACTTTCAGTTGAAACATACTGAGTAGATCTTACTCAATCGATCTCACTGAAACCAATCAGAAACACCCAATCTGGTTTCAGGCATGCAACCACTTACACCATCCTGCACCACTTCGATCCCACCCAGCCAATCATTGTCAAAACCGATGCATTGGACTTTGCAGTCACTGCCATCCTCTCCCAGTCATTTCATCATGGCACTTGACACCCCATTGCATTCTTCTCAAAGAAGCTCGACCTGGCACAACTCAATTACCCCATCTTTGATAAAGAGATGTTCACCATTGTTGCCACCTTCAAACACTGGTGGCAGT